CTCAACGTACTCCGCCATGAGATTCCGTACATCCTCGGTACATACGGACTTCGAATCTACCGCGGTGAAGACATCCAGAGTTCGAGGTGGAGATTCAATATATTAATTCGTATACCCGATCTTTTTCCAGAAGGCCTACGGTGTGAATCGGGTCCCGTTGCTCAATATAAAATAGATTAACGGTGTTTCTCCCCGAGTCATGACCCGACTGGGTACAAAATAGTACGTACACCATACATGCTTAGGTAGGGTGAATGACTAGAGGCGTTGAGCGTGAGCCGTTGACCGTCGATCCAGGGGGGAGAACATTTAGGTGGAAAAGGGAAAAGATCCAGTGCGGAAAAAAAGGGGGAGGAATGAGGAGGCAAATTGATGAGCTGACCTGACTCAAGTTCAGTCGACCGTTTTTCGATTTTGCCTATATTGATTGGTAGAGAGGCGGGAATGGGGAAGGGAGGTCTAAGCCTAAGATACCTCCTAGGTAACTAGGAGAGGGGCGAAGGAAAGCTCCGTCATCAGGATCGATTCGATCATCGACATCGAGACGGGGTAGGCATCCAACCACGTCTTGACTCACCAACGATATCGAATGAAGATCGCACGCCCATGAAGTGACTGTCATGATTTAGACTAGTACTGTGTAGGTGAGCCGGAGATGATAACCGAATCCGGTACTAGTTGGTTGGCTGTTAGCTTAAATTTGTGACGGTTTTTCTTTTTCCTCAAATTTTCCCCCTCTCTCTTTTTCTGCTTTCTTTTTTTCTTTCTTTTTTTTTTTTTTTCCTGTCCCGGCTCCGCTTCTTTCTTGTCGATGAACTAGTGGTTTTTAGCGCGATTTTGACGCTTCCCGTACCCGTTGCTGAGGATTGTCGATTGTTTCTTCTGTGGCTGGGCATGCGATTCGAGGTATTTCCGCTGTATTTTGAAGTGACCCTGGGGTTACTCCGTCAGAGATTATAATATCGTTGAATATAGAAGACAATTCAGTTAGGAGCTGTAATGATAATATTTGGTATTGTTTTTCCAAAGCGTTATGAGTTCGGTATGGTATGTCACCCGTCATGTACATACACAGTAGATTCGGTACCTAGCTCTAACGCTGATTTTAACGATATCTGGGAATTTGGATATACACTGAGCTCTTGTAAGAGTGGACATTGGATCTCTCTGGTGCAGGTATATATTGTAGATTGCTCATCTTTTGCGGGATCAAGGTGACAATGTGCACGATGTATGGTATCTGATATACCGCGACCGATATATATCTAGTGCTAGGTATACCTCTAACATCTATAGTTTCAACATCCTTTCCAAGTAATAACGCACGAAGAGTAATCCCGCTCCCCGTATTCCCAACCCTATCACATGGCAAAGAGCAAGTAGAATAATTGAATACCCTCCGACAAGGAAAGCTAAATCCGGCCGGCACAGTACAACTAAGCTCAGCACAGATGCGCATTACCTATGCTGCATCACCCAACCACCCAACCGGAAGGCAACCAGCAAAAGTACCATGCCTACATATTTCTACCTAGCTAGCACATCCAGTCTACACATAACTATTACGTTTACGTAGGATTGGGAAACCTACATAGAAATGGGTGGAATAATCTGCAGCAACTATGCGTACTGTATGTACATACCCTACACCATCTAGAAATGGAGATCGATACGATTGAAATAATACCTTCAAGTATAGGTACACCCCTCTTCCCTGGTACGTACAGTATTTACCCTACATACGGAAGGAAGCCATGGTGCGACACAGCTGACGAACTCATGTATGTCTTCGCAGCAAGTTGTCCAACCGGCTGCGTTCCGCGGGTACCGTGCTGTATGAAAATGCAGGACCAGACACCTAATGTAAAACAAACCTTTGCTCTGTGCTGAGTCGGGCCAAATCTCTCAGATTCCTAGAGTCTCCTTCCTTTTTATCCATCAGAGTTCAATCGATGCCGTTTGTAAGACCTTCTTCTCCTACTGACTACGACGGTGTACTTACCTGTGTATCCCTCCTGTCCCCGTATGATAACATGATAGAACGGACGGAGTTTACCAAGCCCACGGACAAGGAAGACCGACCCAAACCGCGCCCGTTCCACGGAACCCAAGATCCAAAAATATCCCAGCACACGTGGACAGAACCAAACCCGGAGATCAGCCAAATTGTGAATTTAATTAAACAGTGAAAATCCTGCAATATGGTCCCCGATAGGATCAACTGTCATCCTTCTACGGAGGATATTTAATTAAACTTTCAAAATAGATAGACGGAAGATGAAGAGGGGGGGTAAAGAAAGGGCCCCATTCAGCCCATTTTGAAAGCTAGTTAGTTAGCTAAACTTGCTCGAAATACCCATGTCCAACAAATCAGAGCTCATTTAATTTGATGGATTTGAACGATCGCGACCGGCGGGCTTCCTTGTCGATTGGATTCTTCTTCCTGTTTAATTTAGCTAGCCGATTAACTGATTTTTAGTAGCCCTTTTATCTCTCCGTTAAGTCTTCAGCCATCAATTACTGTGGTACTGCCTCTCCGGCGTAGAATATCCGAATCATGGCACCTGCCTAGTAGAGTATAGGCCAGTAGCTTCAATTAGTTATTGATTGACCCCGTACGGACAACGGAATTCCACTCCCTTGCCAGATCAACTTCTAGAACGTCCATGTCTCTCTAATTGGGTCGTTAAATCCGTCGTACCGTGGTTCAGCAGATTGCATGATTTTAATTTCATTGAGCAACTGGACTGACTATTGCTTTTGGAATTCAACACGCAATGCCACAGCGCTTACCGAGGGAGTGGTTAACGGATCCGATGGGTACAACAACCTACCTACCTTACTACCTTACACCGTACACAGTACGTAGAACTGCGGGAGTAGTTACAGTAGCACAGTTCAGTTATTAATGGGTGCATTTCCGTGTAGGAAAATCCGACTTTGCCGATTGGTTTGTTTTTGCGCGTTCCCATTGCCACACTGGAAGCAAACTAAGGTATGTAGTGTTACAAATGATTACATGGTGGTGGTAACTATGTATGTACGTGTCCATTGTATGTATGTATACCTATGACCTAGGGTCTGGCTGGCCCTTGGTAGGGGTACGGAGTAGACACCATGCCATGCTCCCCGTAGAAATGCCGAACCTAGGTACCAATTATTGATACTTTGTACTCCGTACATACCAGCTACCTACTTAGAATTGATTTACCTATGTGTAATGTAGACCGAGAAAAGAGTCTTACGTACGAGGGGGTAGAGTAACTAAATTCCTACCTTCCTAGTTAGTCAGGTCATACTCCATACTAATGGCCCATGACAGGTGACATCCGAACATGACAGTTGACAGGTTGACTAACCGTCTACTCCGTAGCTAACTAGCACGGGGCACACGGGGCAGGGGCAAAACACAATACTAGTAAAATTCAAAATTCAATAACGCAACATCCCACAAGAAAAGAAAAAGAAAAAAAAAACAAAAAACAATGGAGTCATCTATTGTAGACTCCGTAAGTGGCATCTTCTTAGACCCCTGTCATCCCATGGGTTGGCAGGGGTGGATTTTCACCCCGATGGCTGGAACAGGAACAGTTTGAACCTAGGGACTAGATACTTCTCCATCGTATGTGCTATTTTGCAGTAGGTTTGTAACTAGTATCGGGATCTGGATGTGGATAATCGGATATACGAAGCCCTTTTCCACAGGGAAGGTCCAGAATCCAGGTTCCAGACGGAAGCGTAGCCTCTACCATGGTCGTTGAACAACTTTCCCCATAACTCCGATCCGAACAAGGTAAATGGGGTTGCAAAAGTTAAGTACGGATACTGCGTAAGTAGAAAAATAAGGCGGAGTATCCGTACAGTACACAATTAGGGAGCCAGTCCTACGGACTAGGAAAGCTAGTAGACAGCCCCTAATTTCACCAAAGTTTAAGTGGACTGGCCGGAGTGACTTGGGTGGCACTGGCACTGGCACTGCAGTGCGCACTATCGCTCGGTCTATCTAACTTATGTTACTGTATCTTGGATAGGATGGTCATTAGTCCGAGGTAATCTTATGATTATGATCGAGATCCTCCCTCGTTCTCCTGGTTGGATCGTGGGCCATCCATTCCAACCCCCTTCCCTGTCATGATTAATCTATTTAACTTCTGTAGAAATCGACCTACTACTATATATAAATCGGAGGATGCTGATGATGATGACATCGGTCCCATGTGCGATAGATTAATTATTCATTAACCTAGCAAAGGTCGATTAATATGAATGACAGGATCATAGGGATTAGTTAGTCCAGCTAGTAGTGCTACTGTGTGCTAGAGAGAGCGAAGAAAAGCAAAGAATCGGACTAAGGCCTGTTGGGGGTTCTTCCCCGATGCGGGAACTTGTGGGTTCGGCATTTGCTTTGCTGTTGCCTCTTTTCCCTTTCCAGGGTGTTCAGATCCCGTATAATGGATTATTGCCCTCAATGTCTTGGTTGCCTTTTTTTTTTCTTTCATCTTTTCTTTTTCGCTGCGCTTTATTTTTTTCTCATTTAGATTCCTTGGGGGTTTAGGGCGGTGGCTTTTACAAGTGGTAATGTTAAATCGTGAATGCTGAATGCTCCCACGCCACCCCCGGTATGTATGTAAGTAAATCCAGTAAACAGTAAAGTGATTGTGACTGTGACTGTGATGGGACTGTACGGAGACACAAAAAAAGAAAAGTAAAAGAAAAAGATATAGCCACTTGCTGTCGTGTACGGAGTATGATGGGTACAGGTAACGAACCCCTGTAAATAAGGATCTTCGCTCTTTTCTTTCTCTGCACAAACGGCCATGGAGGATCGCGCAGGAACATTTCTCCGACCCGCATGTCGTCACGCTCGTTCTTGCGATCGAGATAACCGGTTTTATTGATGTCATGGTTCTTCGTGAGGATGAGGTTGAATTGGAATGAGATGAGATGAGAGAGCAAAAAAAGGGACTTCTGATTTTTTCCTTCTTCACCCCCACCACACCTCATCGCCAGTATCCCCTCGCTTTCGAATTGATGTAATCGATGGCTTCCTTGCGCCACGTGTCCGGCTCCAGGGAGCTCGTCACCGTCGCATTGTTAGCATCAAACAGCAGATCGACCGGCTCCTCGGAGGCCCCCCCGTACGCCGTCCAAAGCGAATCGTTGATGCCCGAATTCGGGTCCAGATCGTGGATAAACGATGCCCACATGCCCGTCATCTGTTTGCTCAGGGCCCGGAACCCCTTGGGTACCCCTGCGAACGGCTTCCCGTAGTGGTACCCAAGCCCCGCGATGTTGTGGAAGACAAAGGCCACCTCCTCGAAGTGCGTGGCGCCCTCGAGATACGGCACCGATGCGCTGCGGACGTTGAATCGATAGCAGTACGCCGGCGTGGAGGTCTCCGTCCACGCTTCGCACTGTCGTCGTCGGTTGGCGTGCATCGAGAGGTCGCCTGCGTAGGCGGACGTGCGTCGCCATTGGTACCCTCGTGATGGCACACGCTGGGCTCCGAGAGATGCTGGAATGCCTTGGATGGGGTCGTCGGGATACAATTCGAGGATCCGGTTTGCCATTGACGGGGGCAATTTGAATCCGGACGCGCCATCTAGTTGATCGAGATAGGTCGGAGATTAGCTAGAGTTTCTTTTTTTCTTGTCGTTTGCCTTACGGCTGGGCTTGGCTGCAGGAAGGAAAACAAGGCCAGGGGGGAATGAAATCTCATTTAAACTGCATGCATGCTTGCTTACCTGTGAGATACGAGTAGAATTCTGCAGTCGTGTTGATGCCCGTAGGCCCGAACGAAGTCCCTTCGTCGGTATTGGTGCCAGCGATGATGGGCACGCGCACGAATTCATGCTGTTGCAGATGCACGCTGCCCCAGGTCCTTAGTAGATCGCCATCCACCACTGGCGAGAATGGGTACGCCGGAGTGCCGTCCGTGCCATTGAGCGCCGAGTTCAGTTCCTCATAGGGAACCTCACGCAGACATTGTAGCGTGTCCGCCACGCCCGAGCAGTTGACTTTTGACACCAAGTCATCGTACAGATCCTGGTACCCCGTGTAGTTGGACGGACCGGCCGCGATCGATCCTCCGGATTGCATGATTGCCCCCCTGAATAGGCTATCGTTTCTTCCGCCATACGCGGTCAGATGGTACCCAACCGACATCGCTCCTGCAGATTCGCCCCAGATCGTGACCTTGTCCGGATCACCGCCAAAGGCCTGGATGTTCTCCCGGATCCACTGCAGGGCTAGTCTCTGATCTCGCAGACCGAGATTGGTGTTGCCGCTACCGGAGACTTCGCTGGAGCTCAAAAATCCCCATGCCGAGAGCCGATAGTTGAGAGTTACAGCGATGAACGGTTTTCCTGCTCTAGTGGTCAGTCTCGCACTTGACTTGGCGCTTAATCTGCGTCTACGGGGCGTCTGAGCTCACCAATTTCATATGAATTAGACACAATAGCAGACATATTATAGCGCTGGTCCGCGCCAGAACCCTGGTAGAATCCGCCACCATGGATCCAGACGCCGACAGGGAGATTGGAGTCTTCTTTCACCGAAGAATCGCGAATGACGTTGAGAGTAAGACAGGCTTCAGACTGGGGATACCAGATGGAATCGGTCTAAACATGTCGACAGTCAGATATGATCACCTGAAATGGATCACCTAGCGACAGGGCAGACTTACTCCATATCCCACGCAAATATCAGAGTACTCTTTCGCGTCGCGCGCATCTTTCCAAGTCTCGTTGAGGGATTTCGGCACAGCGAACCTCAAATCGCCCACCGGCTGCTGGGCATACGGTATCCCGAGGAACAAATCCTGTCGGTAGTGCGCGTTCTTCGCCCCGACGTACGTTCCATTGCGGACATGGACTCTAGGATCCGGCGTGCCGCTCGGGGCAGCCGTCACAGCACTCCACAGGGCACAAAGACCAACAAGAGTCCTATACATGGTCAAGACGAGAAATGTGACCGACTCCAACAACGTTCCTCGACCGGTCCCATCCCCTCAATATATATAGGAGGGAGGAAAGGTCACACAATGAATGCGGGGACTCCACCCTCCCCGACCCCGTCGTGGATGCAGACATTCTAAGCCTGGTCTCACTGGCCGCTGGATAATCATTTCAGCCGAAAACAGGATAGAGCTATTGCAAGATCCGTTCATCAATGAGGTTTTTTCCCTCTGCCGCTCCGGACAATGACCGATACCTCGGTTTAGTTTCCCCGTAGTGGGAACTAGAACTTACCGCGGGGGGGTTATCCGGGGGATAACGATACAGTGCGGGGAACAACTTCCCTTCTTTTGATCTTGTCTAGCAACGATTGCCCGTTCAAGGCACGATTGTCGGTGGCCGATGTGGAGAAAACGTTCTCGCGGGGCCGGGCTGTGCCTTTCGTCATTGATCTTAGGGATATGCCGCTTTTCTTGCCAGTCACGGCTGCGCCTGTGCCGTGGATGTGCCGAAGATTTGCCGGTAGCTTGAAAAATGTCCTGGATGTCGAGGAGATGGTGGACTGGATGCTTTTGATGGGGTTGATCATGGAGAAAGAGGTATTTGAGGGGTAATGGGTCACTTTATGTTGTGAAGGCTACCAAAGATGGTGGGTTAGTATGGGGTGCGATATGATTTGGCTAAGGAGGGCACATACATAGAAAAGGTACACAGATCTGTTGATAAAGGATACCGTGGATTCAAGCAGTACTCTCACGGAGTGTCTGAATGAAAGTTGGGCTGTCAAAAGCGGATGGAGAGAAATCAAGATGAGAAAGGGTTCTTGACCGCCAGAATAACTCCCCCTGCACATGCATGAGCGCCAGCCATCTCCCACTGCACATCTTTCCTCTATGACACAACGCCAACTTCCAGACTTGAATTCGATCCTTCTAGACAATGTGTCTGTGTATCAAATGCCCAACGCTACTCATATAGCGACTAAGTGTTGAATTCACATGTCACGATGTCAGTGCTAGCAGTCCTTCTACCCGCTAGTCTAGCTTATTGTCACACGCGAATCTGCTTTGGAAGGGTTTCACAAAACACCATCATTTATTAAGTTCTATCACAGCCGTCTTGGGTGCTTCAGACTATTGGCTAGTAGGTTAAGGAAAGGGAGTCAACTTGTCATCACTGATCTAGATCTCGGCCGACCCGATTCGTTCGTGCCCGGCATATAGCATCCTCTTTGGCAGGTTGGGCCATGATGTGTCCTGTATCGCAGCTGGTTCCTGATTGTGTCACACAGGCCCGACCCTTCCTATGATGTTACATCGGGGTCTTTATATTCCTTGCACCGACCGTCGCCAGGTCATACTGATCCGGGAGTATTGCAACGGTGGCACCCATCTGGATGTTCTTTTTCCTGAGGGTATATCCTCATATTGCGTCAACAGATGACATCAAGAGTCTGGAAAACCGGGGGGTTGAGGAATCAGAGCAAAGGAACATAGCCTATCCAGGTACAGAACGCAGGGTTATGAAACGGGAAAGAGGCAGTTCGAACGTTCCTAATCACTTCCATGCTATCGGAAGACTGCATGCCAAGTGGGGTCTTCAGGAAGAATGCTCCTCATATATGTAGGTGATATCTGTTATGGAGAGAAAACTCATCTGCAAGCTTCAAACTGCCGACTCCGCTATCCCAACAGAAGAGATCGACCAATTCACCTCCCAAGTTCGTCTCCATCTACCTTCTTGAGTCATCGTGCACCAGAACGATGTGGTGGACTCCAGCAACCCAGCCTCGTCCACTGACAACCTTGCCGCCGCCCTCCTCCGATGAAATCGAGGCGATAATTTCCGTCACCAAGGGTTTTCTTGCCGCGCTGAACACAAAGTCCTCGGTCGAGTTTGACAAATACTGCGTTCGAGCAGGAGGGATGGCACTCTGGCCGCCACCTCCTACACTCCCTCGGTTTTGCACAATCGGTGCTTTTGTGGAACAGATCGCCAAAGTGACGGACGATATCGATGAACGGATCTGGGACCCAGAGGTCAAGGCATATGGCCTGGGAAACCTTGCCGCCGTGTGGGCACCATTCAGGGCGAAGGTCAACGGAGTAGTGGACCATGTGGGCGTCGAGCTCTTTATTCTTCATAAAGTGAATGGTGAATGGAAGGTGACGGGGTTAGCTGATTCATGCCGAATTCCCACGGAAGAGGAGAAGCAATTGCTCCTGTAGATTGGACACTGGATAGCTGTTTTTCAAAACAGAAGGAAGAGAGGAAAGGGAAATGCATAAGAGCTGATGGATATAAACAAGATAGCCAAACTATCACGCATACGAGATGGCACAAAAAAATCATGCTGTCTAAAAGTAAAACCGACGCCTCTACTCTAACGGATGAACGCAAGCTTTTTAACCCTATTTCTTACCCCTTAGTAGCTCCCATCCGACACTGCCATTCTTTCCCTCCTTTACAGACATCTCATCAACAGCTTTGACGAGATCATAACAAATCTCTTCGGGAACGGCACTGTCATGCTTGTACGCAGGGTGCGATGCAACAAATTCACGGATCCATCGAGCTCCGGTCCAGAGAGTTCCGTTGGCCCGTTTGCGTATCAAATCGAGGTATCGTGCCAGGAAGCAACGCGTCTCAACATCCACATTGACACTGTTTAAATAGGACTCAACCAGCGGAATGAGACCCGGGAACGACCCATCCTCCGAGCCGTTAATAATGTCAGAGATGGTCATGAGGTCGTATTCCGACTCAACCGGACCGAGTGGGGGCGAAGGAGGGGGGGTATTGCATGCAGACGATGTAGCAGATGACATCGCGCTTCCAGTAGCTGAATGCTGGTTTTGTCGGAGAGGGCCCCGAGAGAAAGGGTCCTTTCGAAAATGAAACTTCCGATCGTGGACCGCGTTGCGCGCATGGGCCGTTTCCATGTTCTCGGTGGTTCGTGGGATGGGGAGATAGAAATTCAGATTGAAGCTCAGGATGGCACGAGTGATAAGCACGATAAAGATGCTAAATGCCGCATTTTCGAAGTCAGTCATCTGAATCTCCATAGAGCGAAATTCGACCCGCCAGCCAATATCTTCCTTGTCAGGTGGTGGCGGCTTGAAGCGCATATGTTGCCAATTAGTCGACTGCAGGTTTTCAAAGTGGTCGGCTTTGTTCAAATCCAATTCCTCGAGGTCTTCAGAAAATATAACCAGTGGATCACGGATGAAGAGATGAGCAAAATGAGTGGCAAGGAGATCATCCATTCCGCCTTCCATCAATCGCTTTTTGATGTCTTCATCAACAATCAAGTCGGGGTCCAGATATTCCTTCCGTAGACGAGGATCTTGAGAGATATAGGTCGAGTTCGAGGCATATCGTGACTTGGGAATCCTCCATCTATCGTTCTTTAGGGGCTATTTGCGAGTATTAGCATAAGATCAGCATCGGGACCCATTGCAAGACAGCTTACAGCTTCACCAAGTTCCTCTCGCGTTCTATCATCCACTGCATTGCCGATTTGGTTCCACCTGACGTCCGTATCGACGAGGAATCCCTTATAGATGGGAGTTGCCGCAGTAAGAGCCAGGAGGATAGGGCCTAACGGGCTCAGCTGATCATATAGTTTACGTCCCTCAGTCATGTTTTTAGCTTGGAAGGTAATCTGGAGACAGCAGCTGCCCATTCCAAAAGCCATGGCGTCCATGTAAACATGGTCGTCCTTTGCAGCTCCATTCCTGACATCGTCATCCTCAGGCCAAATGTGAAGATCATAGTTGACCGTGGGATCTTTGAAAGGCTGGGGAGTGTTTTTGTCCTTGAAGACAGGAACATTTAGCTCAACCTTCCGGCCTCTCCTGGATCTGATATTTCCTGCAAGAGTCGGAAATCTGATGTGGGGATTAGCGATCTCATCAGGAACAAATTGCGACCGCAATGCCGGGCCTGATGGAGGGTAATATGGTTGAATGTAATCATCCTTCGTGCCCAAGCGAGGGAAGGTGGTTAGAGTGATGGGGTATTCATTAGGTGCCATGTGGGTTTTGGCAACCTCTCGCCTAGCAGCATAACATTAGTCTCCGGTACACAAATATGCTGAATACAGCCAAACCTACCTCCATTTCATGTTGGACTCAACCTTGAGAAGGTCCTTGAAGTCAATTCCCCACGGCCTTCCGGGGGTTGCTTCAAGCATGAAGCGTCCGAATTCTGGATGGAAATGGGGAGGCTCCTCGCCGTCACTAGGATTTAACTGTCAGATTGATATACTTGTGGTCGATTCAGCTGACTTACTGTTCATTGTTCTGACTCTGAGATGAATCTCCCGTCTTCCACAAGGCCTCATCCCGAGCGAGAGATTTCAAGATCTCTGCTTGGGCCAGAGACAGCCGAGCCTTCTTCGCCTCCTCGTCCACGGCCACGACGAGGTACTCAACCTACAACAGGCCGTAAAGCGTCAGTTGGGGAGCCCCGTGTTGTTTGATACAGGCAAATTACCTCATCACCCCACAGTAGAGCATCTCGCTCCTTGCCTTTGGCTCTCTGCCAATTGGCAAGCAATTGCTACGTGACGTTAGTCGGGCTTCACAGCAATCGATATGAGAGCAAGGCCAGTGCCAAAACCTACCTCAATTCCCCATTTTCGTACTTGATCAGCCCGCTTTTTGGCTTCAGGCCAATCAAGAGCTGTACCCAATGCTCTTCATAAACGGCCGATGTTAGACGTACTCACGCAGCAATGGGTTAGGCAAGATCAACATACAAAAGACCCATTATTTCATTCCCAGCACGTGCACAGACGTATTATACGCAGAGAAAGGCTGGCGACTTCGACTTATTTATACGAAATCGCTGTCAAAGCCCGTCCACCGAAGAGCCCCACGGAGATGAGGGGGGAAGAATCTGGTGGCGGACTGCACGCCGAGATTTATAGACGCGGAGAAAGAACCAACCTCCAGAGGATCAGCGAACAGACAAGACCAAAAGGGACAGACAATTGCCGGCAGATAATGAAGGAATGTGCAAGAGAGGGAAAGAGGAAGGAAACCACCTCCTCATGGGGTGATTTTATGCTGATTTTCGCAGAGGCTCGACATCCCCGATTGGCGGCTGGTGGGGGTTTTGGTAGCGGGGCATCCGAGCATTATCGCCGATAACGAAGGAATCGCGGCGTTTGATTTCTAAGCCGGGATGGTCATGTGACTCCGTCTCCCTGATGTCTACTTGCTTCAGCACGCAGGGATCGTGTATTACACGCCGCCTCCGTGGAGAGGATTCAAAGGCCGGATTTGTCATATCTCACGCCGTGAAACCCTCAACTACTTACCTGTTGTCATCCCGGAAATGCTACTTCTACCCAGCGCATGGAATGAGAATTATGGACGCTGACAAATTGCGAAGTGCCCGTTGGCTGGCCTCTTAGCTCACTGGGGTGGAGATCTTGAGTAGACCTATGTCTACACATCTCATCCATGATACAGAAGGACAATGGTCGCCGTGGACTACGGAAAACACTCATGCTCAATCAGCTCGTGTTTAAAGGGCCGACGGTATGGTATCGGCAAGCTTAATCGCGAAAGGATCCCAACGCCAACGATCGGTGCATGGACAAACAATCTCAGAATCTCTATGTACATAACCCGCTATTTCGTTCGTTTCGAATGCACATGCCGATGCAATGCCCTTAGTTGCTCCGAGCGCCATCCTTAGCAGCTCGCAGCTCGTCCATCTTGGCAACGCGCTTCTTGAATTCGTCGTACTGGCACTTTTCGTAGCTGTGTCTCTCATCCTGTAATGATAGTGAAAAAGAAATTGTCAGCTTTTTGCATAACATATTTCGAAAATGCGAACAGTAGAATAGAAAATGGTAGCAAGGATAGCAGGAGACAATAACGGTAGAACGCGCAGATCGCAAATGTCATACCTCGCACTTCCAGGGAAGGTAGTACTCTTGCTGCCGGCATCGGTTCAAGGGAATCAAGAGGTGTGCACAAGTATCCCGGTACTGGATGGGGAGGCGGGCGTCGGACATCTCCTGCCGGGAAGCTATCTCGCAACGTCAGTTGGTCGTTCAAACAAGACCATGGTGATAGCCTGCCACGGGGTTCTGGAAGAGCCAATGGCAAGTGAAAACATACCAGTGGTATCTGCGAGCCCGACGGCACTTTTAACCGATTCGGCGACGGTCATGTTGGCGTGAGAATTGGGGGTTTGGTATCGATCGTTCTGACGACGGGGACATCCGACAACGAGGTTTGCAGCTATTCGGTAGTGCTGGTCTTCCCTGCGGTCCGCGGTCATGTGACATCACGTGACTGATAATCCGAAAGTGGCTTAGCGGCGCTGATTCCACTTTACGCGGTTCCGTCCATCCAGGGCGCGTCTTGCCCAGCCCTGCAAAGCACCGCGTCACTGCGATACCACGGAGCCTATGAAGAAGCCACTCGTGGCTGTGGTCGAGTTCTTGTCTTGTTGAGCTGGTGCTGGATCAAATTTATTGGGTTCGTCTCTCATCCACCACTGTTGATGCCTAGAAGCAAGTGATTCTAGGCTACTGGATTGCTGTGCGAAGCCGCCATCGCGTCGACACCTGCTGTTACTGTCCGGGAATCAACTGAATCAAATCCGGCTTACGGAGACGCACATCATGGCGGGGGTGGACTTTTCGAAGATTTACTCTGCTACATATAGCAGTGTGGGTTCTCCCCCTTTTCTAATTCCTTTCCCTCTTTCCTCATTTCCCGGGGGCAAATTATCAAGAAGAAGAGCGCCGATCCCGACGTACAATCTTCAGAAGACTAACATCAACCAATTAGGTCCCGGTTTATGAATTCAAGATAGAGACGGACAGTGTTATGCGAAGAAGGGCAGATGATTGGATCAACGCAACCCATATTCTCAAAGTTGCTGGGTTCGATAAGCCAGCACGAACCCGTATACTCGAGCGTGAAGTACAGAAAGGAGTCCATGAAAAAGTCCAGGGCGGTTATGGCAAATACCAAGGTACTTAGACCATGGACGTTCAAATTCTGGGGGTTTCTCTTGCTAATGCAGTAGGTAGGAACGTGGATTCCACTTCCCGAAGGTCGTTTGCTTGCTGAGCGCAACAACATTATTGATAAACTACGACCGATCTTCGATTATGTCGCGGGTGATCGAAGCCCCCCACCTGCGCCGAAGCATACGTCCGCAGCTTCATCAAGACCAAGGGCCCCGAAAAATGCCAACAAGAGAGTTACGAACGAGGAGGTCTTCAGTGCGGTTAAGCCACCTCGTAGTATGGGACCGCCTCCGACCTTCACACACGATCATTATGATATCAACCCAGGGTTCGATGAAGATGAATCGATGGAGCAAACAACGTTAGAGTCTTCCTCCATGGTGGCGGACGAGGAAATGATGCCCATGTCACAGAATGGTCCATACTCCCGAAAGCGCAAACGTGGTATGAATGAAGTGGCTGCGATGTCACTCAGCGAACAGGAGCACATACTTTATGGCGACCAACTTCTAGATTACTTTATGACAGTGGGAGATGCCCCGGAGGCGACGCGTGTGCCTCCCCCGGAGCCCCCAGCCAATTTCCAGGTTGATCGTGCAATTGACGACTCGGGAAACACGGCACTTCATTGGGCTTGCGCAATGGGCGATTTGGAGATAGTGAAAGATCTTCTGCGGAGAGGCGCGGATGTGAAAGCACTGTCAGTGCATGAAGAGACCCCGCTTGTGCGTGCTGTCCTGTTCACGAACAATTATGAGAAGCGGACATTCCCGGCACTGTTGGAATTCCTGTTGGATACTATCTCGTTCAGGGACTGGTTTGGTGCCACCATATTCCACCATATCTCAGAAACCACCAGAAGTAAAGGGAAGTGGAAAAGCTCGCGATATTACTGTGAGGTGCTACTGGAGAAACTGCAAACCACATTCTCTCCGAGTGATATCGACATGTTATTGTCTTTCCAAGACTCGAATGGAGACACAGCCGCATTGGTCGCTGCTCGGAATGGTGCCTTTCGACTGGTGAATTTGCTATTCACGCACTGTGCGCGGGCTGGGGACTTGATTAACAAGAAAGGCGAAACAGCGGCCAGTCTTACGCAAAGGGCACACCATTCCGAGCGGGAAATCCCGCCTGCACCTTCGTCTATCACAATGGGAGATAATCATATCGATGGCGAAGTGAATGGCCCTGTAAACTCAGATCCCCAGTCTGCTGCTCTACCGCAGGAATCATCCGCCGCCACGTCGGCGCTCTTGTCCAAAATCGGTGTCATTATGGCCGAGGCGAACAAGAAGCTTGCAGTGAGTTACGGGAGCTCCAAGGCCAATCAGCAAGACTCAGATGACGTCGCGAACCCGGAGGCTTTATACGAGCAATTAGAACTGGATCGACAGAAGATCAAAAAGCAGCTAGCCATTCTGACAGCAAGAGAGGCCCAAGAAGAATCTATTGACACACAACTGGAGCGGTACGAGAGGTTGAGAAGTAGTTACGAGTCGCTTCTCGAGCAAATACAGCAATCCCGCCTGCAAAAGCGACTTCTTACGACTCCACTGCCTGCAAAGGAAAACACGGCTCCGTCCTCGACAGACCAAGCCAAATTACTCAACGTATATCAGCTTGGCCGAGAATTGTGTTTGGCGCAGAAAGTTCGACGTGAGGCCGTCAAAGACCTAGCTCAGCAGACCGCCGATGCCGGTGTCAGTACCAAATTTGACGTTCATCGCAAGCTTGTCGCTCTTGCAACTGGACTCAAGGAAGAAGAGTTGGATCCAATGGCTGCTGAACTAGCAGAGACACTGGAGTTTGACCGTATGAATGGCAAGGGCCCGGGGGCGGAGTCTCCCGAGCCCGAACAAAAGGAATCGGCATCATTTCCCTTCCCTGGACCTACGGTGTCTGTGGACGCATAGGCGAGCTGGGGATGATGCCTCTCGAGTTGTCGATTTGTATACGATGTATCATGTGATCCACGGAGTTGCGGTGCGGTGGTTGTGATTTTTCTTTTTGCCTACCTATCTCTTTCCACGTCTTTTTTTGGATATACCACTCTTTATGATTCCGAACGCGAATCCTGTGTCTTTCTTTTCACTTTTGGCGGGGATGTCTCACAGATTCTGTCTTGCCAGCAGATACCCAATATTTCCTTTTGACCTTTCTCCTGCTCTAATCTCCTTTCGTTCTTCCATCCCACCTCCCCATGCATATGATCAATCGGACTTACCGTTGGACTCAGCTGTCTGAAGGTTCGTATTGTTTGGTTGCGTCGAAGCAGCACACGGGAAATACCGAGTGTATGACCTGGCTGAGCATGCTGAAGCGGGTGTTTGTACATACCTACCTACCTACATGACAAGCTGATAACATGTAATACCTCAAGCCGATAACATCTCGCCTTACAAAGTAGCTGTGTCCCGATGGCAAGGGCGTGAGGGAGCCGGTGAATCAATCATTTCCACCGGATGGGCTGCAGGGCGGCTATCATACTCTAATTCCGACTGGCTTCTGACTGTGCTTACGATCGCTATGATCGCAGTACGGAGTTCTCATAATGCTGGCAGACTAGGTGACTAGGCACGATCTAGTACGGAGTATCTACTGAGTAGTGCGGCACTCTAAGGTTGGATGTCCGGGAGTATGGAAGGCCACTTGGGCCGATGATTGGCCCAGTTCAAGCCATGCAGGCCTTCCCATCACACACACATCCTGCAAGCCAAATCCAGCCATTCAGGCGACGGGGGCCGGCGGTTCTTGGACGAATCCTGCAACGGAGGCGTTTGGCTGGCGGCGGGCGAGGCCACGTTGAAGGCGCTAAACTGGGATGATCCATCGAGGTGGGCGACATTAGACCAATAGGGGCCGGCGATCCTATGTTCCAGATGTATTACTTTTCCAGACGGTCTGTGTCAGGCTCCGGCACTATCGAGGGAGGGACGAGACATGGGAATCGATTGGTTGGCCCAAGCGGCTGCTTCAGATTGGATCATTGGACTAGAGGCCAGAGGGCGCATTAGTTTCTCCAGACTCCTGTTACCGATGCTTTGACCGTTCTGGAGGATCGTGCGATATATAAGTACGGTAGTCTGAAGAGGAGACAGCGTACGGAGTAAAGTGGGCGGGACTGGCATGGGCATATGCCTGAGTGCCTCAGGATTTATACTCCAGAGTCCAAAGAAGACAATGCTGGGCACTTCTCTCCCTGGGCGTAGGCACCTATTGAGCACCTAAGGTATTATTGAGTATTGAGGAACGGAGTATTGTCCTCAAAGCTAATCCCCGACCAGGTCTCCATGGTCTAACCCCAAAGGGACTAGTGCGGATGAAGCGAGCCAATCAAGGGGCGATCCAACCACCGGACGCCTCAGGCTCCTCAGCCCAAAGGACAATTCTGGCCTGAGGATATTCTTTTCCTGATGATGACTGCCGGCCTTTGATTGGGATTCGCAGGGCAAATCCTCAGGGAGCTTGTCATCCTCTTCTTGCCTCTCCGCTCGCCTCCCTCCTCCTCTCTCCCTCTCCGTCTGGGTACCTTCTTTCCTCTCTTCTTTTGCTCTCTTCATCCACTTTCTTTCTCTCCCATTCCCTCTTGTCTTCTTTCCTCTTCCCCTCTTCCCCCCTCCGGTTCTTTCTTTCTAGTTTCTTCCTTCTCTTCCACTTCCCCCCTCTCCCTGCCAAGCTAGCTTCTTCCATCTCATCCCGTATTCACCTCACCTTCCCCCTTTTTATTCTTGTCCCTTGTTGCTTTATCTTTCTATTAGTATTTTTTTTCTTCTTCAGTTTCCCCCCCCATTTCTTCATCATCATCTACATGGTCTTTTAGACTTTGTAGTGATAACTTTTGGATTTGGAAAAGTCATAGTCGATTTGTCTGCCGGACCGTCTAGATCGCTGGGGCTGTTCTCTGGTGCCTGACCCTGACCGTCTCAACGCCAAGACTTGGAAAGGCGCGGGTAAAAAAAAAAAAAAAAAGAAAAGAAAAAAAGGAAAAAAGCACGAACACGCGCCGAGAGCCGAATCGACCTAATAATCAACCATCGCCGAAACTCTCCCTCTCTCTCTCTCTTCTATTCTCTCCCCACGACCGGATTGCAGATTATACCGAAAGGGAAAAAATCAAAAAAAGAAAAAATTAATATTAATTGGAAAAAAAGCATCTCGTCAAGAGAGAGGACAAGGCCTATCCCTTACTTCTATTTTCGATCTTCGAAGCGGCTCTGCCCATTACCTTTTCCCGTCTTGAGGATTGAAGTTAATCTTCTGCTCGAGTCGTCATTGCATTTTCATCTTCATCTCAACTATCTTTTCTACGGCTAGGAGTTGCAGAGCATCTCTTACCCTCTTTTTTCCTGTCCGTCTTTAATCATCGAAAGACCTGCATCTCCTCCCTCTCGACTTCGTCGGTCCCTTTCTTGACGTCCGGTCGCGTCTGTCGCTCCATCTTTTCTTGCCTGGTTCCTTCGAACCTGTAGCGTCGCACGCTAGGCCGCCGACGACCAGGTCTATCGCCTCTTTGGAGTCCTGGATATTCATCATTCGTTGTCACTCCAACGCCTCTTTCTTCGAGCCTCTCATTTTCGGTTCTCAATTCTACAGGTAGGTCGACTCTCTCATCGGGCGGCAGCGCACAGTGCACTAATACGGATCATCCCTGCAGGAGTCAAGCTTTGTCTTCCCAATATTTTCCATACCACGCACGATTTCACCAGCTTTTGAATATCTGCTTTCGCGCCGTGTTCTTTCTCAGCCTCGCCGTAATACTATAATCCGCTCGTGTTCCCGTCGTGCTTTGGATTGCCGAGATACCGCAGTCCATCTTTCTTGGTCACCTATTGCACATACTACATTATTCTTCATTGTATTCGCAACTTTTTGAGTATGGACACTGGCGGTCTTGCTCAGATGACTTACAACTCGTCCTTCAATAATGGCAGCTCCCTCGGAGCCCCGGGCTCCGGCTTCGGATCAAGGAGGAAAGGCGCTAACATCAAACGACTGAGTGTGCCGCCTCCTCACATCTCGACTATTGATGAATCTCAGCCATCGGGTCCGATACCAACCCCTCGAACCAGTCGCTCACACCTTCTGGCGGGTCTGCGTACTGCTCCTAAGTCGGCTACCGTTCCTTCGGCTTCCCAACGTCAGCAGCAGTTTGGAGTGGAGGGTGACCGATACGGCAACCATGCGAACCGCACCGCCGAACGGGTCCCGCAGACCGCTATGGGAACTGGTTTCCCTCGCCATTCTTTCGGTATGAACCAGAACCAGAATCAGGACACAAACCAAAATCGCCCCATGTACACCCTACCGGAGCAGGTGCTTGCGCCCCCAACCCTCGACATCGGCAGCGATATGCACATCGACGAAAGTCTTTATGCGGAGCTGATGTCTACGAATCTTTTCTTGGCTGCCCAGCAGCAGCGCCTGCAGCAACAGCTGGTCAGCGTGACCGCCGCGGCCCAGCAATTCCAGGGCTTGAGCCTGGGAATGCCTTTGGGAGCCCAACAGCAGCAGGAAATTCCCTCGCTGTCAGTTCCGGGAATGGGATTTTATCAGCAACAGCTTCAGCAGGGTGTGCAGCCCGTCGTGCAGCCCGTCCTCGGCCAGCCCGGGCTGTTCTCCGTTTTTAACCCTCTCACGGGCCAGCAGAACTACGTCTATGACAATTCTATCCAGCAGGATGGCTCACCGGTCCCGTATCAGGAAGAAGAGCAGCCGCCCGCTATGCAGGTCCCTACCTTCCGCGCTGAGGTGTCACCGCCTCCTGAGTCGACTCATTCTTACGAGAGGTACCCCCAGCCGGTGTCTCCGCCCAGCTCCAGCCCTTCTCCCCCTCACGAAACAGTCCCGTTGCCGCCACCATCCGCCAATGCCTTCCGCAGGGGCCACAAGAAGAGCTCGTCGTTCAACCCAGCGTCTAAAGCGCCAATCGACACTGCTCGGGCCAACGCCAACAGCACCATGCCTGCCCCCAAGACCGCTACTCTGCCACAGACACCCGCCACGGGCACTTTCGGACCCGGTCAAGGGCGCGCGGGTGAGCACCCTATGCGCCAACCGCGCGGCCCACCTTCGTTGGAGGAACTCGTTGCAAAGCCTACCTCGAAGCACGAAGGTAGCAAGAACTTCGCCACTCGACAACGTCGAAGGGCCGTCCACAATTTGGTGCGTGCGGGAATTGAGCGACGAGGCGAAACCCGCAGCTTCGGATGCCACAGCAGCGGTGGTACCAACACACCGGCCAGCGAGAAGGAATTCACGTTCTCCGACGGAGATGATGCCACGGTTCGCAGTGGTAGCCTCTCCAGCAAGCCGAGCCTGGGCAGTTTGCGGGCTGCAGCCAATGGTGCGATTGGCTCCGAGAGGAAGGAAAGATCTTCTCGGGAGCGACGGTCGCAGGACAGCCCTTACAACACCCCCATCAGCGAAGATGGAGGCTTTTTTGGTGGCAAGTTTGCGGATGTTCGATCGGGCCAGGTCTCTCCCCCAGCGGGGTCACCTTCGGTTGCTGCTGTCGTCGCTGGCCAGAAGACGGTAGCTCAGGGTCCGGAAAGGCGCAAGACTCCGATGCTTGTGCTGTCCAGCGCTGAAAAGCGCAAGACCCCGATCATGTAACGCCAACCACCGTACATAATGTGACTGAGACGTAACGGATTGCAAAGCCTGGATGAATATTTTTTTCATTTTCTTATTGTTTACTTGCCTTGTTTGACTCTTTCCTTTTTCTTCACTTCTTGACTTTCTTTGGGACCTTGTGTGTATCCTTCCTTTCTATTCTTTCGTTATCCATCATGGGATGATAATTTTTTCACGTGACGGTGGGCTTGATCCTGCCAATGTTCTTTCGTTTTAACTTGAGGGCTGTCTTTGGACATGAACTGGCCTGGCCATCAACCTTGGATGGCGACTATTCAGTTCTTCTTGCCTGGAAACTCTCCTACTATTTCCTTGCCACACTCACTGAGACAGACTGGTGAATCTGAGTGGCTGAGTCCACCATGGTATTTTAACTTGGTCATTCAACGGGGTGTTTATGTATGTACAATGCAGCTGGCCATGTAGTACATGCAGATATACAATCCTCAGAATATCGTTCATTACACAGAGTTACATCGTCCCATTAGAACACTGATCAAACTGTAGTAGCGCAATTCCCATTAAATAGATGAATTGAAACGCTATGGTTTATTCTTTCAGACCTTCAAATTCATTCCTCCGTAGGTACACATGCGTAGTCCCTCACGTCAAACCCAATCCCCAACTTAAGCAGAAATGCTCTTAATCCCCTCCTCCAACTCCTTCATATTCCCACCCACAACGCGCTTCTCCAAAGGCTGTCCATCCTTGAACAGCACGAACGTCGGCATCGCGCGCACCTGCAGCTCCTGCGCGACAGAGCGCACCTTGTCCACGTCCACCTGGATGAAGCGCACGTTGGGGTACGTCTCGCTGAGTTTGCCGACGACCGGCGCAACGGCCTTGCAGGGTCCGCACCAGGTCGCGAAGAAGTCGACGACGACGGGGCCGGAGGAGGTGAGGGCTTTGAAGATGACGGGGCTGTAAAATGACGATGAGTTAACCTGTCTGGCCTGGTCTGGTCTGGTTTGGTTTGGTTTGTTCTGTTCTGTGTGCGATGAATGTCGTGGGTTTTGTGGGTCAGACGTACTTGTCAACTTCGATGACTTTGCCGTGGGCCATGATCTTTGAGGGGAAGAAGCGGGCGCGGACGAGGCGGATGACTTATTTATTTCGAAGATCGCGGTTAGTAACTGACTTGACTTGACTTCTGTGCGCGGGGTTGGGGTTCGTGATCGTGGGGCCAGTGGTGGAGGGATTCAACTTACCGATGTAGACGGCGAGAGCGAGGAGAAGGCGAGAGTAGTCCATGGTGAAAAGCTGAGGATGGATAGATCCGGGGTGTGGGCTTGTGTGAGGGTCAGCATTCAGTGCTTATGTATGGATTACTGCATTTGGGTGGGAGATTGCGACAGCTGAGTCAGTAATTCATAAAAGGGCATAGGCTAGCCTATTTGGGTAGGTAACGCTGTGCACAACTGGGGAGGGATCGTTCGGTGATTGGTCAATTGGAGCTACTGCATGCAAACACAACAAACCGGATCTACCGTCGTGATTATCAGACGCAGACAAGACCATCTCCGATGCGATCTACTCGGACGATTGCACGAATAATTCCCTCACTTCCTTCATACCTTATCCTCCCCTAAACCGCAGAAAAGGAGCCAATCACATTGACTCGAAAAGAGGAAGAAAAATGCCACCACCGAAGCCATCACGCCTCTTCTCACCCAAAGTCGCCAAACCGCGCTCCCCGAACCCATCGCGGCGACAACCAGAACACTCTCCCCAATCTCAACCTCACTCTCAACATCCCCCTCGACCACAATCGCAAGCCTCCTTCTTCTCCTCCCTCCGCACCCGTTACGCTTCTCTCCCCCCTCCCATCCGCCGCTCCTTCCGCGCCCTCCGCATCGCCGCGCCCCTCCTCCCCATCGGCCTCTTCTTCTCTGAGCACATGTGCCAGATCATGTGGGTGCGCGGGCCCTCGATGACGCCGTGCTTGAACGAGGACTACGACCTGATGCACACGAAGAGCGACATGGTGCTGGTCAATATGTGGCCGTTCGGAGGCGCCGGGTGGCCGTGGCAGAGGCAGCGGAGATTGGAGAGGGGGATGGTGGTTACGTTTCGGTAGGTTTTCCTCCCCCTTCGTTGTCTGTGGTTTGGTTTGATATTTCGTCTCAAATCCAGGTCAAGCTGAGCTAACAAAATACGATACACCAGCTCCCCCGCAAACCCATCGCACATCGCCATAAAACGCATAATCGGCCTCCCAGGCGACCGAATCACAACCCGAGAGCCCTGCATGAAAGAAACCCAGATCGTGCCCTTCAACCATGTCTGGTTAGAAGGCGACGCAGACGACCCGAAGCGCTCGCTAGACAGCAACACGTACGGGCCGGTCAGTATCAGTTTGATCACGGGGCGGGTGATGGCGGTGATGTGGCCGCGGTGGAGGCCGATGCGGTGGACGGAGTGGGAGGAGGGCGTGGTGGATGGGAGGGAGGGGTATCGGCAGGGGGTGAGGGATCGGGTGGTTAAGGAGGCGGTTAAGTTGGATAGGCCGGCGTTGAGTTGAGGGGGTATTTTTGTCAGGGTGCTTAGTATGGGACTGGGGTTGTGGATTGTATTATATGTAGATACAGACAAAGACAAAGACGGAGGTAGATAGATAGATTGGTAGTTGGATTATGTACGAATAGGATATTCATAATATAGACTGAAAGAAAAGGGAATAAGACGAAAGCGTGTTTGATCACAAATTGGGCAATGAAGTAAAAGAATCAAACAAGTCGAATGTCCTCCGGCTTATGTTCCTGCAACCGGTCAATTTCAGACGCAATGCTCAACACCCAGCGATCCTTCTCAACTCGACTGCGCGCTTTGAAAACGACTGTCCGTCCGTGTACCCCTAGCTTCGGCACCTGCTTCAGAGTCTTTCTCGTTTGCCCTCGTTTCCCCTCGATGGCCCGGAACAGGTTCTTGCGCAGCGGTTGCCAGATTACGAAGGTGATGGCGGTGTCCTCGTCGGTGCTGGTGTACACATCGGTGGAGAGATAGGCTCGCGGGAGCGTGCGGTGGCCGGGGTTGTTGCTGTCGAAGGTTTGGTTGCTATACAGGAGATCGGACTCGGCCAGCAAGCCCGAGTATATATAGCAGTCGGTGAGGTCGATGGTAGTTTCAATGCTGGAGTGGATATGTGGGATTTGGACCCCGTTGCGTTTCCGCAACGAGCTGCGGTAAATCAATAGTTTTCCGTCGGCCAAAACCACTTCGCATCGTTTGAATGTTGAGTGTCGTCGGGGCTTTTTGAAGAGCTGTCCAGACATCTTCAAGTGTATAAGCACGGGGATCTCCTCTAGATGACTGGCTAGAACATACCTTGATCGCTCGACATCCAGAAAGAGAACACATGTTGTGCAGATGCGGAGATGCTTCGGCCTTTTTGACTTCCCACTTTTTGGCGATCAGTCCGATCATCGACTCCAGTTCCGCATCAATACCCAAAACTTCGACATTTCGTCGTCGGATGTCTTTGATTTCAGCCGCATCCGCTGCGGCCCTCGTCTTCCAGTATCTCACTAAGGCGTTGAGTCGGTTTATCCAATCATCCTTCGTCTCTGCATTATACGCCTGAAGGCGGACGACAAGTCCATTGTCCATCTGCAGTTCGAAAGTCCGATCGTCCTCGAACTGCTGAGTTGCTCCGTCGTCGGTGCGGGTGTCCCGTGCCTCGGGATTGAAGGGAACGTCCGGTCCTTCTCGAATGTTGGGGTCCGCTGGGCAACTGTCACGCCGCACATGACGCACTTCCACTACCCGACGAAGATCAATATAGCCGTCTGAATTGCTGAGATTGTGATGGACACGCCGTAGCTGGGCATAAGCTTCCTCGTCGTGTTTCTTGATGTGTTCTTTGTTACCGTTTGTCAGCCATGTGATATTTCCGTCTTCATATGGATAGGGATCAATGTCGTATGACAAAGGCATTCCATCCAGTATATCTTGTGTCGAAGGAATGTTGGAATCATTTCGGCAGAGCCGGGGCGGGGCTGGTGGCAGCGATTTTGCTGGTCTGCAGAAAAACAAGTAGTGGTCCTGGCAGAAGAAGTAGAGGCGCTTGAAGAACATTTTGTTCATCCGTTGTTGAACCCCCTTCTGTGATGTGAGACGAACCAGAAACCCTTCCACGGGCTCCGGCTCTTCAATCTTGGTGTCTCCAAGAGGGACAAAGGTATGGTAATGTTGTCTTGGTCGCAGCTCAAGCTCATGGGTGTTCTGCATTGCAAGTGACCCGTACATCTTCTCCTCATTGATACCATATATCCACTCCAACCGATCGTATCGCTTCCAGGCAAGACCCATCTTTTCTGTCTTCGACCACCGTTGCAGCACGTCGGACCACTCTGCGCGTTTTTCGAGCATCTCCATGCATTCGCGCACAATCGCCAAGGCAGCGTACTTCTCCTCTTCTGCGCACCGAGCAAGAACTTCACTCTTTCGCGTTTTGTGACCGGCTTTTATCTCTTGTTCATCGAATGGATTCCGGAATATAAGACCCACCCCCAAGTCAGGAACGTTGATTGACAGCGAACTAGGCCGCTGCCATCCTAGTGCCTGAAAGATTGAAGTGTACCACTCGACCGCATGCGCTGTTGATTTGGGCCGAATAATGTAGATCTTCGTGCCATACTTGCAGGGCCCCCAGAGGACGATCGACTTGTCCAATGAAGAGTACAAATTGACGCTGATCTTCTTTGGGCCAAGTGTTACTTCATGTTCAGGAGAAACCCGAGTACCTTTTTTCTGGATCTTCGGGATAACATGTGTCTTGTACATCTGGAGAGAGAAAGGTGCATCAGGATCTGCAGTGGCACGACAAACCACAAGATATTCTCGCCAATTATCCAAAACCCGCGTTTCCATTCTCATGCTATCGTGCTCCGAAAAGTCGTGCGGGAGATTATCTTGCATAGTTTGTTCGACTCGCACAAGCATTCGTTCCGTCTTGATGATCTCTCCATCTTGCAACTTCCGTCGGTAGGGCACTTTTCTCGAAATTTTGCCGCGGGTTCTCGACAGCCGGGAATGAAATCGCTGTTGTTTATCCAGGAGGTTGTCGTCCAGATTGTACTTGGCTGCTTTGTTTGAGATTTTATTGAGAGGATTCTGGGATGAATGTCGTCTTCCCTCAAGGTGCTCCTCTCCTTCGGTACTTTCGCTCTGAGGCTCCTGCTGTTCCAGGTTCATTGATGACGGGGCTCTGGAGAGCCTCGCTTTCCCTTTTGCTTTGGCCGATGAATCGGGTCTCAGTAACGGGGTCTCAGATCCGACTTCACTTGGGAGGACCATGGGGCTTGACTGACTGGCCTCATCCGCAATTGAATCGGGAGCACTTGGCTTCAGTAGTGTCTGTTCTTGGTCGCCTTTACCGCTGAGTCCCCCGGAGGACAACGGTTTTGTAGTAGAGGCCGAGCTGGGTCCACGTTCTCTTGCTGTGACAAAGGATGTACCGGCCTCGCCCATCCTACTCTCAGCACCAACGTTGTCCTCACTTTTGCTGGAATCCGGGCGAGCTTGCGTGTCTGGTCCTGGGGCGGGGGGAATTTCATTCTCCTCATCCAGAGGATAATCCAAAGCCCGGAGAGCACCATGTCTTCGGATAGAGTCTTGGTCACTAATTTCATTCTCCGCGTCCAGATCCACGTCCGTTGTTTCGCCTTCCGTTGTATCGACCGGATAATCATCGTCCTGCTCGCGTTGCGAATCCGAGGGTTCGCCCCGATCTGGGCTGTCCGAGTAATGTGCGATTTCCGGTTCAGCGGAGAAAGTAACCGTTTTTGAGGAGTAGTTTTTGAAATTGAGTCTCGATCTGTACCAGGATTTGCGGTGATTCTGCAGCCAGCCCTTGGGAATGGGACCGATAAAGTACCTCCTACTAGTCATATGCACATGTCTGGCGGAAGCGTAGCGCTAAGCTAATAGTTAGTCTTATGGGGCTCATTTAAAACGAAATTGGATGCAGCCCTACCAGCTTTTCCGCGGTGTAGAACCCCGTTTCCAAGCCATGGAGGTGGTGATGGTCGTAGCCGATGTTACGGGGGTCAGTCTCCATGGTGGAATCTCGACCATGCTGATCTGAGGGAGTGTGAGAGCCCATAGCACTTCTCCGCGATCTTCAAGACGCAGGATTCGAGCAGGTCCCAGACTAGGCCAGTCAGGAGCATGAGAGAGAAAGGGAGAGCGACGCTCTGACGGGAGCGGCCGATGACGTCGACAGCAGGTGTGTGTTTGTTCTGTTTGCTCTGTTTGTTCAGGGGGACGGCCCGCGGGTCCAGATCGGCTTCACCGCTTGCGTGGCTCCCGGCGGTGAGCGAAGTGACAGGTCAGCCGTTGTTGATATAATGCAAGCCCCTCTCCCCCCCCCTCCTGGCTCTTTTTTATTCTACACTTCCTGCTCATTCTTTCTCTTGTGATTCTCTCTCTTCCCCTTATAGATTTCATTCGTTGAAATACATATTCAAAATGGCTACCTGGTTCGACACTATCAAGCGGTCTTTCGCCGACGTCCCCGTTGATGCTGCCAACAAGGGCATCTCGACCGACGAGTTCCTCGAGGCCGCTGAGTCCTTGACCACTCTCTTCGGTGAGCTTTGTACTCGACTTGCAGGTAGAAGATCTCTCGGTCTAATTGTCTACAGATGTCCTCGGCTCCGTTGCCTTCACTCCCGTCAAGAACGATCTTCTCGGTAACATCAAGGTCTGGACAATTCATGCCCCGCGTTCACGCTCGACCGACTCTAATTCCACTACAGAAAGTTCGCGAGAGGAAGGAGGCTGCCCCTGAGGAGTCCAAGACTCTCCAGGACCTCGTTGTCAACGAATTGAAGACCAAGAAGCACGTTGCTGCTGAGGGTCTCGTCTGGCTCGTCCGGTATGTCGCCATTGCATTGCTGTTCAGAATAGGGGGTTGTTCTTAGACCCGACTCCACTTGGGCGTTTGAGATTAATATGCCACCTTTCGATATGCAAATTGCTAACTATATTGTCTTCTCCATATTAGGGGTCTCGACTTCACCGCCCAAGCCCTTGCCGACAACCTGGCCAAGTCCGATGTCGAGCTGGCCGACTCCTTCCGTGGCGCCTACGGCAACACCCTCAAGCCTCACCACTCGTTCATGATCAAGCCCATCTTCTCCGCCGCTATGGGTGCCACCCCCTACCGTAAGGACTTCTACAGCAAGCTCGGCGAGGACCAGTCTGTCGTCACTGAGCGCCTGAACCGTGAGGTGACTGCTTTGTCGGAGCGGGTCTCCATCCTCAAGGAGTTCCAGGGAACCAAGGAGGCCAAGTGGTAAACTGTTGTCGGAGAACAGCTGGAAATGCTCTCCTGATCGACGGTCTGCCCGATTTGTGTGTTTTTGAGCGTATCATGTTATCAAAGCATGTATATATGTACAGAGTACCTATACGTAGCCAATGGTACAGTGATCAAGACTTAGCAGTGGTACATCGCACTCTCATAGAGCAACATAGCACCCGTCAGTTGAGTAACAAAAACTCTTCCGAGTTTAATTACGCCCTCTACTTCCGATTGCTGAGGGTCTCGGTAGCCTTCAATAATGCAATAATAGCGTTGGATACCTGGCTCAACTTATCAGCATAAGACGTGTTTATCGTATGGACAACATGATCTGCAGAGTCCGTTTATATGTGCAGGGCCTGGTTTGTAGTTACTTAATTAAGAGCAGCCTACTCGAAAATAACAATACTTGAGCCCGCTTGAATAGATCCTACTATCCAGTGCACGCATATCCGACTCTATGATAAGGGGAATCGATATTGAGCTATAATAACACGGTGGATTAATGTGATTAGCGCTACTGATTATATCATCTATGGAAGAGAAAGTCTGGCTATAACACAAGGGCTTAACCTTGGAAACAAAAATTGGACCACCGTACCATAAGGAGCATGCCGGTCTTCCTAAGATCCGACAGGCTACTAATTGTAGTATTGAATCAATCAAAGTCTTAGGCGTTGTAGATTGTCAAAAGAGTGTGATCACTGGCATCTAGATTGCACTGCAACCTTAGATATATGCGGGTTTGGCTGATATACTGAAATGCATACCCGTCACGAATAAATGAATTTTTTAGTTGTAAGGGACTCATTCGTCAGCTGGGCTGTTCCATTCTGCTGCGGTGACGTCAATGGTATATGATTGTTCGGCTGGCCGAATCGGAATGGCAGCAGCTCAGAGGTTAACCGTGGATAGGATTGGAGGAGTGCTATAACATGTGAATAAAGCAGGATCACAGTAATACAACAGTGCTAAAGATCATGCGGAGATAAAGAACAATCGCCAGCACTACTGACCGCTACTTTCAGGTGAGTGAAATTCGAGTACGATTGCTGACCTTCTGCTTATCCTCTGCTGGATTTCTGCTTTTATTTCCTTCTGCCTCGATAAGCATTTCACTATCCTCCTCGCCCATTGATCTATTCTTGAGTAGCTAGTCCTCCACTAAAGACTATAGGTCATCCCGAAGAACTTTAGGTAGCCACTGGTTCCCAAAGACCTTATCAAGTCAACAATAATTCTAAGCTATGTGGTGTATCATTTAAGCACCCGTGTTATACGAAGCTCAGCGTGCATAAAGTAAAAACCCTATTTACGCTAAGCTTCGATGATCGGCAGGCCCCATACATCAGTTAGTGTGTCAAGGTCATTGAAGTCTACTCATTTAAAACTTAACAAACATACATGAGATTTGACATGCCCATATATAGTTCTTACTCGGTTTATTGGTTAGAAATAAACAAACAGAGTATACGTTATCAAAGACATGGTGGGAGCTCCAACCAGTATACGTCATTGAACTTATCAGCGAGTACAAGTGACTGCATGTTTAATTCTTGAACTTATGCATTAGGTATATCACTGTCTCTATGAGTCAAAGAAACAAAAAGAAATGCAGGTGTCTACCTAAGGATAGAGTTTGGTGACGGAGGTAAGTGCACCTAACAGTCCGTTAAGTTTTCTATTGGCTACACTAAAACTCTCCTCCTCTTAATCCAGAGTTTGGTGACGGAGATAAATGTATTTAACAGTTTGTTAAGTTTTCTATTAGTTATACTAAAATTCCCCTCTTTTCAATCCAGAGTTTGGTGACGGGGGTAAGTGTACTTAACAGTCCGTTAAATTTTCTACTGACTACACTAAAACTCCCCTTCCCTCAATCCAAAGTTTGGTGACAGAGGTAAGTGTACCTAACAGTCTATTAAGTTTTCTATTGGCTACACTAAAACTCCCCTCCCCTCAATCCTTTACCCCCTTTTGTTTCTCCTTGTTCATTTTGCCCTCCTCTTCTCCCGCCAGCGCAGTCAAGAGTCCACGCTGTTCATCTCAACTACTTGCTTGGTTTCCCACACAAAGATGCGCCACAAACATTCGACCGGGCCCAAGGAGCCCGAGACTTCTACTGAGAAAACAGATGTCGACCTCGAAGCGGGTCCTCCAGCGATCACCAACAGAGATCCAGATCTGGTTACTTGGGACGGGCCAAATGACCCAGAGAACCCCAAGAACTGGCCTGATGGTGTAAGGTGGAAGAACACTTGGGCAGTCTCACTCTTCGTCTTCATCTCACCCATCTCGTCGTCGATGATTGCTCCCGCCATGGAGAGTCTCGCAGAGTCCTTAGGTATGCGTACTCAAATCGAGACGTACCTATCCCTGAGTATCTTCATTCTCGCCTACGCCATCGGTCCCATCTTCTTCGGTCCTGCATCAGAGCTCTACGGTCGTGTAAACTTGCTTGTGTTCAGTAACATCTGGTATATGGGTTGGAACGTTGGATGTGGTTTCGCCGGGACGAAGGCTCAGCTTTTCGCATTTCGTTTCCTCGCTGGTATCGGTGGTAGCGCGCCGCTAGCTATTGGGGGAGGAGCCATCAGGTAAGAGGATCGCGGAAGAACATATTAAATATCCGAGCGCTGACCTGGCTTGCAGCGACATGTGGACTGCCGAAGAACGCGGCAAGGCCATGGGTATCTACACTTTGGGACCACTTCTTGGTCCCGTTATCGGACCCATCGCTGGGGGGTTCATTGCTCAATATTCGACATGGCGCTGGGTATTCTGGTCCACGTCTATCGCGGCTCTCGCAGTGCAGGGTGTTGGACTATACGGGCTAAAGGAGTGCCACCCTGGCACAATTCTACGGAAGCGACGAGACCGTCTCGTCATGGAAACGGGCAACACAAATCTCCATACTGAGGAACCCGATGAAACAGTTGGTCGCAAGCTTCTTCATGCCTTTCAGCGGCCGGTGCTGCTATTTACGACACAGCCCATAGTCTTCTGCATGGCTATCTACATGGCCTACCTTTTCGGAGTCACGTATCTGATGTTTGCGACATTCCCCATGATCTGGACCGAGGTCTACCACGAGAGTCCCGGGATTGGCGGCCTCAACTATCTCTCGATTGCCATCGGATCATTCATCGGCCTTTTCGTCAACCTAAAACTTGTCGACCGCATCTACAAAACTCTCAAATCACGGAACAACGATGTCGGTAGGCCCGAATTCCGCATGCCGTCGTTGCTAGTTGGTTCCTTGATCTCCACAATCGGACTCTTCTGGTACGGCTGGAGCATCGGCAACACGCACTGGATCATGCCCAATATTGGCGCGGCGATATTCTGCATGGGCACCATTTCCTGTTTGCAGGGAATGCAGACGTATATTGTCGACAGCTACCAAACCTATGCTGCCAGCGCCATGGCCGCTTCAGCTGTTCTTCGCAGTTTGTGTGGCTTTGGATTCCCACTCTTTGCTCCTTACATGTACCAGGCTCTGGGGTATGGATGGGGAACCAGTGTGTTAGCATTCATTACCATGGTTATTGGGTGGGCGTCACCGTTCGCGTTCTGGTATTTCGGTCCCAAGCTCCGTGCTATTTCCGGATATGCTGCTGGCTAAAAAGTCTAGATTCGACGTATGAAGTGTAAGATAGGGTATGTTGGGTAATCTCTCCTCTTTGCTCAAGAACTTTGGTGCTTGATTATATATTAAAGAAATCTCTTCGCTCTAGAATAATGAAATTAATATAACTAAACCTTTGGAAACGAGCTATATCAAAGACGAGTACTTCTCCAGGTAGCAGCTAGACTACATAGATTCTACATATAAAACAAACACGTGTCTGAGAACACACGTATGTATTCGGGACTTGTTGGTCCTGGCTATCCTACAACCCTTTTATGTAGGATCTCTGGTCAGGAATTGAGAAATAAAAACAGGATAGTGGCTGCTGCATCGGAGAAATGGCCCATCTAGAATTCGGCGTGTCTATAGCCAAAATTTAGATCATTCCCGGGCCAACAGTTATGATCTAAGTAGAAACTGGTGCGTGGTGAGCACGCAATGGGAAGGGAAAAGATCAGAGCTGGGTAGATGATCAGATGCATATCTAGGTGCCAGATTTACACGTGCATTAGACTTTATCTATTAGGCCTGTCGCTAGAGGAAGGGCCGAAAGGGCAATGGAGTCACAGGTGGCAGTATGCTCTTCATTGCAAACATGCCATGTTCTGTCTTCCTGAATCCCGAGAAGTCCAAGGTTCAGATATCTCTTGGGGCGCTCACGTTCCACGGACATAGAATGTCGCTTATCTTTGACAGATAATAATGTGAGAATCTTTCTAAAATCGCAGGAAGGGCGATAAAGTGAAGAACTGCACCTAGTGCAGGCGTCTATGATAGCCCTACTCATATCAACTCCAGAGCCGGAGACTTGACAACGATGCTGAGTCTTCATTGCGTCGTTCTACGGTGCCCGAAGAATGCAAACACCCTGCAGCTCAACCAAGGACCCCGATTGAACTTTGCAAATTCAACCAAGCCAGTACCTAACCAGTATAGAAAAGTTTGCACATCGTCCTCGGGATAAATTGCTGTTTCCTGGTCATGCCCAATAATCAATCCTCTTTCCTACAAGCCAGCCCCGGGGTCATCTATCCCTAGGGGTAGCACTGTATCTGCAGATCCTTGGAATCAGATAAACAATAATGTCAGATCTTCGGAAGCTCTCCGGTGATCTCCCAAAAAAATGGACATATGGATTCCAAATCCACGGCATCCATAAATAGCATGCCTTACCCGACTGAAGCACCGGTTTATGCTTAAAGTCGGCCCGTAGACAGGAGAAAGTACTTTATTTAAAACGCCAACACAGATTTACGCAGTAAATGCGGAGAAAGATTGACAGTTGACACACAAGCTGCGCCAGCGTGAGATACTCTGACACAGAAATTATCGACCTACGTCACCAGAGAGCTCGGCGAAACGAGTCAGTCCCGCAGGATGTCGCTGCGAAGAGCTTGAATCGCGGCGTTACCTCCAGTATAAGGTTAGCTCCGAACAGCAAAAGGAGGGGGTTAGGTGCCTAGCTCCCAATTTCGGATAGCTATGGGAACTAGACGCGGATTGAGGTTGATCGGCGTTGAAAAGGCGAGCGGGGGTTCCTATAATTGGCTTGTTCTAGGCCGGCCATGGAACGGAAACAACCGGCTCTGCATGGATGGTAAGGATGTTTTCTTTTTGTGGTACAGAAAAGATTTTGCAGGAGGGATATCGTGGGAAAGGGGGGAACTGGAAAAGTACTCCGATGTACTCCGTACGGATGGTGGGCCAGGTGTCCAGGACATGGCAATAATAAGTGGGTAGGTAGATATGCATGGTACACTGCCCAAAATAGCACACGGAGTAGATGATGGAGTGATGGACAAGTTGATGAAACCCACCGGTGCAAGCTAACGGGCCCAATACCGATCTCTCGCTTGTTGGAAATGAGTGCTCGGCTACTTCGGCTTGGATAGAGATAATTATAATTGCGACCTGACAAGTCTTAGATTCTGGGCAAACATTGCTACTGAAAACGATTAACTAGAATTTTTATATGACAAATTCTCCTCCCTCAAGTCTCCGCGACTTGTTTTTGGGATAACCCATAATTACCTACACCATATGCAGTGGAAGAGCGAAAGATGGGAAATAGTGCATTCGGTGCCTGGAGCTATCTGGATCGCCAGAACTCAGAAGCCCATTAATAAAAGGAGGCGGGGATGTGCCACACCGGCAAGCACTAGAGACCCACTGCACAATGCTCCCCGCGATAGGCCACCCGATTTTATCCAGCCCTCTCGAAAGTTTCAATGGCAGGTCATTCCCGGCGTCATGTTTCACAAATCTCGTCGTGGGTGGATGGGATGGCCAGTGGGAGAATTTGGGTCATGGATAGCCATGCTTGTTCCGGAGTAATTCTTGCACAGCTTCCAGAGAGGAGAAAGGAATGTTGGGAAGAGGGAAGATCTCAATTAAGACCGAGAGGAGATGGGCATAGGCTAGGTATCGCGATCCTCTAGTTAGGTGCTGAAAAAGTCAGTTGAGGGTCGGATCAAGGAAAAGTCTAGAAATCATCTACCCATAGCGCTCAAAGATAGTCTATACAAACAACAATTCCAAATCAGGAAAGCTTAGAGAAGAGCAAACAAGAAAATTGAAATCCATTGTTCGGTCGGCGCCCCATCCGCTGATCGGAATCAGGATGAAATGGCTCATGAGTATTTGGGGAAAAAGAGGCCGAGATTGCCGATCTCAGGATCGTGTTGCACTGCTGTTCAAGATCATAAGATAGATCAGGCCCCAGGCTCCATAAGGCTGGATATCCAAGAACCCAAGAGATTCAGTTTCAATAAAGTTCAATACATCTCGTGTTCGACAATTGTTCGTGGACGCATTGGGAACGATGACATGTGATCCTGGGAACCCTGAATGTTGGCTGTTCAAAAGATGCTTGGCCTTTCGTAATCATGAACCTCATCCAACCCATAGGCCATAGAATCAATTAATACGATAAAGTAATACAAATGGCTAGCGCGGTGAACAGACTGGCCATTCCTGTCTCAGATAAGAGAACCATGGTTCCGATGTTGAATGTCTGTGCAGACCGGGGCGCGACTTCAAAAAGACTTTGCCAATCCCCCCTGGGAAAGCAGGCACGACTGAGCAAAATTTCCTGAATGGCACAGATCGTCGCCAAGCAACCAGGATGCCTACTCCGTATGCATGTTACATGCCCGGCCCATGTGCAGAGACATTCGTGGCAAATGTCGGCGGTCGGCGCTAGCTAAAAAGTCATAGGAGCGCCACCAAAAAGGGGCATAGAAAGTTAGAAGGTGGTCAGATTCCCTTTCTATTTGTGTCCGGACGTCAGACTGCCATTCAATCCCTTCAGTTGAAATCCTAATCCTAGGTATGCTTGGAAGGCTTTACTCCGTAGGATGAGGTGGATCTTTGTTCCCCGACGGTGGCCGCTCCAGTTGCCTCCACCCTCGGCTGTTTAACCTGACTGGACTGGTGTCGTCACTGCGGTTTGACCTCTGGCGACGGATTCTCGATGAACCACCCTAGTGAGTCCCACATCTCCTGTTGCATCGCGGCCGCGTCCACTTGGACCAAGTGCCAGCGTTGCTCGACCCCAGGAACGCGCATCTGTACATGCCCAAGTGCCTTTGCATGGGAAGGAACAGATTCTTGCTATGTCTTTTATGCATGTGTGCAGGTGAGCAAAATCAGCAGACACGGCCAATGGAATGAGCTTCGGAGTATAACGGTATATAACCAGGGATCGCTCCCGTTGTCCCGCACCTCTCATTGTTCTAGAGCCTCGCTTCCACATAGCGTCTTTTAAACCCTCCCATAAAGTTTTGCTAAGTCGCCATTTCTCTCATCGGCACTGGCACACTACGTACTGGACATGCATGGATGATGGCACCCACCCCACTTGGCAGTGGCACCCGCAGGCTGGCTCCAATCGGCACTTAGGAGGCCACTCGCGTTCCTAACTTGCTTGCCACGGGCTGGGTAGGATTGTCAAAATGTAACAGGAGCTGTATTCGCGTATTGCCCTGTGTGTTGTAAAAAATTTTTTCTTTTCGTTTCTGGTTTGCTATTCCCAAGTGTCGCTGCTTTGGGGGTTCCTATTGCATTCATCGGTTTATAACCTTGATACTATGACTACCGAGGCAGGACATGGGCAATCTTACAACATCGCCTAGGGACACCGAGGCACGGGTGCTCTATGCTGCCTTGGTCCGCCATCTGCTAATTAAATGCACATACGGAAAAGAGATAGCGAAAAATGCACACTACAAAGCTGTAGTTCTAACTGTAGAGGTTACACTACCTAGACACACTGATCACACGATGGGCCGAGTGAGCAAAAGCAGCATCCCTGTTCAATGAAAAAAGTAATGGAGGAAGTAAGAATAGTGCAAGAAACCGCTTGGTTTGTAATTGGACTAAAACAAAATTCAAAATTTGCAGTAATGTCCGAAGAAATTAATACACTTTCCCTGTAGTGACGGGTTTCTCTTGCTGGGTCCCCCCTAGCCAAGCTAGTACAGGTCCCCATCCCCGTTAAATAGAGAATGATCCTGTCAAAAGACAGTTTAACTAAGCTTAACTTCCATACCCGGCCTTTTGGATTCCTCTCCCTCGGGGATACCGTATGTACCTCTGAGGATTTCCATAATATGAATCCTGGTTGACCACGCCAAACCCCGGCTGCGCTTCAATATGAGGGAACTGAAAGGTCGCAGCGAGACCATCTTTATCGTGACAGTTATTTTCTTGGGAATCTCGTTCGTTGCCGTTTGCCTAAGATGCTTCGTTCGGTTGCGGCTCGTGAGGGCCTTTGGATGGGATGATGCTCTAATGGTTTTTGCGATGGTATGCGGGCCCATGTCGTTTCACTCTCTCAAAAGCTAATAGTTTGTTTTTATTCAATACAGGCCTTGAATATCCTGTTCGCATTATGTGGAATGATGGGTGCACTTTACGGTATGGGACAGAAGATCCACGATATTCCTGACCCAAGAGATATCGAAACTGCCATGTTTGTACGCTGCTCTTTACATATGATGCATTCCCTTCATCTATTCTGACCCCGTAATATTAGTGGTGGTGGCTTGGTCAGACAAGTTACGTCTTTACATGTGTTGTCGCAAAGATCTCTATCGCACTGGCCCTCCTCCGTCTTACCGTCGCCCGTGCCCACACAATACTGCTGTGGGGTGTCATCGCAGTATCTACTGTTATAGGCCTTGTATTCTGGTTCATGTTAACCTTACAATGTCAACCGGTCGAGTACTTTTGGCACCGGGCGAAAGCATATCTCGGAGCAAACGTCACAGGAACATGTTTGGATGTTGATTATCTCATTGCAATCGCATACCTCTACAGTGTCGTTGCAACGATATGTGATTTCATCCTTGGTCTCTTACCGATTGCCCTCGTCTGGAACCTGCAAATGAACATGCGCACTAAGGCTGCCTTGGCCGGTATCCTAAGTCTCGGGTGCATGTAAGTCGACCCTTTTTAATGGTGCATGTTTTGCGTGATGACATCCATGCTGACTTGCGGGAATTCTAGTGCTAGCGCCGCGGTTATCGTTCGAATCCCTTATCTCCATCACTACAAAGACACAGAGTTCCTCTGTAAGTCCAGCCTGTAGCTTCAACTGCAGAACTCCTGGCGGATATGCGACTAACGAGTGTCATCATTTCAGATGCCACAACGGATATCTCGATCTGGTCAAATGTTGAAGCCGGCCTTGGAATTACCGCAGGAAGTCTGGTTACGCTCCGGCCACTCTTTCGCTGGTTCCGTGGCACCACCTACGACATCTCTCATAGCGCTAAAAGAACCCCGGGCAGTATGCCTCTGTCCAGCATGAATGGCAACGGCAACGGAACCGACACATCGCGACTAGGTCGGGCTGCGACCAAGTACTGGCGACCGGATTTGAATCAGCATGACAGTCAAGGGGTGGTGACAACTGTTCAAACTTCCACGGGAAGTAGGAACAGCAGTCAAGAGAATCTTAACCCCAAGCCAAACACAACAAACGGCGTTAACGTGCATAAGTCGTTCCTGGTCACGTCAGATGAAATGTGATAATAATAATGTGACCGCGCTGGCATGCTTTACTAATGATATTTATAACCCCTAAAACACAATAAAAGAAAAAAGAAAAACAATGAAAAAGTTCTGACCTGGCATAACCTGTGTAAACGATCTTCATAGTACAGAGTAGAATGGTGAGATAAAGGGAAGAGGCCGGGAAAATGAGGCACCGATTCATCGGGCCAAGCACGTGGCACGGGCCAATGGCAAGTCGCGACGACGGAACCTTCAACCTTACTTTGCAGGCGGCGAACTCGCGGAAGGAAATTTAGACTGTCAAGTGTTTAAGGTGGCTTCTCCTCCGACCCTTCCAACCTTTTCTTCCTTGTTCTTCGCATATAGGGGTGTTTCATGGCTGTCTCCCTCTGTCTTATGATTCATTGATTTTCTTCTATACCCCCTGCTATATCGCGTCGCTTGACCCGCGTCGAGGTCATCGAGTGTCGCCATGTAAGTTATAGGTGTCCTAGTTGTGCTTCCATCGCGTGCCATCATCAATATCGTACTGACACTCTCTCGCCAAGGGCAAAACTCGTCGATGACCCCCAAATTGCGCATTCCTCGCTGCACAATCCCCTCCCAACTCAAGTCCACACCTACGTTTGGCCGTTCCTCGTCATCTGGCCCGGATTCTTCGCCTTCTATCTCTCCCCCGAACGCTATGACCAGTACATCCAAGGTCAAGAATGGACCTTTGTGTGGGTTGCTTCGATTATCACGGCTCAGTCGCTCCTTTGGTTGATGACCAAATGGAACATCAACATCCAAACTCTGTTCACGGCGACGAAAGCCAAGTCAATTGACTCTGCAAAGCTCATCAAGGTCATTCCCGGCGCCAACGCCGGATCCGCGGAAATCTGCCCTCTCGTCCATGATAACATGGGTGGAAAGAATACGATCTCGTTCCTATTCCAGAAGCGTCGTTTTCTTTACTATCCCGATCGGCGATGCTTCGGACCCTTGTCGTACGTTCTCGATGCCGAGCCCAAGCCGGCAATTAAGACCTTCCAGCAAAACCCGGGTCTGGCCACCAAGTCCGAGATTGAGGACATTCAGTATCACTATGGCGATAACACCTTCGATATCCCCGTGCCGGGATTTGTTGAACTGTGGAAGGAACACGCCGTTGCGCCCTTCTTCGTTTTCCAAATCTTCTGCGTTGGTCTGTGGATGCTGGATGAATACTGGTATTACTCGCTGTTCACGCTATTCATGCTTGTTGCGTTCGAGAGCACTGTCGTGTGGCAGCGTCAGCGAACTCTCAACGAGTTCCGAGGAATGAGCATCAAGCCCTACGATGTGTGGGTTTACCGCGAGAGCAAATGGCAGGAAATTACCAGTGACAAGCTCTTGCCCGGTGATGTCATGTCGGTCAACCGAACCAAGGAAGACGGCGGTGTCGCGTGCGATATCCTTTTGATCGAAGGCAGTGCTATCGTCAACGAGGCCATGCTTTCCGGTGAAAGTACCCCGCTTCTGAAGGAATCGATCCAGCTGCGACCGGGCGATGATCTGATCGAGCCGGATGGCTTGGACAAGAATGCGTTCGTGCACGGAGGAACCAAGGTCCTGCAGATTACCCACCCCAACTCGAACGTTGAGGAATCCGAGAACACTGGCAAGAACGGCTCCAAGATCACTGCTCCGCCTGACAATGGTGCGATCGGCGTTGTCGTGAAGACCGGCTTCGAAACTAGCCAAGGCAGTCTCGTCCGTACCATGATCTACTCCACCGAACGTGTCTCTGCCAACAACGCCGAGGCACTGCTTTTCATTCTGTTCCTGCTTATCTTCGCCCTCGCCGCTTCGTGGTATGTGTGGCAAGAGGGTGTCGCGAAGGACCGCAAGAGATCGAAGTTGCTCCTGGACTGTGTCCTGATCGTCACCAGCGTGGTTCCTCCCGAGCTTCCCATGGAATTGAGTCTTGCTGTCAACACCAGTCTGGCTGCCCTGAGCAAATTCGCTATCTTCTGTACCGAGCCCTTCCGTATTCCTTTTGCTGGGCGTGTTGATGTCGCTTGCTTCGACAAGACCGGTACCTTGACCGGTGAAGATCTGGTCGTCGATGGCATTGCCGGCCTCACCCTGGGTCACAGTGGAGCAAAGGTCGAGAAGGATGGCGCCCACACTGAGTTGGCCAAGGGCGGTAATATCGGAGTCAACACCACGCTTGTTCTTGCTAGCGCTCATGCATTGGTCAAATTGGATGAGGGCGAAGTTGTTGGCGACCCTATGGAGAAGGCCACGCTTCAGTGGCTTGGCTGGACCCTGGGCGCAAATGACACACTTACTTCCAAGAACAAGTCGGTGCCTGCCTCTCGCGTGCTTGACTCGGTTCAAGTCAAGAGAAGATTCCAGTTCTCTTCCGCATTGAAGCGTCAGAGCACCATCGCGACCGTTGTCGGCAATGATCCCAAGACTTCGAAGAAGATTAAGTCCACTTTCGTCGGTGTCAAGGGTGCCCCGGAGACCATCAGGTCTATGCTTACCCACACTCCACCCAACTATGAGGAAACCTTCAAGCACTTCACCCGTAACGGCGCTCGTGTCCTCGCTCTTGCTTACAAGTTTCTCTCCCCCGAGGCCGAGTTGTCTCAGGGACGCATCAACAACTTCACCCGGGAGGATATCGAGTCCGACTTGATCTTTGCTGGTTTCCTTGTGCTCCAATGTCCCCTGAAGGATGACGCTATCAGGGCCGTCCGTATGCTCAATGAGAGCAGTCACCGTGTTGTCATGATTACTGGTGACAACCCGTTGACTGCGGTTCATGTTGCACGACAGGTTGAGATCGTCGACCGTGAGGTTTTGATCTTGGATGCTCCTGAGAATGATACGTCTGGAACCCGATTAGTCTGGCGTAGCATCGATGACAAGTTTAACCGTGACGTGGACCCCACCAAGGATTTGGACTCTGAGATTGTGAAAACCAAGGATATCTGCATCACGGGCTACGCCCTGGCCAAGTTCAAGGGCCAGAAGGCTTTCTCGGACCTCCTTCGCCACACCTGGGTCTACGCCCGTGTCTCGCCCAAGCAGAAAGAGGATATTCTCCTTGGTCTCAAGGATGCCGGTTACACTACCCTCATGTGCGGTGACGGAACCAACGATGTTGGAGCTCTGAAGCAAGCTCATGTTGGTGTCGCGCTGCTCAACGGCTCGCCGGACGATCTCACCAAGATTGCCGAGCACTATCGGACGACCAAGATGAAGGAAATATATGAGAAGCAGGTTGCTATGATGCAGAGATTTAACCAGCCTTCCCCGCCCGTGCCTGTCCTTATCGCTCACTTGTACCCCCCTGGCCCCTCCAACCCCCATTACCAGAAGGCCATGGAGCGCGAAGCGCTGAAGCGCGGTATCAACCCGGCAAACGGCCAGGGTCAGCAAGAGGCGGTCCCGACCATCACTTCTCCCGGCGCTCAAGCCCTGCAGCAGTCCAACTCCAACTTGACTCCTCAGCAGCAGCGTCAGCAGCAGGCCTCCGCGGCCGCTGCCGGTCTCGCCGACAAGCTTACCAGCTCGATGATGGAACAGGAGCTTGATGAATCCGAGCCCCCTACGATCAAACTGGGTGATGCGTCGGTCGCTGCGCCTTTCACTAGCAAACTGGCCAATGTCATTGCTATCCCCAACATTCTCCGCCAAGGCCGCTGCACTCTTGTTGCGACTATCCAGATGTATAAGATCCTTGCTCTGAACTGCCTCATTAGCGCCTATAGTCTGAGTGTTATTTATCTGGATGGTATCAAATTCGGAGATGGTCAGGTCACTATTAGCGGAATGCTGATGAGTGTCTGCTTCCTTTCGATCTCTCGTGCTAAGGTAAGATTTAACTCGCCGCATAGTTGGTTTGGATGCTAATTTGTCCCTGATAGTCTGTCGAAGGTCTCTCCAAGGAACGACCCCAGCCGAACATCTTTAATGTATACATCATCGGCTCGGTGCTTGGACAGTTTGCCATTCACATTGCCACCCTCATTTATCTGTCTAACTATGTCTACTCCATTGAACCGTAAGTTCACCTTTAGTCTTTTTAGAACGTTGCTCACAAAATCGCAGGAGACAATCGGACATTGATCTGGAGGGCGAATTCGAGCCTTCTCTGCTGAACAGCGCTATCTACCTTCTCCAACTCATTCAGCAAATCTCGACTTTCTCCATCAACTACCAAGGCCGTCCCTTCAGAGAGTCGATTCGCGAGAACAAGGCTATGTACTGGGGGCTGGTTGCCGCCTCTGGCGTTGCCTTCTCCTGTGCCACTGAGTTTGTTCCCGAGCTGAACGAGAAGCTGCGTCTTGTCCCCTTCAGCACCGAGTTCAAGCTCACCCTGACCGTTCTGATGATCTTCGACTACGCTGGGTGCTGGATCATCGAGAACGTCCTCAAGACCCTTTTCAGCGATTTCCGCCCCAAGGATATTGCTGTGCGCCGTCAGGACCAGCTGCAGCGGGAGACCGCCCGCAAGGCTAGGGAGGACTTGGAGAAGTTGGCCGAGAAAGAGCGCTTGAGGAAGGTGTAAGATTTCTTAGAGTTGATCTAATTTTGGAGATTTCTTTTGGGCGGAGCTGCTTATGCATGCTTAGACACTGTTTTCTCCAGACGGGGAATTAGAAAGCGTTGTTGGCTTTTTTTTGTGTCGAGTAGCTGCATTGCGTAATACTTAAGTGGTACATATAAACAATAGAAGGTTTTGTTTTGATCGAGAAGTGTATTCGCTGGGCATCGTAGTTCACTTTTCCCGAAGCATAAGATGGCTGCAACAATTAGGCTGCGACGCTAGCCTCAGGTGTCCAGGCAGCCACACCACACCCCTCATCGGGAGAGGATCACCTGAACCAACCAACCCGATTTAATTAATTTCCAGACAGCTCGCGGCGGTGTCTCTCCTATTCGACCTGTCTCGCGCCTCTCCCCCAATTCTTTTTCCCTTGACTTCCGCTCCTCCGCGGGATCGACTTCTCATGCTCCCATAAATTGGTTTCACTATGTCCCGGAGGACGTTGGGTGGAGGTCGTGTCCTGGGCACCGCGAACGCTCTCTCCCCATCCACATCTGTCCCGTCTCCGCAACCCAAACCAAGGGTCCTGTCGCCCTCCGCCAGCAGCCTCTCTCTTAGCTCCCAGGCCTCGGCCTCGCAGTTCTCATCCGAAACGCAAGATCTCACCTCGCGGATATCTCTGGAGAATGCCAGTTCTTCGATCCCCGCGCCTCCGGCCGCTGCCGGTGCTCAGCTGGCCTGTCCGATCTGCAGTGAGGAGATGGTATGCGACATTCCCCTCATCCTTCTTGCTTCATGCGCTTGGATCTAGCTATCGGAATATTTGCCTGACAGTTACTAGGTGACACTACTACAGTTGAACAGGTAGCTCACGAGCCCCAAACGCCCCCCTTCGTTCCTGACGATTAATTTAATCTAGACACCTCGATGACGTACATCAGAACCTCGAAGATGATCGACAAGACGAAGTCAAAGACTGGTTCAAGACGCAGATGGACAAGGCGAAACGATTCCAGCCGCTGGCCGTCCTGAACCAGAAACTGAAAGGCCTCGACGTATTCGAATCGAACGAAAACCTCCAGACTTCCGCGGGCGCAAGTCGGCCTCTCGCAACACCCTCGCATGCGTTTACCCCTGAACCGGCACGGCCTTTCGAAGCCGATGATATAATCGTCAAGGGCCATTGGCAGGGGCGTGGACTCTACGATACCTGTTTGGAGCCGTCGTGCGGGAAGCTACTGAATGCGACGAACGGGTGCGTTAATTGTCGAAAATGCGGGAAGTTGTTCTGCGAGGAACATACTATGTACCAGATGAGACTTTCAAGATCTGCACAGCACGAGCCGGTGAGAGGTCTTTGGTATAGGGTCTGTGAGACCTGTTATAAGTCGCGCGAAGGATATAATGATCACAACGGTAAATCAATACCGCAGTTTGTGACGGCAAGAATTGAAGGCTGATGATTGCAGGCTTAATACGAAACCGGACAGATGAGTTTAAGGCTCTAAGGAAACAAACGGTGGACAAGGAATTCTTAGAGGCATCTCGGCTCGAGAAACGGTTGACGCGCCTCACTCAGCTGCTTGCCAGCTTGCCCCCGGAGCAAATTCAATCAGGAGCGAGTAAACGTTGGCCGATCTCATGGCCGAACGACCAAAGAAAGGCGCTCGAACAGACCATTGTCAGCTGGCAGGATGACGCCAGCGTTTCGAGGTGTCCTTTCTGTCAGCAGGATTTCACCAGCTACACCTTTCGGAGACACCACTGCCGAACTTGCGGGCAAGTTGTTTGTGGCGATCCGACAACAGGATGCTCGAGTGATGTGCCTCTGAATGTTTCACCACGTATGTTATTTTTCTCTGTGGTGGATTCTATGGCTAATTGGCATAAACAGCATCTACGACGTCTGAAGAGAAGTCGAGCAGCACGGACGTGATCAAAATCGACATCCGTCTTTGTAAAGGATGCAAAGCAACTTTGTTTGACCGTCGTGATTTCGAGGCCGACGTCATGCGAAAGCCCCCTGACCTACGAGCCTACGAGAATCTCATTCAATTCGAACGAGGCATCCGGCTGCTTCTGCCTAAATTCCAAAAGCTGTTGACAGCTCTGCAGTATGTTTCTCATCGCACCAGGTTCTGAGCAGCGTTGACCATGTCCACAGAGACCCCAGGCGACCGCCGTCATCCGCTCAGATTGCGGAAGCCTCGAAAGTCCGAAAGCGACTTACTGATTCTTTTGCGAAATACGACACTGCGGCCAGGCGCATCCGCGATTTGCCTACGGAGTCGATTACACAAAAATTGCTCCAAAAAGCGGTATATCAGCAGGCCAGCAATTTCCTACACCTTCATATGCTCCCTTTGAAATCTCTGCCTAAAATCCTCAAACACGCCTCCGCAAACGAACGTCTAGCGAGTACTGTGGGCTCACCTAGTAGTCCCAGCCCGACCAATGGCTCGAGCATTGGTCACCGACGACAGGACTCTGCATTGTCGTCTATCCGGTATGGCAGCGTGGCAGCGAGTGGCAGCAACAGTAGCCTAGCTAGCGATGCAAGCAGCGCCGTATCCGCTTTGGAAGCGGAGGAGAAATCCCTGCGCGAAAGGCTCATCGTGTTAGAAGAACAGAAGTTCTTCGTTTCCGAAATGATTGCAGACGCGAATCGGCGTCGCAAGTTCGACGAAGTCAGTAGTCTGGCAATGAATGTCGAGGATCTCACCCGGGAAATCGACCGGGTGAATGGAATGCTGGATGGGCTGGACTTTGAAAGTGTCTATACCGGTACTCAGCAGGGCTAACTATTCACACATATAATATAAAGCGCGTCTGCATCTACACCCGCTGAATTATAGCTCTCCTTGAGTGTAGTAGAGCGTACTCTATCCACTTTCCTTTTCTGGCCTATAGTTGCCTCTGGCGCGGCGTTCTGTTCTTTGGTGATCTTTGCATAGCACTAGGCGTTATTGACTTCTTCTTCTTCTTCCTCATGTCTTGTCCCTTGTTTTCGATAAAGTCGGGCGGTTGCTCTTTTCTTTGGTACTATACTAGGTCCAATATAATTTATTGTTATATGAGGTTGGGTCGCTCTGTTAAGCCGTGTTTCTGATCTTGTATATCAGCCACCGATTGGAGATAATGAGTCGGCTTGACTCTCCGCCGAGGCGGAGCCAGACTAGTTGGCATTCGATCCTCTTCCTTTACGTTGTTTTTAAATTATTAAATTTCTTTTTTTTTTTCCATCCTCTCTCTGGAGTATGGCTACCAGACAAATCAACGTGTAAATCTTGCTCAAAGTCAGCAAAAGAGCAATATACAGGAACCACATGTATTACAATGTAGTTCTTTCGCCCCCTAACTGCCATCTCCCTCGATATGCAACCAAAGATACGCAAAACCGACGCCAAGCACCAACAACCGACTAGTCCCAAACAGAATAAGGACTTTCTGACACTCACATCTCCGTCCGAAAGTCTTCCTCCGTTCCGCCAACCCGTCTAGACGGCTGGCTGCCAATAAGTCAGCCTGACATACCCCATGAGTTCCCACACATCGGCACCTCCGCCGTCGGACGAGCCCGCCGCCAAGCGACGAAAGCTCCGCAAAGGCACTAGTAGCTGCTGGGAATGTAAGCGACGGAAGACGCGATGTTCGTTTGCTTCGGCGCGGGATGCCATGTGCGTCGGATGTCAGGGTCGGGGCACTACGTGCGTCAGCCAGGAATTTCCCGAGAAGGTGGCTCCGAGTAGTCGAGGACGGCAGATGGGGAATCGGATTGAGCGTGTCGAGGCGTTGATTGATCGGTTGGTTAGAAACAGGGCTGGGGGTGAGAGTGTGATGGTAGATGACGATGCAGGTGATGGTGAGCAGGAGGGTCCGACGACTTTCTCAAGGGATGATGAGCCAGGGGCGGTGTTGGCGATGATCGTGGGGACGGCGGTATGATTGAACTGTGACTTTGCTTTTGCTTCGCTGATGCCGATGTTCGATATCTAAGGAAACACCTAATGCCGTACAAGGTGATAGGGCTTCAGTTGTCCATGAGCCATCGGGAAGGCCGGGACCCTCTTTCGCGTCGAAATATGCGAAGCTTTCGCAGGCCCTCTACGATGCACTCCCATCCAAAAAGGACCTAGATATTCTATGGAAAACGGGAGCACATGTATCAATCAATTTTCACCTGGTGATGATGACTCCATACACGGAAATGGAAAAGAACGGCCTCGATACCTCCGGGGCACTCCTGGACGTCCCACCACCCGATACGCATCCGGTGTTGCTAGCCCATTACTTCTTTCGCATTGCGACTGTTCTACAGTACCTCGATCCAGAGTCCCATGGACAGCTGAAGGAACTGTCCGAATCGCCCCGGGCTATGATGAGCAGGCTGGCGGATACTGCCATCAGCTTAGTAACAACGCACGACGAGCTGCTAGGCACGGTCGAAGGGCTTGAGGCCGTAATGATGGAGGGAATTTATCAGGCAAATTGTGGAAACCTACGGCGCGCCTGGATCGCATTTCGTCGTGCCATGGGGCTGGCCCAGCTGATGGGCATGCATCGAACTAAATGCCCGCCGCTTAAGGTCATTGATCCACAGACACATCGGAAGTTCAATGCGCAGCTCCTCTGGTATCGGATCGTCTATACTGATCGCTTCTTCTGCTTGATGATGGGGCTTCCACAGGGCTCTCTGGACCGGAGTATGGCATCCGAGGCAGCCCTCGCGAACGACACGCCTATAGGTCGCTTGGAACGAATTCATTGCGTGATTGCGTCTCGCATTCTCGAGCGCAATGACTCCAATTCGGGGGCATATAGCTTCGCTAAAACGCAAGAGATTGACCTTCAGTTACAGGAAGCGGCCAAAACCATGCCCAGCAAATGGTGGCTGGCACCTAACCTGGCCGCTGCTGCATCGGCCGTCGGGACTGATGATCAAGCTGTGTTTTGGGAAATGCTGCGGCTGGTTAACCAGCTTTACCACTTTAATCTGCTCAATCAACTCCACCTCCCTTTTATGCTGCGCTTCACTGCTGCCGAACGACGTCTTGATTACTCACAGGCAACATGCGTGAACGCCTCTCGTGAAGTACTGTCACGGTTCATCACTTTCCGCAGCTTCAATCGCGTGGCATACTGCTGTCGGGCTGTGGATTTCTTCGCGCTGACAGCTGCATTAATACTTCTTCTCGCGCATCTGGACGGCCACAGAAGACGCCATGCTCCGCAGGCCGAAGACTCTCAGAATCCCAGTGGCATTAGCAGTAAGGGTGACCTGAACTTCTTGGCTCATCAACGCCTTAGCGACCGTGCAATGATGGAGCAGGTCGTGGAAAATATGGACCAAATCGGCCAGGTAAGCATGGACGCCGTCAGCGAGAGAAGCGCCGGTCTGCTGCGTCGACTTCTCGTAATGGAAGCAGACGCAGCCGGGGGGAGGCCTTACAGCACACAGAGCGAGTGTATCTCCGAGGCGTCCCCGGAGGAACAGGATGAGGTGGATGTCGTTCGCATCTGCATTCCATACTTCGGGACTGTGCGAGTGGCGCGCGAGGGTGTCGTTTCGAAAGAAACGCCGCCTGGGATGTGGACGCTGGCGACGGATTTGGCGATAGATGCTGGTCATCGGTCACAGCCTGAGGCCGGACATTTGGATACCCTGGGGTCTGCGCCGAATATGTCGCAAACACAACCGCAATACCAGACTTTTGATGGCATTGCGCCGCAACAGCCTCTCCCTACTTATACACCGCAACAACGCCTGGTCAATGACTTGTATCCCGGGATGACAGCCGGGGCAAATGATTGGGCCTTCCAGGGCGTCGACATGGCGTTTTTTGATAGTTTGATGCAGGGATCTATGCGAGATATTCCGGACTGGGGACATGAAGCTATGCTCAATTAGAGGTCGATAGTGTAGACTACGAGTATATAGAACAAATTCAAATTACTGACCCACGAGCTTCATTATCGCGCCCTCAAAAGTGAAATCCGATTCATCATTACTCTAGCATGGTTTCTGAATTTCAATTACTATCCAGGGCCCGAAGGATCACTAATTCCGTAGCCTGTAGGCTAAACATATCTCGAGCATCTATTGCGGACTCTAGTCCTATCCTGACGACGATCTCCGCCGAGACGGAGAAAGCCAACCAGCATCAACCAGCAGATTGGTAAGACATCCATTGGGTTCGAAATAATCAGTATGACTAGCAAAACAATATATAAGTTGGTGTTCCCCAGTGGACTGTTGGATATAAACACCTACAATTCACATCTTCATCTTCTCAATCGATAGTCTTCGCTTCGAATAAAGCAACTTCTCAACATCGTATCTAGATTCAACCAACCACAACCCCAATGTCTACCACCACCACCAACGTCCTTATAACCGGTGTCGCCAGAGGTACCTAACCTAACATCCTTCGCCCTCCAATAACAACGCTTAACCCTAATCCCAGGAATCGGGCTGTCCCTTCTAAAAGCCTACCTCTCCCGCCCCAACCACACCGTCATCGGCACCGTCCGCTCCACCAACTCCCCCAGCACAGCAACTCTCGCCGCGCTCCCCACAGCACCCAACACGCGCCTCATCCTCCTCAGCATCGAAAGCACCTCTGAATCAGACTATCCCGCCGCCGTAGCGACCCTGCGCGAACAAGGCATCACGCAGCTTGATCTCGTGATCGCCAACGCAGGTATCTGTCCCGACCCGACGCCCCTGGTGAACCTGGACGTCAAGGACGTGAGCAATGCCTTTGCCGTGAACACCGTCGGCCCAATTCTCCTCTTCCAGGCCGTCCGCGAGCTTTTGGAGAAGAAGAGTTCTGGCGCGAAGTGGGTGTCGATGTCGACGGGAGCCGCCTCATTGGGTAATTTGGTGGTGCATCAGGCTCATGGCGTTGCTGCGTATGGGATTTCGAAGGGAGGGTTGAATTGGTTCACTTTGTATGTTTTTCCCCTTCTCTTATTTTCTTTTTCTGGTGACTCTTTGAAGTCACTGTGTCTTCTTTTACTATAAAGACATTGTTTGTGTGCTAACTCGGTTCCTTTTAGGGCTGTCCATGCCTCTGAGCAATGGTTGACTGCGTTTGCAGTGCACCCTGGGTACGTGACGTCCATTCACTATCTTATCTTTCCTTCCCTATCACTTGTCCAGTACGAGAGATAGTTTGAGTCAAAGAAAACTAACATACATGGCGAGAAAGACTCGTACAAACAGAAATGGGCAACAAGGGAGCACAAATGATGGGATTGGACGAGGCGCCGAATACTCTGGAAGAAAGCACTAGCAAGACTATTGCTTTGGTAAGATTCTGTTCATCTTTTCTTAAAAATCGTTTCATATTTTGGGAGAAGAAGATGGCGATTTGCTAATTGTAAGATATCTAGATTGATGGAGCTACGAGGGAGACTGCTTCTGGACGATTCTTTAATTCGATCGATGGGTCGGAGATTCCTTGGTAAAGGGGTGGATTTGGTATATATAGGGCTAAGCATATGATATTTAGGGCGAATAGTATCTACAATTGTTTTTGCTTGTTCATAAGATAAAGGAAGGTTATAGCGTATGATAGGAGGTAAATGCTATCAATCTAGCATTCAATTATCATTCTTCCATATCATTTCATCGCTCTACAAACCTCGTCTTTGAAATTTCGCTTTTCATCTCGCTAAGATTTACGCTTTGTTTGTCCCATCGCTCAAGTGCAAAAGGAACGAGTTCAAATATTGGGAAGAAAGCTAGTAAGCGTATGGTGGGCTGTAATAAGAAGCAATGAAAAGAACGAAAGATATCTTCTTGCCGAGTTACATAGTCGTCAAGGTTATGTCATTAATATGGGGTGTAAAGGAAACGGAAGGTAGGCGAAAGGATATGATGCACACACTCAGGAGAGAACATGAACATTGAAAAAGAGGTCAAATAGATAGACCGCTCAACATTTGATATGGAAGGTTCAACCCATCCACAAGATCCTGGAAGCATTTTTTCGATACTCGGCCTGCTCAGTCTATACATAGTAGTGTAAGAGACCGAGTAATGCTCGTTCAGTGCGTGGCTGACCATGAATATCCCAATATTAGAAATCCCCGGCGGTGCGGTAAATATGACACGATATTTCACCGGATAACCAATTTCTGTTGATCTGTCCATTAAGATACTAAGACGAGCCAAAAAAGATCCTAATGTAAGTCGAGGCGGTGTACGAGGTTCTTTATTTCGTCGACAATACCCAGACACATTGGTTGTGGACTGTTCACATCACACAACAATTGATACGTGGGAGGGCAGTCAGCAGCGGGAGGTTCCTCGTGCCAGCCTCTCTGGCGCTCCTCGAGGGCGTTTATAAAAGACATAAAGCAGTTCTTGTCCCCCGAATGGGTGCCAAAAACCTCCGCCTTTATCGTTTTGCGCATGACATTTTTCCATTCCGAAACGGTTACATTTACTAGGAATGACGATGATGTGTTTCCTAGGGGTGACGGATGATCCAACCCTTGAGGATTTGACGTTGATAAACAGAGCTGCTTCTGTTGATTAGTATCTGACGCCTGGATCGCTTCTGCATCAATCGTTTCCAGAGCTCGTCTATAACATTCTGCGATGCACAAACATAATGCACCGAGGATTGTGGCGTTTTGAACAATAGACATGTAGCGCTGGGGACATTGTGCGCAGTGTAAGACCTGCTTCGAAGAGCTGATACAGTCTCTGAGCATAATCAAGTCACTCGGGACAGACATTCGATCTTTGACTCGAAGTTGTTCCATCATAAGGTAGAGCATGGAGAGACAAGCACAGGCGCTGGCCTGGGCTTGGTTTCCAAGGAGAGAGGGATCTGTGGCCCGTGAATCATCCTCATTACTGCTATAACTTGAGTTAGCGCCTCCTATGTTTAATCCAACAAACTGATCTGTGAACCCAGGGTATGCCTATACCGAGTAGAGCTTTCGAGGTTTAGCAAATATGGAGACTCTTCGAAGTCATTACCACACGCTGGGGCTTGACCAGTTCTCAGGCATTCGGCTCCACTTTGTCCACTATGCTTATTCCTGGAGGTGTCTGATGTCCTCTTGGGCTCTTTTGCTGGGGGATGATAATAGCAATCGTACTCGAGTTGAACACATGTCATGCAGGGCTGCAGGCCATCACATTTCCGTTTACGCGTGCGACATGACTCGCAGGCGACCTTCGCACGACGGCGCTTGCGTGCGAACACTGAATTTTGAGGTGGCGGGGATGGCTCTGAATTGTCCATGGTATATATACAGCATTGCTTGGGTGGAGAGAAGTTGGCAGGCGGGAAAGGCGGGATAAGCGGAATTCGGATGTTCGGAGAGACAGTTGATCCGTACTGCGTCCAAGTATTTATACCATCGTACAATGGGCCATACTAGACTACAAGCGCCTGGGAAAGCATTTGTTCATCCAGTCATAGTTCTTCTCGCTCTATTCAGTGGAAGCAATGAGTTTAAAACAACAGATCGCGGTCCAGCCTCTGGGTCCTGGCCATTTCCGCTCCGTCAACTACCCGACACGAATGGGGGCTCTTTCTGAATTTGTTTTCGGGGGAAATACTATTGCAATTGCAGTAAATGCAGCTCATCAAACACTCGACAGTAAATACCATCTATACTCGATCTGCGGCTATTTTATCCGCCCTGCAACAACCGACCGCAAGCTCTTATGCCATGTTGAGAGTATCAGAGACAGCAAAAGCTTCGAAACTCGTCAGATTCGAGTCTCCCAATCAAGCGATGACGGTTCAGTCAAGCTTTGTCTAATAGCATTGGCGGATTTTCATATCGAGGAGCCCCGGTCGCTTGTGACCTATTCAGCTCCTCATGAAACTATACCCTCATCGGACGTCCTTAGTCACACGAACTCGACTACGACAACAAACATCAAGAAGACCTCTGACCTTTATAGGAACATTGAATGCTTTGTCGATTTGAGGCCAATCCCTGACAATAACCCAAGCCGGGATAGAGCAGAGCAGAATCCAGGTGCAGACAGCATCCCATCTGCACCGTCAATGGTTACCAAAGAGATGTTTCGGATATCGGAGCCACTCGATAACGAAGCGGAACAGGTATCCGCGCTCGCATTCTATACGGACAAAGGTCTGGCATATCTTCCAGCGATTCATGGAAGACAAGACTTATGGCAAGCTAGTGCTTGCGCGACGTTGGAGTTTTCTCTTCGGATATTTGCCCATGGATTGAATTTTGGAAATTGGCATTTGTCAGAGCAAAAGACAGTTGTGGCAGGAAACGCAAGAGCTTTCAGCGAGGGGAGAGTCTGGGATGAGAACGGCTCCATGGTTGCGAGTATGACCCAACAAACCATTTTTCGCCCTGGCTCGGAACTTGGTTCTCGTTTGTAAATCTAGCTCTTACATAGAAGGATATAAATTCATTATTCTTCGTCAAATGTATTAATCGATATGTGAATATACAACAAAACAGAAAGCAGAAAAGGCGGCAGTGAATCATACTTAGACGTCAAATCATTCGGTAAGGAACAATGCCGCCTTTTCGTAAAGGTCATCTTTCGCTTTCTCTTGAACAGAACCCTTCTTATACGCCTTGTCGAACGCGTGTTCGCAGCCATCGTATCGATGCATTCTGACATGTTTGGCCGTAGCCTCTTTGATTCTTTTCCCAAGCGCCTCCCCCTCAAGACAGAGGCGATCGCAAGCTGCAGTCACGAGGAGGATCCTATCTGAGAACTTCTCAGCCGGTATCACGGCCGGCGAAGCAAGAACACTTTTCACATCATCGGCGTGCGGATAATAGCATTTCGCGAATGCATCCAATAGCTCAACGGGAATGGCATCTATCGAAGTATCGGGGGCAACCTTTTCGACGGAGCTCTGGACCATGTCCGTTGGAGGATAGGCGGCGATGACATTTTGGAATGTCCCCTGCGGAAAGACCACCGAGCTCAGAACCAGGGACAGTGTTCCTCCTGCGCTGAACCCAGAAATTGATAGTCGGGAAGCGTCGAATTTCTCCGGGTGCGAAAGAACCCAGCGCACCGCATCTTCGGCGTCGTGGGCCGGCGCAGGGAATTGGTGTTCCGGCGAAAGTCGATAGGCGCAGTCCAGGACCGCGAACCCAGTCTTCTTGGCGATATATCTACAGAACTCGTCATCGCTCCCATGGAGAGGGTTCACGAACCCGCTGCCGTGGAAATTGACGAGGACTGGGGCCGGACCATCTCTGTTAAGGGTATTATAGGCGTGGATTCGAATAAATCGCCCTTCAGCTCGCGAGGGAACTTGGAGCACTTCGTCCGGGTGAGCAGTAACGCTGAAGGTTTTCAATGCAAAAGCACGAACTGGATTTGCGATCTTGAGGAGATCGTTCAGGGAAGCCATTGCGTCGAAGTAGTAAGTCGGGTTTGGATGAGAGGGAGAGGAAACCAGAGACAGGTCAGTAACGGATAAGAACAATGGAATTGATTTGGTATTCTGTACATCTCAAGCGAATTTGTGCACTTATTTAAACCACACATCTCGGACATTTTTCACGTAGATTGGTAATGTAACGCATAGCCTCGTTCCTCCGACTGAGCATTGTGGCACTTTGTTGGAGACCAAGTGGGCCGGAGGGATCTTGCGCCGTGTTGAAACTGTCCGGCACAAATTAATAATTCGCCCCATCGTGATACATACTAAGACGTGATAGTACATTTCGACTCACAATTGCCAAGTAGTTGCAAAGAAATTCACCAACAAATCGCTTATCACTTGACCTATAGTGTCGTTGCTTTGATTGGTTCTCAGGGACAGGCTCAACCAGTGGTTCGAGGCACATTTATTAAATTCACAGTACATAACACTAATTGAGTACACTGTGTAGTGTTGAACCAGCGCTGTGGCGATTCAGCCAATCTGTTGACCTGATCGACAATATACGCAGACCGTTTTATTTTGTTTACCACCCCCGTTTAGTTTGTTTTGTCTTAGAGACTTTAAAATGTAAGAAACTGTTAAGGGCGCAGTGCTGTCTACACAATTTGGCTAGAATATTGAGAATCATTCGAAAGGCCAAGGAGATCAAACACTGCTGTTCATGCAGCCCATAGTCTGTATCCAGATTACTGAGTACTCTAGAGTGGATTTCGCCTCTAGATATTTTGGCTTTCTTACTGTATGGATCACTAGTGTTGGTCGGAACTTGAATGTATTGAAAGTGGCGCAGATTTTGGGGATTTGTTTGGCCAGAGGGTGTAGAGCTAACCTATGTACGGCCCGGACAAGCACAGGTACTACTGTACAAGTTGTGGCGGGTAAACACGAGACGACAACAAAGCCAACCAAGAAATATCCACATGTAAGCTTGGGGTAGATTTCCCTTGTGAACAGTACCCCATCTCTCTTGTGGCAGCTTCAGTTTTGAGCGCGGGCTTTCGAAACGATGACAATAACAGAAACTATCCCGGAGGAGGAGCGAGATGAACAAGTCGGCTCGGATCCATTCAACCCCTTTCATGATAACAAACCAGCATCTGGTCCTGTTCTGACCCTGCGCGCTTTGGTGGTCGGCATCCTCTGCGGCACTCTTGTTAACGCGTCCAACATCTACCTTGGCCTAAAAGCCGGGTGGACGTCGTCGGCTAACATTTTTGGCGTGAGTTGTCATATTACTATTAGCATCTCGCCTTCAACTACTAAAGAGAAAAGTCCGTTGTTGGTTTCGCTGTTCTCAGAAAATGGGCCAAATCCTCCCCCTCAAGGGCGGAATTTGGGTCCCATGAGAACAACATCGTTCAAACCGCGGCTACCGCGGCTGGAGGACTGTCGAATGTCTTCGTCTCGGCCATTCCGGCATTGTATCAATTAGGGCTACTGAATACGCCCTCCAAGGATTACTTTCGCATCACCATATTGACTGCGATAGGCGGGTATTTCGGTCTACTTTCTGTCGCTCCGCGTATGTTCTCCGAGCATACTCCTGCTTTGATGAATGCTTAAGGATTCTATAGTCCGAAAGTTCTTTCTCGTTCATGTTGCCCGAGAGCTTGATCTTGTCTTCCCTTCCGCCTCAGCGACAGCAATGACTATTCGGAGCATGCATCAGGCGCTTGAAGGGGCTGATATGGCCCGACGCAAGATGCGGGCTTTGGTGATTGCCTTTTCGTCTGCGCTACTTCTCCGTGTTGTGTCGCAGTATGCGATAGGTGTTTTTTGAGTACGTCCAGCTTGGCAGATGCATTACCCGTAGAAGCTTCTGACTAAAGTCTCTCATAGGACTGGCATATCTTTACTTGGTTGATCAGCGGCGAAATATTGGTTAATCAGGCCACCGCCATCGAGAGCTGGGGATGGTTTATCGAATGGACCCCTGCATTCATAGGCTCAGGCATGCTTGTGAATTTGAATGTTGCCGTGTCCTTTCTGGCAGGCTCGTTTCTTGCTTGGTATTTCCTCATACCCTGTCTCACGATTTGCAACTAACCACATGGGCTCACCTTAGGGGGATTATCGGACCGTATCTGGTTTCTCAGGGCCTCGCATTTGGAGAACACCGATCGTCAGATCCGCGATGGTCGGACCTAATGTCATACTCTTCCCTATCCAGTGACTTTGCGAATGCCGACCGCCCAAGTCCTCGTTATTGGTTGCTTTGGCCTGGTGTCATTTGTATGATGGTCACTTCGCTCACTGGTATGACTTCACTTACCCAGACATGATAGGACAACCCATAGAAAGACACAGAATCTGATACAATAATTTTGAACAGAGCTGGCTTGTCAATGGCGCTTGATATGGACCCTTTTACGTGATTTCTCGCGGGCATTGGTAGTATGGGTGGCTCACAGACTACTAAAAAGGTCTAACTACCAATACACCAGACTATCAGGGCCCAGCAGCAGTAACACTCCAAGCGATGCGGACGAAGGCATCAAGACATGGATGTGGCTGCCTGGTCTTCTTATTGTGATTGTTGTATCGTGCCCTATTTTGAAGATGCAGTACAACATGCCAGTTATAGAAACCTTACTAGCACTCTTTCTCGCATTTCTTCTATCGTTGCTAGCTATACAAGCTACAGGAGCCACCGGTAATGTCACACTCTCAAGCAGTTCAAGGAGAATATGCTAATTCTATACCTACAGATCAAACCCCTCTCGGAACACTTTCAAAGGTGTCTCAGGTTATCATTGCAGGCGTCAACAATCAACCTACCATCGAAGGGTCCCAGCGATTGAACCTCCTCGCAGGAGCTCTAACCAATATAGGCGGCAGTCAAGCGTGCGGTACGTTCTTTCTCCTCCCCCATTTCTCCATGATCCCTAATTCTCACCCCAACAGATCTCATGGGCGACTTTCGCGTTGGTTACCTCCTCGGAACGCCATCCCGCCAACAGTACGCTGCGCAGATGATCGGTACCTCCCTAGCCACGTTCATATCGCCGGGAATATTCGTTCTCTTCGCCACAGCCTACCCCTGTATTTTGACGACTGAAGACACCGCACACTGCGAATTCTCCGCCCCCTCCGTCAGCGCCTGGAGGACCGTCGCCGTCGCTGTGACCGAGCCTAAACTCCCAATCCCCTCGTCCAGCCTCGCCTTCGCCGCCCTCATGTCCCTTCTCGGCATCTTTGCCGTCCTGGTTCGGCACTTCCTCTGGCGAGGTAAGTGGGCCAAGATGCGCGCTTACCATCCGAACATGATGATCCTGGCGATGGCGTTCACCCTGCCGGCAGCGCATTACGGCATCGCGTTTTTGATCGGCTCGTTGGTGGCCATTACGTGGAGGGAAAGGTCGCCTAGGGGGTTCGAGGCGTTTGGGTATGCGGTTGCGGCGGGGTTTATTGCCGGCGAGGGGATTGGAGGGTCTGTGAACGCGGCGATGTCGATCTTGGGGGTTGGTGGGAGTAGATTCGGTTCGGTTGTGGGCTGTCCGGCTGGGCAGTGTTGATTGGTGGTGCTATAGGTCCTTTTGAGGAGGGAATTGGCCTAGATATGATACAAAGGTGGGTTGGTTTGGGGCCTTGATTAAGGCTTCGGGGCTCGATACATCGACAAGCACGAAATTTCGGATCGTTACTTACTCCAGTTCTAGCAAAAGTCGTGGTTGATCTTTGGGGCCTGTGGTTACCACCCCCGGATTCAAAACCAGCTAGGGCAAGAAGTTATCCGCTGATCCCGATGTTCCCGCTCCACGCGACGGCTCCCATCATCCACCCCCACTTTCAGGTCTTTTATATAGTGATATCCAGGCCAGGCTACAGTAATTTAACATCATGCACTCCTCAGAATTATCTCGGGCTGTCAAAGAAGCAATAATGGTACACAAGAGCACCCTGTCAACACGGGCTGACGCCCAATGTCAGGCATATTCTAACGCCGTCTGGGACGTCCTCGGGGATCTATGGCATCCACAAGAGAACCCTAGTGGATTCATCAACCTCGGCGTGGCGGAAAACACTCTGATGCACCGTGAACTACAAGATTTCGTCCGAAACAGCGCAAATATATCCCCGCATGCATTTACCTACGGCGACGGGAGTTTCGGCAGCAAGAGGTTGAGGAATGCCGTTGCGAGCTTTCTGAACAAGCGTCTATACCCAGTGGTTCCCCTTGAGGCTGATCATATCATGGTGACGAATGGAGTATCGCACGCGATCGAGCACTGTTCGTGGGCGTTTTGTGATAAGGGTGACGGCATCCTTCTCGGGCGACCCTATTACAAGTCGTTTATTCCCGACATTTCTCTTCGCCCCGAGGTCGAGGTTGTCACGGTGGAATTTGGTGACTCTAATCCGCTCAGTCTGGACGGTGTCAGCAACTATGAAGCGGCGATCTTGAGCGCCAAAGATCGCGGTGTCATCGTGCGAGGACTGATCCTATGTAATCCGCATAATCCCCTAGGACGTTGCTATCCCGCAGTGACAATCAAGGAGTTGATGAAGTTATGCCAACGGTATCGAATTCATTTCATCAGCGATGAGATATACGCTTTCTCGACCTGGGAAAACAAGGAGGAGAGGGTTGGTCCTTCCCTCCCTGCGCCTTTCGTCTCGGCCCTGTCAATTCCAACTGATGGGATAATTGACCCGGAGCTCGTTCATGTCTTATGGGGAATGAGCAAGGATTTCGGTGCCAATGGCCTTCGAATTGGGTATATTATTTCTCAACACAATCGAAATCTCCACAACGCGCTGCAATCTGTTGCTCTCTATTCTTATGCGTCCTCGATTTCTGACCATATTGCTGCCTCAATCCTGGAGGACGAGCAATGGGTCAGTACGTATATGGAAAAAAATCAGGAACGATTGTCAGAATCTTTCAGCTTCGCTGTGCGCCTTTTGCGAAAGGAGGGAATTGATTATGCCACGGGGCCTTATGCAGCATTCTTCCTTTGGGTCGACTTGGGCAAGGCGTACGGCGAAAGTCACCCTGAGAATCCAAATCCCATGGACTTAAACACGATTATCAGCAGAAGATTAATGGAGGAAAAGGTTTTCATTGCAAATGGAATGATCTTTGGGTCTGAGAAAGGGGGCCTATTCAGGATTGTGTTCTCGCATCCTGCTGGGTATATTGAGGAGGGGCTCAACAGGATGGTGAAAGCGATAAATGAATAGCCATTTATTGCCGCATCAGGGGTCTTTATTAGAACGAGCCCGGTTAAAAAGTTCTCACTGCCTATTTCCCGAAGACGGGTACTTTTACAACTGATCAAAGGTGCACTTGAAGTAGAAATGAATTCACTAATGCTTGGCAATATCATCAATGCATATATATGATTGCGTCCTCGAACCGGCCAAATTATGGCCTTGAATCTATAAGTAGTCCAGCTTGGGCACGGTTTTCGATTGCAGACAGTTTTCACCTAGCATAGGAGTTGGCATAGAATTGTGCTCCAGAACCCGAACACGTCGCAACTTGAGAACAAGACCACTGATAACCGACTGAAAGGGGAACCCCAATCCTCACCCAGCATTTTGTCCAAATTATTGGCGCCAGATTCAATGACCCACCGAATCCATGCGCCTCCTCCCGCGTTTCCCGTTGTTCCCGCCAAAGGATCCAAGCGTCTTGATGTGAATACGTCGGGATTTGCGGCCCGCACCATTCCGGCCCTATGTTCGGTGTCGGCATGGAATAAACGTGAAAGTAGTGTCCATGTCAACCGAACCGAAATAAAGCTTTGATAGTCCCTTTGGGGTATTGGGTACTGTTATAAGCGTTGAGTCATCATGGACAGCACATAATATACACAGATCCTACAGCTCCTTCTCCTACTTTGGCCTTTCATTTGTTACTATACCTCCTAGCCTTGAACTTCCACTTGCCGACGAGGTGTTAATTTACATCTTTATTATTTTCAATATATTCAAGATCGTCCCGTCGATATGCAAATCGGATCTACGCCATTGGAAGACAAGCAACCTCAGCAACGCGACACGCCCAAACCCCCAGACGGCGGCTTTAAAGCATGGTGGCATGTCTTTCTATGCCATCTAGTATTTTTCAATACATGGGGCATGGCTAACAGCTATGGAGTCTTCCAACAATACTATACGCAAACGCTTGGGCATTCTACGAGTGATATTGGTTGGATCGGAGGCATTCAGATGTTTCTGATGCTTTTTGTCGGCGTCTTTTCAGGGCGTGCATCTGACGCAGGCTACTTTCGCCATTGCTTTGCGACTGGAGCTTTTCTGCAAGTCTTTGGGCTGTGCATGACTTCTTTGTCTACACGATACTATCACATTCTCCTGAGTCAGGCTGTATGTGTTGGGCTGGGAAGTGGCATGGTCTTCACTCCTGGTCTGTCCGTGATGGGGTCATATTTTCAATCCTATCGATCTGTTGCAGTTGGCTTGTCTGCAGCCGGTGCTGCAACAGGGGGAATGGTCTATCCAGCTACGACAAACGCTCTGCTCAATCATTCCGATATTGGTTTTGCCTGGACGATGCGCATTATTGCATTAATCGTCCTACTCACACACATTCCATCCTTGATTGGGTATCGACCGTATTTGCCACCACGTTCAGCTGGAGCTGTTGTCGAGTGGGGTGCATTTCGCGAGTGGCCATTTTTGTTCTTCACGGCAAGCATGTTCTTCAATTTCTGGGGCTTATACATGGCTTTTTATTACCTTGGCATCTTTGCTCGGGAAAAGATCCACCTCTCAGATTCAATCAATCTCCTCATTGTGTTGAATGGTGTTGGGGTCATCGGACGGGGCTGTCCCTGTTTTATCGGCGAGCGTTGGACAGGCGTTGTCAATTCGACAGTCGTCTGCTCCGTCATAAGCGCTATCTGCATATACTGCTGGATTTCTATAGATAATTCAATTGGGCTATATGCATGGGCTGTTGTATATGGGATCTTTGCTGGGGCTACGCAGGCCCTGTTCCCCGCGATGGCGACTCGACAAACGAAAGATGTCAGCAAAGTCGGTGTTAGGACAGGCATGATTCTGACGATAGTGAGTTTTTCGTGTCTGACGGCTCCAGCCATTCAGGGGGCGCTTATTCAAGCGGATGGCGGGGATTATCGAGGAGCACAGGTCTTTTCCGCCACTTCTATTTTACTGGGATTGTTCTTTTTAGGACTTTATCGATGGTGTCAAGTCGGGTTGAAGGTTAATATCAAGGTTTAACGATGAATATCATGTGCCTGCTAGCAACAATGTATTTTGAATGTATGGTTCGTTTGTTTCTTTTCATAATCCTAAACTTGGCCCCTTAACATTCAGTTTACTTCACTCTTGATATTCTTGGTAAGCTAAGACAGGAGGCTGTCTTGGATACGTTCAAGGGAATAGCACGAAGCAACTCCCATATAAAGACATCCACAATTTCTTACAAATGCAATGCTAAACAGCCAGATCAAGATAAAACCCTGGTTAGACATGAGACTCTGACATAATGCAAGAACGGACTAAATAGCAATACTGTCCAGTCATTTGTGGTTGATAGAATAGGGGATGTTTGCGATTGATGGTTACGACAGCAAAATCACCTTTATGCAGCGATTTGCATAAAAATGTGCATAATGTGGAGGTTTTGATGCCTGAGGTGCAAGTTGTTTTTTAGAGGCTGCAACACATACGTATCGCCTCTTTCGCAACAAATTTGAAACCACCTCGCTTGATAGAAATTATTACTCCGGTTATTATTAGACGGACCATCCACCCTTCATTGAAACTGCTCATATATCATTTCAAACGTGTGGAAAAGCAACCCGCCATTCCATACTGCGACTCTGCGAGTCGCTCGACTGCCTAGGGTGTACAACAACCACAATAATGTCTTTCCCGAGCTAGTCGTTCGATTAACTTGATAATCTAGGTCATTCAAGCGCATTCTGTCTTTGGTCGGGATCTTCTTTGGGATTTTATAATAGCGGGTACTGGATTTAGAAAATACATGGACTCGGACGTACGCCGAAATATATAGTGAGCCATAGCATACTAGACAACAAAAGGCATCACCAAACCAACGTTGTCAATTTGTGAAAAACTGGGATTCAACTGTTTCAACACCTGCTAAGCAGGTGTACAAGACATCATTAGAGGCCATAAATGCGTACTTTCAACCTAGATGGTAAATCCATAATTTGGAATATGTGTTGATTTGGGGATTCCTCATGTTCGAGCAGATTTCATCTGAAATCGGTGTAGGAATATTATGTCAAAGTTCAAAGCGCTTTACAACAAGCCAGCCTGGCTAGCTCAATCGGTAGAGCGTGTGACTCTTAATCACAAGGCTGCGGGTTCGAGCCCCGCGTTGGGCTTTCTTTTTTGCTCAAGTTTTTTTACTTTGCCACTCTACCTACGGGTGGGTTACTTACTACGACTTACGAAGTTACGAGTCCAGCAAGTTACACTAAATAGTCGATCGGATTTCTTTTCACGCGTCCCATGTTCGGCAATGACGGAGGAGGACAGATAGATACGATAGAATTGTTTTCTTCATGCAGGCAAAGAGCAGAAATATAGGTCCGGTATGATCCTCCAATTGACTGGAAACAGTATAATTGACTGTACGTGCTCAAAGGGCAAAATCGATTGTACGTCCTGACTTGGTCTTCATTACCACCAGGTTTCAGTCCAGATTTTCGCAGTACCTTGCGCTCATCCAGCGTCTACAAGCGCTCATCATATCATCCCAACCTGCGCAAGCGCTCCGCCCCTAAACGCAAAGCAAGGTATAATGGAAATGGGGGATCAAAGGTTCATGTGTGTATATTGAATATATGAAAAGAAATAGAGTAGAAAGTAACAGAAAAAAGCCTCGACGAGATATGAGAACGTTGAATCGATAACGAAGGAAGCATTGACACCAGATCAAAAGTGATCCACCTCGGCGCGACTCGAGGACGGAAGTTTCAGTGAACAAAAGAAAAATGAAGACCAGGACAGACATGAACCTGCACATCCATAACCCCCAAATCGGCGAGCTGGCTCCACTAGTTGGATCTCGCGATCCTTTAAGCGGGGCTGTAGTTATTCTAGTTATTCCACTCATGGATAAGACATACCACCTGGCTTCTGATATCCAATAAGTTCGGGCCTCGTGCGTAATTCGGCTTCCTTCTCCTCCTGGATCAATGCGCAGCAGCCGCAGCAGAGACTCACGCAGCAATCGCCACAACAAGAGCCCTCAATACCAAATCGCTCACGCATTTCGCCGCGGCTGATAGTTTGAAGGATCCATTGCGAGGCAAAGAAGCTAAGCACTGTCCAGATTGAGCACTACGTTGGTGAATTAGCCATTGATCCCGTGGTTAAATAGAATTATTGAATCACTTACTGAAGAGTTGATGCTGTTATATGTCTGTAGGCTTGGATCACGGATTCTGCTTTGAGTTTTACCATAAGTCAGGCACGGTAGACAGCAGCTTGTGAAACCTAAGTATTATTAGCAACTTCACCAGAAAACGGGGTGATACAGGAAAGGACGCAACATACAGAGTAAACCAGGCGAGCAACATTCGAACAAAGAATAATTCCATTGTCGACTCTGCGTGATGTCCCGAGAACGGTCGGTATTGCTTTGCTGATATGTCGGTGGGTCTTGTGGCCAGGCACGATAAACCTTGTCCGTGGGATCAGCCATGGCAGGAGTTAGGTTGGTTGGATATGGGCGGAATAGAGAACGAAAGAAGATGAGAAAAAACACTCATTCTAGTCACTGTTGGAAAGAGATATGGATTCCTTTATACCTAGACAAACTTGGGATCAGAAGCTTCCAAAAAGTCCAGGGGCAGTTCACCAAAATTTTCATCTAGATACGCATTTGGAAGTTCGGATTCGTGTTCAGCGATCGGCAACGAATGGTCGGCATAGGGTATAAAGTGGAGATGACCATTCTTAGTTTCCTGTGTTCCGCGGAGTCCGAAAACTCGTAGTAGAATATAACTGAATAGGGCTTGGAACGGCATTTGGCAAGATTAAAATTTTATAAAACGTACATCTCTCAAGGTCCACTAGAGTTTGAAAGGTCCATCCACCGATTTGATCTAGAGGCTTATTGACTTTCGGCACGCGGCTTCCTTTTCCTTGCTAAACCAAGAAGGATTTTCAACCTTGAAAAACCTGCTGGGAAAATACGGATTAGTTTTAATGGAAGACGTTATATCAGAGCAACGTTGGGTTACCTAGTCCGTTCTGAAATCCAAAGCCGATGCAATACAATCTCGGCATGTCCGATACCCTTTGGTAATCTTCCTTTGCTCATGACCCCATCAGGACCGAGCCTTTGAAACAAATCTCGATAATTGTGTCTCTAAATAATCTACTCTCTTTTCGGAGTTATAACTTTCAAGTTGTTGGCTTGTGTTCCTTCCCTGTTGTGGAGTTGCGGACGAGTTTGGATTGGAAAATCGCCCCCCCACATCCCTGTAAGCAAGCGAGTAATGGGGAATTCTGCCCAACATCCATGGCAGTTGGAAATGGACCGAAACACCCACACCCAGAGCCTTTGGTTGGTTAAGCTCCTAGTCTCTCAAGATCCGTGGAATAACGTAGACTCCTGAATGAACGCCAAGCCATGAAACCCACCAAGTTAAAATTTATTTCCTAAAAGGAATATTTCGTTTTATTTAGCCAAAATGTATAATAAACTTGTTGGTCCACTAACCCACCGCCGCCAATAAAAAGGGTAAGGAATTCTAAAAGTAAAGTAACTCATAAATTCTAATATTTTGCTTCAGAACTCAGTATTCCACCAAGCCTATGCCAATATCGAATTTCCTCCAAAGGCCAGCAGCCGTCATATTCCTACTACGACTCCATAAATTCTTCAACACCCCCTGCAACCATGGCTCCCCATGTTCACTCCTCTTACGCTAGCAAGAGAGCTCGAAGGCCACACCGCAAATCTCGCCTCGGATGTAGTAATTGCAAAGCTCGCAAGATCAAAGTGGGTCATGCCCAGCGTTGGATGACAAGGAAAACACTGACATGAGCTACCCAAACAGTGCGATGAACTAAAGCCTACTTGTACACAATGTTTGCACCGGCCGACGGAATGTCACTATATGCAAGACCCCAAACCTGATGGCGTATCAAAACAGAGAGACAACACCAGTCCCGAGTTCTCAGCCACACAAATCGCTCCGCCGAAGGACGTGGTATTTATCTCATCTTCACAGTCGAGCTTTGCCGTCCCTAAAAGAGCACATCGCAAGGCTGAGGAGCAACAAGAACCATCCCCTTCGAACTCAAGCAGCGAGGCGGCATTGGCTCAAAAGCAATTTGAGTTCACTGCAGTTGATATGGCTCTATTCCACCATTGTTGCTCAGCGGACGATCTTAAAAACTATATCCCTAATGAGCTTCTCCGACTTGGTTTCTCGTCTCATTTCCTATTGCGTCTTTTTTTGGCCGTGGCGGGCTTCCACCTGAACCGCACGCTGGAACCAGAGCACATAGGCCGAGTCCTTGGGCCAAATGTCGACTTCTATGCCGAGGCTGAACGACATTTGCAGCTTGCAATCGCAAAGGTTGCGACCACACCCCTCCTCACCCCAAGTAATAGTCATGTGCTGTACGCTGCGTCCGTGTATATCTTCATTTGTTCGCTGGCTAGAGGTCCCCGGCCGGATGAATACTTCGCTTTTCGGGTTGATAACGATAAACCAAGTCTGTGCCTGTTCTTGGGTCTACGGACCATCTTGGAGGACTGCAATGAACGCGGAATGAACTCGAAAATATCCTCTGTGCATCCCGATATTCCCGAGAATGCCGGTACGGGAACTCGCCCAGATCACAACCAGGGCAGTGCGCAACTTTCTCATCCAACCTACCGCGCTTGCCATGAGTATTCAGAACCACTTCGAAACCTACAAATCTTTATTTATAGCACTTTCTCGACAGGAAGCCTTCGTGATTCCAGCTATTATCACGTGTTTCAATCGCTTGTGTCACGCTATGATTCTATATACGGTGGATCGGCGCCACTTTCGGGCGAACAGTTGTGGCCTTTGATATTCAGCTGGCTATACACGTTACCGGACCGCATTGTACGTGACTTGGAAGGGAGACACCCCGTTGCCTTGCTACTGTTCGGGTTCTTTGTAGTGTTGCTGCATGAACTCGATGCGGTTTGGTTTATTCATGGTTGGCCCCAGCACATCTTGAGAGGTATATATTATCAGCTAGATGGTATTCACCGAGCTTTACTCGGTTGGCCGCTGAGCTGCCTGGGGCTGTCCGATTGTACTATATGAGATAGCATTAGTTTCCAGGATGCTGTTCTAATAATGCTATAAAACACAATATATGGCAAGAGTATCATGTCTCCGCAGCTTCACAGGGCCTTTATCGCTCGCAAAGGGTCGGCTTCTAAAGAAAGAGATAATTATGAATGACTGAGCTCATTCGCCGAGACTGATAAAGTACAGGATCAAATTATGAAGGAAAGTCGAAGTCAAGGGAGGTCTGTTGACTTGGTCCTCTGGGGCTAGCATAGAAGAAGAAAAAGAAGAAAAAGAAGAAAAAGAAGAAAAAGAAGAAAAAGAAGAAAAAGAAGAAAAAGAAGAAAAAGAAGGAAAAGAAGGAAAAGAAGGAAAAGAAGGAAAAGAAGGACGAAATGAGATTTCCACAGGATCTGCTGCTTAACTGTTCGAATGTGACGGCTGGTCAACCATGGCAAGCTGTGAGCAAAGAAACCGAGTCCTCTAGTATTTTGTCTTCTCTGAGGTAGTTGCTCCTTGTGAGAAGAGACCATAGGTCCGTTTTCTTTATTCGGGCTGTTGGCTGTGGCGCCACTCTGGGTTTTGCATCAGAGTACATCCTCCGTGCTGGTGATACATTTGAAATGATCAATGTTTGAAGTCCCACCGCCCTGATAAACGGCTTTTGCCGGATATGGGCACAAAATTCGCGCTTGTTGCTTTCCGTCAGTGCCCTTGAAATGGACGGGCAGAGTCTCCGGGGCAACGCCTTCCTCTACCCAACGGCGGAGGGAGTTAAAAGTTGTGACAGGCTGCCCTCCTGTTCCTCCGGAGCAATGGCCCAAGCCCGGGGCCTCGAAATAACGATAGAAGCTCTGAACGTCGGACATTGCGTCACTAACTGAACGATAATAATGCTCGGAACTTCTGGTGGGAATTGACTCGTCGGCCTGTTCGTGGCAACCATAAGTAGATTTTCAAAATATTGTGAGTAAAATCTAAAGGAGACTTACCATGCCATGATATGAGATGAGTTTACCACCCGCATTTTTGAACTCCGTCAGATCTGGGGAATCGGCATTCAAAAGTCCAGCATACTCCTGAACACCACGCTTGAAATGCCGTTCGTATTCGAGAGGGCTCAGCGTCGATGAGTCGAACCTCGTGTCCTTTTCCACAAACAAACGGAACCATAGGTCACTTGATATGCTACTGTTCACCCCGGGATCGGCCCCAAATGAAGTAATATCAGAACCATGATTGAAACCATACCAGAGAGGGTCACCATTTGCCTTTCGAGGCCCAGACCAGGCCGCATTGGCTACTAAGGCAGCAATATTACTGACCTTCATAGCCTTCCCAGTGGACGAGCAGTTGAAGGTTCTGTTCACTGCGGATAAAGCGTTGAAGTCACAGGTGGCGGGATCAGAGATAACTCCATCCATAATGCCATCGCCTGCATCGCAATGTGCGATGGCCTCGGTCGTAATGAATTCGAGCTCGCAGGGTAGAGGAGATGCCGAAGAACCGGACCATTTCTGGACCAGAAGAGGGTAGTACACAGATGCTGCCAGTTCAGTAAAGGATAGAGCAGGTGCTGAGGCAGCAATGCCATCATAGGCAGTGGGGTAACGTTGGGCGAGCACAAGTCCTTGCCTTCCTCCCTGAGAGCAACCGCTCCAGTATGAGTAAGAAGCATTTCGCCCATAAAAACTTCTCACCAGGTCTTTGCTGATGATTGCCTGATCGTTGAGAGAGACATATCCAAGGTTCTGGACATCGTATAGGTTCACGTTCCCTGGAGACTTTAGGGCCCATGAATTCGGGGAAGACCCACGTCCCAGCCCTGCATCAGTTGTCGTAGCAGCATAACCTTCACCAATAGCTCCAGCCATGAAAAAGTCCGACAAAACGAAACGGCCTGCATTCCATCCGCCGCCTCCGGTGGCTTGCAGTCGTTGATTCCATTGCTGAGGTAACCATGTCTCAACTGTGATCAAGTCCTCGTGACCTGGATGAGTGTAGGTCACAGTGACATTGCAGAACCTGGTATTATTAAGGCCGACGTCACCGTGGTTATAATTGAATGTAGCAGGCACATTGAGGGTATAATTTGTGACCCAAGATGCAGCTAAGGAGAGAATTTCAGCCCCGAAAATGGCTGGTGTCGTAAAGGTTTCGGGCAAACAAGTAGATGCTAGGGAGTGATTGAGCATTTTCACTGGAACAAGAAGTAAAAAATGGCGAGGATTGAAACGAACACTGAAGATGCAGATAAAGCGCGGAGTGCATCATATAAATAGTGATTGTTGCGTCGGTGAGAAGGCAAGTTTTGTATGCCATAAAGGGTAGGACTGGTCAAGCGAACACGAGCTTCTTCTCTGAGTGCAGTCAATGATAGAATCCCTGGATGCCTAATTTCTGGGTCCGCCATTATGAATGGACTAAGTGGAGCCGTATGAAGATTCCATGAGTTCAAGCGTTTTGATTGTTAAGAAGGTGATGATTCGTGCGCTTAACCAAGGAAGAAAATTGGTGTCTTGTGGTCAGGTGTGGAAACATGCCAATGCGGAAGTTCGCATTCGTATGGTCTCAGTAGGTAAGGGAGTTGAACAAGTCCGATTAGCCACGCACTAAACACTGCTTATCCCTAACTAATTTGATTAGCTGTGAGTAGTAATCTACCGCTTCAAAGACTCCACTTCTTCCGCCACCTCGGGTTGGAGCCAAGCAAGGCTTTTATCAAGAAGAGGTGTCTTTTCATATCCAGTCTCAGGATTCTATTCAAGTCACTTATAAATTTCCGGTATGAGGGCTGGAATATTCCAAACCCGCCAACACACGTCAATCGCGGCAAGGATCCTCTATATATTACCCATTAAAGGAGGTGTCCTGAGGTGAATGTGCATAAACCTAGGGAGACAGTTGATTTGAAGAAATTGTTCTATTTCAGTGTCATTTCATTATGGGAATTGTATTCGGATGCAGGGAGTTCTTAAATTCGGACAAGGAAAAGAACTTCCCGAGGTCGATTATTCGGTGACATGGCTAGAGCAACAACCCGAAGAAAAGTGAATTTATGGTCCCGTACTGAGAAAAGCCAACCTTGCTATTTACACAAATGACCAGCATGCAAGTTTAGAGTCATGGTTGGCGTTAGATTGCCGCTGCGACGCCTAATGGGTGGGAGTAACGTCAGCCATGCGGAATGAGGGAGTTATGGTTGGTGACAGGAGTAGCTTGTGCTACAATAGGCAAACATTTAGGAAGGACATGTCAGTGCAATCGCGCATTTCTGGGTATAAAGTACTTGCAAATAGCATATAAACCGAAGAATAATCGGTAACAGCAGAGATATTAGTTAACGGAACAACTCGATATACTGATATCATTTTGATTAGCCTCAAACGGATTGGGCATGACATCCATAGACGGAAGTGCTCGATGAACCCTTATCAGCAAGTCTCAGGTTGCTCGATCATTTACTTGTATCGAAACTCGGTTTCGGGCAAGAAGATGCAGGTATCAACAGGCTTGAATCATGACGTACGCTTGATGGATTAGTACCATCTAAGCCAACAAGCCCGGCGCAATCGTTACCTAAGATCCATGGCAGGACTTCTCCCAGAACTGAGAAGTCAAGAATTTGAGAGCCTAATGGGTTTCAAGAGAGTAAACTAGATAGTATATCCCCAACTAAGCACTACCCCTTGGCTTTGGGTGTTTGCGGTTTACTCATATTACAGTCGCGTGGATGTTTTGCAGGCTGCTGAGCAAGCGAGAAAGGAATTTGAGTGTGTTATTGAGTAATAAACGCATTATGCGATCACGTTAATTAATTCTACTGTAACATTATTACTCTGAAGTATAAATCGGAGTCTTACTTTGTTCTTGGGTCTCACTAACTGCCTTATTTAGTCTACTTTCATGGAGCAAATGAAGGTATCAAATGCTACCTTTACGCTTGAAGTAGCAGTAACTATTGGCCTCGTAAGTTCCATCAGACCTGCCTTTCATCCCTGCGACCACCCCGAGAGCTGTCCAAGTACACCGAGAGATACGAGACCTATTGAGAAATAGGACCGGAGGTTTCCATATTTCAGTTGACACTGGCAGTCCAATTGGGAACAGTGAAAGTGGCCTTGCCAGTGAACGGCTCGGTTCCAAACTGCAGATCTGCACATTACTCTCATTAGCTACTTCGCTTACACGCGGGTTAGGGCTGTGAGTCCTTACTGATCAAGTTCTGGCTAGAAGCAGGGAAATCGTGCTTAGATGTGATATAGTCAAAAAATGGCTTGAGGTCTGCGCTGAACGAATTGATCGGGGTTCCTGAGACAAAGCTGAATGTCTTTTGCTCGGCGCCTGCCTGGATGCTGGTGCCGTACCACAGTTCCCATGTATGGCCTGCAATATCAGTGGAATCAATTTTGGAGCCAATGGGCTGGATACTGCCGTAGCGTGCGAGCCTTGAAAATGGAAAACGCCAGTTCAGTCAGTATATCAAAAATGTAGTTTAAACCGCGCCAGGAGGGATCGGCTGATACGCACCAAATCATCAGTTCATAATCGCCGCTTGATGTGGCGTGATTCTTGTCCGCGGCAGTGAAGAAGTCGTACGCCACATCGGCATTGACATTGGTATTATCCTGGCTCCATTCCACGTCGGTGGGGATACTGCCAACCTCGCTCACGGGCTTCTTCTCGAAGTCGACTCCGGAGTTGGAATAGCTTTTCACACTGCCTTCACCACCGCTCCAATCCCAGGTAGTGTGCCATGCAACACCAGAGCTCGAGATTTTGTCAACGTAGACGCACTGGGAGCCGGAACCGGAGTCCTTGCCCCAGAGGTTGTTGGCCACTCTGTACGGAGGACTCTCGGCCTGATCATATTGTGCACACATCTCTTTTTGGGCGGATGCCAAGGCCACAAGTGCCGCAAGTGTTAAAGGAAGCTTCATAGTGAAAGTAAAAACAGTAGATCAACTTGGTGTAAATGACAAAGTTTAAGTCTTATCGATTCCAGAGACCTGGGGGCGTCCGTAAACGCTACTAAATAGTATAAGGGGAGCCTACTGCTGATATAGCAGAGATCTCGTCAAACTCTACATCCTGCAATACAGTAAGCATCAAGAAATGAGGCCCCATACTGGAGGATCAAGATCGGCACGCATCACATGTCTGACGAGCATCATTCTTCTTCGTAATTGGCGGAGATGCCGTGTTGTCAGGGATATCTGCTGGGATCTGCAATTCAGGAACTATTTAGCCACGGCTTACGGGGCCGAAATACCGGTTGGTACTAAATATAATCGGAAATATCTCATTTAGTTAGTTCCTTGTTTTATTGAAGCTCTGCCTCCGCACCTTGGCGAGCCTATAGCGTTTCCTTTCCTCGGTTTCAATTATTTCTTTGAGTAGGAGCTTGCTTACAAACAATATGTGGCCAGGGTGAGACGAGGTGACTCCTCTCTGCCACGCTTTAGCTCAAATTCCGAGTGGTACGATCGTTAAGTCTCCGTATCCCTTACGGCGTCATCCTGCAATAGTTCTATGTCGTCCCGTTGTCTATACTGGACTCATACGATGAGGGACGGACAGGCTCCAGTATGCATTAGTTCTACCGGCTGCTGATGTTCACGGGCCTTAACACGGGTATAGAGTCAAAGGCATATACTGCACGCTTTTCTAATAGATTGATGTTCTTGAGGGAGCCAGCGGCATTATTCTATTCTGGTTGCCACCTTTGGCTACCATTTCCCTTTGGAGTCTCTATACTTGATACCTCTGATTTAATAACTCGGCAGTTTCATACTCGGCAGTCTCATCCCTGCTCACACCACACCTTGCGTATCCTAAATTCTTTAATTTATGGCTGAAAACCCTTCCGCCCGATTATTACTTTTCTGGGAATAGGCGCCGATATGGCCCCACATTTGTGGAATCATTCGAAGTTTATTTTCAGGCTTGCAATCTACGGAGTAGACACTGTACACCGTAGGTTAAAGGTTTTGATACTATTGCTGACGCTAAAGGATTTGGTTCTGTGCTGGGCCGGCACATGTCAGCGTTGAGCTGTTTCACTTCAAAACACGCTCGTAGGAAAGGGCATGTACCCCTGGTTTCTCCCCAAAAAAACTGTACTCGGAAGTGCCTCGGAGAATTTCGCGGAGGAAAAAAAAAAGGAAAGAAAATTTACGGAGTACTTGGCTCCGAACGAATCCCTGCTAAGCTAGTTTAACTCGTTGACCGACTTTCAAGGTCATGTTGAATGCCGCTGTCATTTTTTCCACATTTCAAAATACCCTTCATTTACAATGGCATTATTGTCTCCGTCTAGACAATGAACTAGAACTTATGGGCACTTTCATTGGTACAAGTTGGGCCTGGGACCTGCATTATGCCTACCTGAGGGATTTAATGATAGCCTGATAAGATTAGAGAGAAGAGCAAAAAAAAAAAAAAATAAAAAAAAATAAAAATAAAAATAAAAACAAAAAGAGAGAGAGAGACGAGGGGAATATGCACCGACTTACTAGTTGATAATCTACTGGAGTATCAAGCCAGTGTGATGTCCGTTTCGCTTTGGGAAAGAGGAGGCTTCCGTTTGGATAAGGCCTCAAAGATAGAGAAGTTGGCTTCTACTCTTTATAACATTTGGCTTCCGCCTACGGACAATGGCCTCTTTCTACTGTACATAATCCGACATGTCAAACCGAAGAGAAAAACCATTTATAGTGTGGTAGAAACCAAGACTTTTATTTGCCTATCCTTTCGGCTAGCCGAATGGCTTTTCGTCCTAGTGAGTCCCGACAGACCTCTATGAACTCTAGGTCGACTTCAATAAAGTAGGAAGTTTAACTATCCGTAGCCATATTCTGAGTAAGATCCCAGCCTGGAGTTTTTGAAATTCCGGGAAGATGAAGCAGTCTGACGGGCAAGCAGAATTAAAAATGGTAATAGTCAATTACTTCAATTATCGTGGCTAACTATCTATAGGGAAGGCTACGTCAATGACTATATATGTATTAGGATAGTTAATGTTTGATTGTACATACTTTACTGCGGGAACTCATTGTATTATTTCAGAATGGAGGAAGTTCCGAAATATTGCTTATAAATTGCTCTTCCACACAAGGCATACTATAAGCCTTTGATAAAGATGGGCTGCTACACAATAGGGCTTTCCATAATGTTATCGATGACGACTTTGTGAAAATTGCTTCTAAAGAAGCTGGCGCGGCAGTCCTGAGCGTGAAACCTACATTAATGCTCTTTTTCTTGCTAGGATCCATGAATGTCTGTTCATAGAGGTTCTTTATGCAATCTGTCTTCTCCGTGAATGTGAATCACGCAGCCACAGAATTTCTGATTGTCTATCCAGGAGCTTTCGTGCTTGACAGAGAAGTCTTGGTGTAAGGGTTACGTATCGCCCATTGACTTCAAGAGATACATACACGATGTAAGACTAATACACTGATAAGGAACCAAACTCGCCTTATGCCGCCATAAAGAACTCCCAGGTGGCATCAGGGGCCAGCGAGCTCTGCACTCCAAGTGGCGCACCATCATGTCCACCATCATAAGCAATGAAAGAAACTGGCCTAGAGCAGCCATCGAAGTCTGTTCGTTCGGAGCCCTGACTCCCAGACCCAGGCTTTTTGATGTCCTTTGGCTGGCAGCCATTGTTCCCCACAAACTTATTCGCCAGCTGCACACCTCCATCGAAAGGAAGAACGGGATCATTGATGCCATGGATCCCTAGATACGCAATAGGATCATTGCCCCCTTCACATCCACTAATCACGCCACCGCTCAAGACGCTAACAGCCTTAAACTCCTTAGCCCGCGAGCAAGCAAGGGAATAACTCATTCCACCACCCCAGGAGAAACCTGTCGAGAAGCGAGAGCTCTGGTCCACACAGAGCTCACCCTCAACTTGTTCGATGATGGCGTCGATGAAGGCCACGTCCTCGCCGTTATTATTAGTCCAGCCGGCGTTCAGACCATTAGGGGCCACGAAGATTGCACTACCCTGCGCGCGTGCTTCGAGGCCGTACCAGGGTTGGATGCTTTCGCCGTTGACAACATTGTTCATGTTCCCACCGCGCCAGTGGAGTCCGAAAACCAGGTGATACGGGTTGTTTGCATCGTAGTTATCGGGGACTTTGAGGGTGTACTCGCGGCCGTTTATTTGGTGGACGCCATTGGCAAGGGAAGGGTTCTTGCCGCAGCCCGGAGAATTCGCGCCGTGGACGGAGGTGAGGGCACTGAGCGCCACGAGAGTATGGAGAAAGATGGATTGAGACATTATCACCGACTGAACGATTGAACAACTATGACTCTTTGCTAAGCTGAGAAAATGGCAAGTAGTTGGAATGATGATAGAACCAGCACCTCTAACGAAGGGCTTGCATTTATAGGTGGTTGTGTTGTTGCATGCTTTAACCTCAGGCTATTTCCTCCGGAGATCCCTTCCCACGCAGGAACGGAGTTCTGGTCCAGAGTCCATTGCGAAACAAGTATCTGTACACTCTCCGCTCTTTCTCCCTGTAAATCTCCACTGCTGGAAGAACTACGGTGGAACTATAGCCTATTCATGGCCTTCATCCGGTGAGACTTGTATAGGAGACGGGTCGACGTTCTGGGCTCCTGCAGGATGAAACTCAAGTGACGTAGAAACTGATTAACCTTCCTGGTAGTAGGATCAAAGGGTCACGGAGAGAAGTTACCCAGGAGAGAAATTGCCATGGTCTTTCGTGGGGGATGCGTCGTGTCGAAATATGCAGCTATCGTCAAGATGGGTCCTGATCCTTAGAGATATTGGACGGATAAAGGACGTTGAATCAGGCTAAATCCTGGTGTCGGTTGATGCACCCTGAAAAATCTCCGTGGCAGGTTGCATGACGAATGAACCGGGACCTTTCGATCTGTAACTATGGGCATCTAAACAAGCTGGATTGGCATGCCAAGATCCCGTCGGCAGTAGAGCTTTGTTTTCACTGCCGAACAGAAGGGATGATCCCCTATGAGACTCGCTTGCATTAACTCTCTATGGCTTAATGCGGTATCAATTGAGTTAGGCTCGATAGCACCTAGTGTAAACCGTATGCTTTAGAGACCTTGCTCCATCTTAGTAAGGGATGTGTAAGGCGCCACGGCTCAAGCCGGTGGAGCCTGGACCCTGAGCGGACGCCCCCGATGTTTCATCAAATCAGCAGTTAGTAGTTACTCAGAGTGCGCGAAAGTTTTATTAACAGTCTATATTTGGATATGTAACCCCTAATGTTTCAAGCAGTCAACTGTATCGCCACAGCCATTGGCCTCCTGACGACCTCCCGTGCATTAGTGTACAATTCCATCTCGGGTGACATATGAGGTTGCCAAACTCCGCAGAGTAGTTGCGAACTCTTGCACCTTGACTCAACTGTTGCCTAATGCCAAGCAGTTTTAGTTCGGACGTCTAGCTCATCCTGCTCTTTGCCGTGTTTCACGATATGCCGAACCCTGTGAGGCCAAGACAAGTAGTAAAAGGTTTTATATACGCTGAGAAGAGCCAACAATGCATTATGCCGGTGTAGTTTTGAGAATAGTGGCATTTGATCTTCCAAGGCTTGGCATAGTCAGCCCTGTAGATGTGAGACATGGCCCACATGGACGACGACTACACACGGGTTACCCTGCGGACCTACTCCATAAGTGGGTTTGGCAGGTTTCGCATATGGAGAAGATCAGTACGTTCCAGACAAAATGCAGATGATATCGGGAGATACAGTAGACAATCGTCGTTATCACGGTGTTGCCAAACACCAGAAAGTAAATACCGCACGAGCTACACCACAAACGATATAAAGACGGACACGCCCACTGATGAAAGACTGTAGAAGAGCCATTGCACCTCAACTTCCTCCGCTCACATCTGCTTTAATATCCTTCTGTTGTACCCGAGTGGTCCTTGTCTTCATTCAAGAAAACGTTCTCTATTTGATCTTCAGTATGAAGCTCACTCTTCTAGCCACCGCAGCGATCGCACCCTTGGTCTCGGCGCATTACTTCTTTGACACCCTCGTCATTGACGGTCAGGAAACCACTCCTAACCAATATGTTCGCTCCAACACTCGTCCCGAAAAATACAACCCAACCAAGTGGAAGAACACCCGCGACGACATGACTCCTGATATGCCGGACTTCCGCTGCAACAAGGGCGCCTTCACCTTCGCTGGCCAGACCGAGACGGCGGAAGTCAAGGCCGGGTCGAAGCTTGCAATGAAGCTCGGCGTGGGAGCTACAATGAAGCACCCTGGCCCTGGTCTTGTATATATGTCTAAAGCGCCCGGCGCGGCCAACCAGTACGAAGGTGACGGCGACTGGTTCAAGATTCATGAGGAGGCCATTTGCGACCAGGGCAAGGACATCCAAACCGATGCCTGGTGTACTTGGGATAAGGACCGGATCGAGTTTACAATTCCCGCAGAGTTGCCAGACGGGGAGTATCTTATTCGGTCGGAGCATATTGGTATGTCTGGTCTACCCATTCTTGGAAAACAAGCAAGTACAAACATTAACCTTCCTTAAAGGCGTACATGGAGCGCATGATGGACAGGCTGAATTCTACTACGAGTAAGCCATTCTGGTACCCTTTGTTTCGGATTGATTGCTGACAGAATTTCTAGATGCGCTCAAGTCAAGGTCACCGGCGGTGGTAATGGAAATCCGGGACCCACAATCAAGTTTCCGGGTGGCTACAAGAAGGATGATCCCTCATTCAATTTCAGCATCTGGGGAGGCATGAAGGATTATCCCATGCCTGGTCCTGCTGTCTGGACTGGTGGTTCAGGTTCAGCCTCTAACGGGAGCAGCCACTTCCGCCGTGGACACAAGGCTCACCTTCGCCATTGAAGCAATGGGCTAGATCTACTGTGCATCTGCAACTGATCACATTGGAAACAGAGAAGGTGGCTTTTGCGTTTCTGGGCTGGTTAGAAGCACCCGTGTCCTTTGGCCGGCCATCACCGGTGGCAGGGGTGACTATTTTCGGCCCTACCTGATGTTATATTATATTTGTTTACATAACATATGGCAAAGTAACAGTTCGTTTCATCGATTAACTCATCGGGTAAAATGAGTACATGTTTGAGTAGACCAGCCAATCCCCTCCGTCATCATCCTCCAGAGTATGGGAGTCATGGGCAAAGATTTCCTCTTGGATAGTACTTGAAACATGATGGGTCCTTAGTTGTTGCGCTTGATTATCATAGAAGCTAATGTATTGATCGTCAAATAGAGGAAAGTAGTCGTCAAGAAGAATATTGATACAGCTGTTTCGCCTGATAGGATTTAGGCATTCTACGGAAAGCTACTGAAGGTGCTGGAGAGTGATGTCGTTCTAATGTTACTAGGCATCCGCCCCTAGCATTGACTCGGGTCAGTCTCTGAGTAGGCGGCACTTTGTGATAACGTGGGGATGATGGCTGCTCTTCGTTAAGAAGAAGCACGTGCTCTTGCGCAGGATGACGACCTCACACCTCTCCAGCTTTTAGAGGAAATGTGCAGTCAGCTAGCATCCTGTTTGCGTAGCTACCGGGACCAGTAGGACACCAATCCATCTAGCCGGACAAAATGGACATGTTAGTTCCATTGGTGCAACTATTGATCAGACGTGAATGCATGATTCCGAAGCCTGAAGTTACAGGTTGGCGTGCTGTTGGACCTTTGCTGTGACGGCGACTTCTCTGTTGACCGAGAAAAGACTGTCATGACTCACAAGTACTCATACTGACCTTCTTTCAACCCCCAATCTGCCTCACCTGACATCAGCTGACATGAGGGGTTTGCAGACCCCACACCGCTCATTTTCCGGGGGTGGGGGTTTAAATACAACATCTACCCGCTTCCCAATGAAGTAATCGATGTATTCTGACTCACCATATTAACATGGCCACAGCTCAAAGCCCACTACTCGGGAGCCATTCTTGTCAACCGTCTCTGGAAGATGGGCAGCCGAGAAGCCACCAGGAGCGACGGACTTGCCTCCAATCCCTAACATCGAAGCTGCTCGCGGTATACTGGGCTTTCTTGGTTATGGGAGCAAATGATGCCGCATATGGGGTAAGCGACTTGAAAAGAATGAAAGTTCTAGAACTAACGTAGACAGCCTCTGCTTCCCTACGTAAGTAGAAGCCATAGCTGTAATGCGCCCGAACGAACACCCTGACGAACCGAACAGTTCGAGTCGTATTACGACATTTCCTACACAGCCGTTTCGGTTCTTTTCCTTTCCCCTGTGTGTGGTTATATGTTTGCCGCCATACTGAACAACGAGATTCACGTACGGCTAGGCCGGCGTGGAATCGCTTGTATTCAGTCATTATGCCATTTGTTCACTTTTGCGGTTGTCTCATTTCATCCACCTTACCCTATCCTCGTGGCAACGCTTGCGATCGGAGGAGTAGGAAACGGAGTAGCAGACTCTGGATGGAACGCTTGGATAGGCGCCATGAGCAGCTCCAATGAACTTCTCGGTATATTGCATGGCCTATATGGCGTTGGAGCAATGGTTAGCCCATTAATTGCGACACTGCTCTTGAGCAAAGCCAATCTTCCATGGTTTCGATTTTACCATATTTTGGTACGTATTTCAGTTGTCCTCAAGAAAACAACTATGGCTCACTCTGAACTAGGCCGCTTGTGCTGCTATCGAAGTCGTTACCTGCGTGATCGCCTTTTGGGATTCTGGACCGGATGATCACCAAACCATTGAGAATGCCGAAGAAAGCCAGCGTGGTGGCTTGCGACGTGCATTGTTCCAGAGACCCTATGCGTGGGTGACCTGGACGTGTGCCTCTTATATCCTTGTTTATATGGGAGTTGAAGTCACCATAGGTGGTTGGACTGTTACATATATGCTGAGGGTACGTCATGCAGATCTATTTGCGAGTGACATGGCAGCCACAGGGTTCTGGCTGGGCCTTACTTGCGGTCGATTCATTCTTGGTTTTGTCACATCAAGACTAGGACAGGCATTGGCTATTACGGTAAGATACATTCAGCCCTTGTTGCTCTTCCAAATGTTCTTCTTCCTCCTTATTCATATTATCGGGAGAGAGAGAGTAATCGCGGCTTTGAATAGCCTTCTCGAAGCCCTTTTAACCGGAAACAAACCTAACCGTGACGATAGGTCTACTCTTTGGCTGTGATCATCTTTGGTTGTGCATTCTGTTTCCTGCCAAATTTCTACGCCGCTGCAGTCGCGGTGTCACTACAAGGCTTTTTTCTGGGGCCCCTTTTCCCATCTCTCATAGTGGTCGTCACTAGAATCCTCCCACGGGAAATGCATGTGAGTTCCATTGGCTTCGCATCCGCTGTTGGCGGAGCCGGAGCTGCCGTGCTGCCATTTACAGTAGGGGCTATGGCACAGGCTAAAGGAGTTGGAGTCATGCCGCCAATCGTTATCGGACTCTCAAGTATCTTATTTGTATTGTGGTTATGTCTCGCACGTATATTGAGAGATATAGAGAAAGACTAGACGGGCTTATGATCGGAAGAGGGTATTCCATTTATCAACCGGAACATCGACATGATGTTAGATGATTGGGACTTAGACGTGTACTTGATAGCCTAGAAGATATCAATGTGCCAGATAGCACTTCTCCGCACTATCTTTCACTTAGGGATAGGAAAGAATAAGCTACTACTAGTATGAGACATTGATGGTCAGAAGGTATCGAATTTGAGCGAATTGAGTGATCAAGCAAGGAGAGAACATGTTTGGTGACGACAAGCGCGACCTTCGCCTAGAGGCCTGACATGCAGTCTTTAAGATAAAAAGCGGGGTAAAGGCCATTTGAGCAATAGAATCCTTGTTTCCATCCTTCAAGCGCTCCTCTGCCTCCAAGCATTGTTCGACCATGTCTACTCGGACCGACTTTTCTGTGCTTGACTTCTCTAGATACAAGACAGATTTCGACGGTCTCTCTAGAGATATTTTTAACAAAAATGGGGCTTTTTCATTTTCAACCATGCAGTATCCAATGTTCCGCATGTATGAACTGGTTAGTTTTCCGGCAACCATATTGCATAGCCAGACCCCATGCTATAATTCTTGGTACTGATGAATTGGCCTGAAGTCTACGAAATTCTTCGACCTCCCTAAAGACCAGAAGGCCGAGAAGGTCCTCGACGCGACGATGACCGGCTACAATGGAAAGCAGCTCACAACGTAAGTCTCAAACAACCTAGACATTTTGGAAAATAATATAATGAGCAAGGGCTGACACCATAGCCACTTGACATAGTTGGTCTGCTTCTGAAGGCATTGCCTTCGGCATGCCAGCCGGCCGTCTGTTCGACCGACCGAATCTTCCCGCCTGGTGGGATCGATCCCGGCTGCAAGAGATCGAAGTCTTCAAAGCGAGCTGCTACAATTTTAGCCTGGATATCCTATCCTGCTTTGCCGTTTAGATGGGGTTGGAGAAATTCTTCTTTGCATCCAGACACCAGCACAAAGGCCCCGGCAACGCGCTGAAGCTCGTCAAGTATCCCCGATTCGACAAGCAGCCTGACGGTGTTCCCCGTTTGTCCGAGCATACAGACTGGGGCAGCTTCACTCTGCTGTTTAGTGAAACGCCCGGCCTCGAGATCCGCGACCCCGATGATCAGTGGATGAGTGTTCCCACGGTCTCCGGAGGCGTGGTGGCCAACATAGCGGATGCATTGTCTCTCTCTGGACGAGCAAGAAGTTGAAGTCGGCGTTCGATAGAGTCAGTTGGGATAATGTGGCGGCATACCAGGAAAGACTGAGTGTCGCTTATTCTGGGCTTCCAAATAATGGTTATGGTAGCCCCTTTTATTTCTTCCATTTCCCGTCTAACTCGGGTCTTCTTTTAGATACAGCCTTATCCGACCCAACCGTCCAAGCATATTCGGACGAATCAAATCAGCCACCCTTTTACTGTGGCCACTACTTGAAGGTTCGATTAGGGCTGGCGTTTGGAGCGGCGCGTGAGGGCGGCGTTGCTGGAAAATACTTCGACGCGATTGACAACGCGGTTCTCGAGAGAATGAATGCCCTGAAGATTGCGCATTATGGAGCTCCCGAGTCCAATAGAGTGGGAGTCTCATAACAGACGGGTTCGATAGAATCTAAGCTCTGGAAGTGCAAGAATAAAAGAAATGTCAAATACGTGGCCACTGATGATAAATTTCCAATGCATATCAGCCTTGATTTACCGGAATGGCATCATCTTACGCCTCTGTTGCCGTCTTGTCCTCGATCAATTTGTACTGGGGAATTGCTTCTTCAGCTCGCCATTTGTATTGACTGCCGGGGTGATCTTCAGGCAATCTTTTCGTGCCGATGAAAACCTCTCGAGCAGTTGCACCCTGCTCGGGTACCTCCGACCGAAACAGACCTCTGCGACGGAGCTCAGGCAGGAGATGCTCAATGATATCCTCAAACGTGCCAGGATTGGTGACATGTGCAAGATTGAAGCCATCCACTCCGGATATCTCAACCCATTTCTCTAGCTCGTCCGCCACAGTCGTCGGTCCACCGACAACCTTCGCCCCTAATCCGCCGACGCTCAAGTATTCAACAATGCGTCTCTTCGTCCACGGAAGATTGTCTGTCCCCGGCACTGTGGCTGACCAGCGCCGCACAAGGGACTGTACACGCGGGGAGTCAGTGAACCGAAAGTCCTCATCGTCCGCATACCCCGAGAGATCCACACCAGTCCAGCCCCCAAACAAGGCCAACGCACCCTTCTCGTCCGCATAACTCAGGTACTCCTCTCGTTTCGCCTGCGCCTCTTCATCCGTAGCCGCCACGATCACATTAATCCCCACAATAATCTTGATATGGTCCGGATCCCTCCCTTCCTCCTCCACCCCCACCCGCCTCAGATTCTCAACCGTAGCCCTAACGCCCTCAGGGGTCTGTCCTCCAACAAAAATCGCCTCCCCATGCTTCCCGCCAAACCCATTCCCAGCCTCCGACACGCCCGCCTGAAACAAGAACGGCGTCCGTTGCGGCGACGGCTCACAGAAATGCGGCCCGGGGACATCAAAATACTTACCCTTGTGGTTAATTTCCTTCACTGCATCAGCGGCAATATACACCCCTCGCTCACGGTCCTCAATCACCGCGTCGTCTCGAAAACTACCCTCCCAGAGCTTATACACGACTTCCATGTACTCATGCGCAATGGCGTATCGCTCATCGTGCGGAATCTGCTCCTTCAATCCGTGGTTCCGCGCCGCGGAATCCAAATACGAGGTGACAATATTCCACGCGAGTCTGCCCTCGCTGAGATGATCGACGGTGGAGAGCCGGCGCGCAAGCGCATATGGCTTCTCATACGTCACGCTGGCGGTGACGCCGAAAATCAGGTTCTTGGTCGCGGCGGCCATGGCGGGGACCAGGTAGAGGGGGTCGTTGACGGGGAACTGGGCGCCAGATGCGAGTGCGGGCACGACGTTCGAGGGACCCTTGTAGACATCGTAAGGCCCGAGTGTGTCGGCGATAAAGAGAGCGTGAAAACCGGCTTGGTCGAGGAGCTTTGCGAGGTCGGTCCAGAAGGAGAGGGTTTTGTATTGCGTTGTGCGGTTGCGTGGGTGGCGCCAGAGACCTGGGGCTAGGTGCCCTGGGGTGTTCATGACGAAGGCGTTGAGGATGATTTGTTTCTTAGGTGCCGAGTTGGTCATTTTGAGAATGGGGCTGATGGGGTTGGTTTAGTGATAAGGGAAGGATGGAGTATGTGGTGTTGAGGTAGTTGCTAGTTGGTAGATAGAGAAAGGCGTATGGAGGCTTTTATCCTCGCATGGTTCGTGAGGTTAATTATCCCATATCTCACTGAGGGCACGCAATTCCTCCTGATAACAGCCATATCTTCTGGTGTGAGGAGCACAACAGAAACAACCCCTCATCTATCGACCGAGATCGACATCATTACAGGCCCTGGTCGGATAGCGCAATACCCGTCAACTAGTACGTGACGACAGTATGGCAAATAATGAACATTGAAAAGGGGAGACAAGAAAACTACTTATATTAATTACAGTGTTCTACAATCGCTTTTCTTTGAGTATGGGAAGCCAATAGGATATCGAAAGCTCTGTAGCTTAGACCAAGACTTGTTTGAAGGCCCTCTGGAATACAAGTGTTTGTTTATAAGAGCTTAGCTGGCAATTTGAATAAAGACTCAGGAGAATTTTCCAAACACCCAATATCTATTCCAGCACTTATTATAATCCCACTTCGGGTTCTCAACATGAAGGCACCCATGAGGTCCGGGCCGACGGTCGGAATTGAATTGATTGTTACCATATAAAGTGACCACGTGCCCCTGCTAGCCCTACCTATGTCGACAGCATACAGCACCAGACCAAAAGTTCAATCCTCTAGGATGAGAGCAGGACGCGTAATCTTCGTCTTTCAATTCAAATCAAAACTTCGAGCCTAGGCTGCATATAGCGCTTCCAAAATAGATCGTCCTGCCCGGTAGATAAAAAGTACGCGTTGTCTGGGAGTATTAGCAGAATGAAGCCCGATACGTGATGAGATAATTGCATTAAATTTCGATGCTAGGAAGAAGCTTTGTACTGGGGATCCTTCCCCTTAACAAACTTTATCCAGCATTGTTCTACCCGAAGCATGCTGCGTGGGGCGTTTGATATTGCAGCTCTGGGCATTGAGCGTATTATCGCCGCTAATTCGTTTAGGGGTTGGTTAAGCAAGTCATTCTGTCGGGGATGGAGGTCAATGATCTAATCCTACTTCTATCACAATTGAACCTCATTTTGACTTGACATCTCTGTCGTAGCAAAGACTGGGTTGTTGTGGCTTTTCCGAGGTATGACGCAAAGTAACTACAGACCCAAAGTAAGTTGATCGAATAATCAAAAAAGCGCATGTAACAAGACAGGTCCATCAACTGTTCACATGGCCGGCATGTCACCATACCGGCCAACCATCCGATTGTGTCCGAATGTCCTCTTTTAAATTGGTATCTATTATCTATTAACATTCTCAAAGACAAAGCCCACACAATTCAGTTGCCTAGCCCAGATCTTGCGGTGGCTTTCTATTTGCTTCAAGAAAAGTACAACTAATCACAAGAAAAGAAAGCGAAAGAAAAGAAAGCGAACCCAATGATGACTGATTGACAAGGTGTGGAAATTTGTCATCGCACACTGCAAGGGAACCAACAAGTATTGGTCCAAGGCTGCGATTGCTCGGCCCTTGTTTCAAAAATTGACAGCACCCCGTTCTCCTCAACTCCCGAAGGGTCTGGAGTTCTCCTCAACTCCCGAAGGGTCTGGACAGCGGAATGTACCAAACCAGTTCTCTTCTGGCCACCACCCCGTCAAATGCCCCCCAAACTCTTTCTGACTGAGTTTCCCATCGAGCTATATAAGGGGCTGCTCGGACAGTCCTGAGACAAGATCATCTTACCCCTTTACCCTAACGGCCTCACCCCATCAGAAGTCACCATGCCAGTAGCACAATACGACTCCATCGGCGACCGCTACACCGAGGTCGCCAACCTCCCAACCGGCCTCCTCCAACAAGCATCCATGCAAGCCCTTGTGGGCGATATCACGGGTCTCACGGTGCTGGACCTCGCCTGCGGCGCCGGCTCCTATACACAAAAGACGGTCACAGACTGGGGAGCCCGGCACGCCGTCGGAGTCGACATATCACCTCTTACAATCGAAGTTGCGCAAAGACGTACACAGGACGATCCGCGAGTTGAATTCCACGTCGCGGACTGCGGCCGTCCACTCTACATGGGCCAATTCGATATTGTGATCTGCCGCTGGCTCTTGAACTACGCGACCAACGACGCCGAAATGCTAGACATGTGGAGGAATATTTTTAATAACTTGAAACCGGGCGGACGGGTGATTGGTCTCACTCCGGACTTGGGGGCTATCGAGAAGGGGAGAAGCTTGCCGGTAGGGAATTACTATGGACAGAGCGTGGAGGTGCTCAAGTGGTTGGATAATGGTGGTGTGAACGTGCAGACGACGATGCATACGTCGGAGCCGTTTTCGTTCCAGAGTTGGTTTCTCCCGAGGGAGATGTATAACAAGGGAGCAAAGCTGGCGGGGATGAAGGAAGTTCGGTGGGTGACGCACCCGGATTTTGCGGTGCCAGGGGTGGATATGGAACAAGTTCGAAAGTGCCCTCTTTTCAACATTTTTACGGCTGTCAGACCATTGGAGTAGGCGTGGACATGGTTTTTGTTGGGAGTGGGGATTGGGGATGACTTAAAATGAGGAGGAGGCGCATAACTAAAGGTAGATTGTTGATGGATGAGTGCGGTAGTCTCTTATCTATGAAGCTAAAATGATAATGATCTCAGGGTCCTGGTCTAAAAATAGAGGCATTGACATGAAGGGCTTATATTAAAAATTTCCGCACCGGATTGAGGATGCCATCTAGCTCCCTGACCCTATGTCAACTACTTAATATCCCAAAGTCAGTTGATCCCGGATCCAAAAACCACCTATCAATCTATAGTGTCCCCCCTCCTGAAATTACACTCACTTGTAATCAAGATTAATAATCTTCAGGTTGTACATCTTGCGAAAAATCCAAGGTTCAGATACGGACTCGCTCGTATACTGACGGATCATGCCCCATGTTCTCCGTGTGGGCGCAGTCTAAACAGGAAAAATCCCCGAGCATAAACACTCCGTTTCGTCGCAACGAACAATTTTCGAAGCGAACATCAAACATTCATGTAAAACATACCCTTTATTTGACAAAGGAATCTCCAAATTAGCAATAACACAGCCAAGAAATATTCAATAACGATATGATAGTAGAGTTGAGGTCTCTCTACCTGGTAAGAATCAAAATCAGCCAAATAATAGCATAAGTACCTTTTATCGACTATAATACATTGTAGAATATGCTCAGAGTAACTGCAAATAAAGGATAACGTAAATCAGACCATCGGCAATGATCCACCAACAACCATAACGTTATGCCCAAACATAAAAAGCACGATCAAGACAGCCCAAAACATGCACCCAAATCTCATACAAGAATTACCCAAACAGACAGCCAGAATACCTACAAGCGCCAAACCCCAAGATCTGTACAGAAATGTCCACAACCAACTACTCCATCGCCTCCATCATCGCCGCCTACGGAGTAGGAGCCGCCCCTCACGGCTACTACCTTGTCCAAATGATGGCCAATGCAAAAGGCCAAGCGAGTAATATCCTGTACGCTCTGACACCTAACACATTAGTACAGTATATTTGAGTAAACTAGTCCTAACCAAGTTCCCAAATTTATCTAGTCCCCGCGAGAACCTCTCCAAATTGAAAGGCAACATCCCTGCCGCGGTATGGGATACAATGGCCAGGGCCCGCGGCGCGCATTCAAATGCCATGGAGGGATTGCCGATGTTTGCAGCTGCTATGGTAGGTCTGCATCCGTGGCCTATGCTTGATTTATGGCTGATGTGTGTACGTATCTAGATAGCAGGAAACGTGGCGAAACTTCCCGCTGATGAGCTGAATGTTCTGGCGGCGGAGTATATTGGGGCGAGGATTTTGTATACGGCGGTGTATATGGGCGTCAGGTCTGAAGCGCTGAGTTATCTGCGGACGGGTGTGTGGGCATGGAGTTTGTCGATTCCGATCTGGGGACTTGCTAGAGCTGGGAGGGCGTTGAATGCGGAGTAGCTGCTGGTTTGGCATGCTTTGTTGTGCTAATATCAAATACCTGGTCGGTTAGATCTGATTAATACCTGTTTGATGCCATTAAACATTGTTGGACTTGGGGAGCAATCATAAGATCGATAACCGTATACCCAAAAAGCACCAACACTCAAAAGCAACCTCCCCAAACCATGACCCTAACCCAAAGACAACACCCCCTCACCCCTCCCCCTCCTCTTCTGATTACTACTTTCCACAACACCCACCTCAAAAGCCCACCACCACCGCTGAAACATAACCTGTCCGATTTCCCACCCCTCCGCCTCAAACGGATCCCTACTTTGCACTTTGATCCCTTCGCCGCCGATATCCTCCATGTCGTAGACCAGTCTCATCAGACCCATTGGGTCCTGTGCATTCTTCGGCCGAAGATGTTCTGGGAGGTTGAATACTTGGATGAGTTTATCGCGCGTACCGGGCCAGGGGAGGAGGTCGAGAACCGGGTGGTGAGGGATTAGACGCTGGGTTTGTGTGGGTTGGAGGTGAGGGGGGAGGGTGGTTAGATCGGGACTGCCAGTGTTGGGGTTATCGCTATGGCCAGAGTCAGACACACAATCAGAGTTGCTGGACGCCGAGGTTGATGAGTACGCCGGGTTAGAGGAACTTCCCAAAGAGGGTGGAGAGGTGACGGAATTGGACAATTCGCGAGGTCGATAGAATGGACTAGTTGCCGTCAGGTCCCAGATTAAGTGGGCCAGGTTCAACCGGTGTGCTACTTTTGTCGCTGCGTTGAGGAGTGTCAAGGAGGGGACCTCGAGTATTCTGTCGTCGGGAAATGTAAAACTTGAGGTCTCGCTGGTTTGAAGAGCCGTGGAGATGTCTAGTCGATCGTTGGTGTCGGCGCCAGAATTTTGGCTGGGAAATATGTCCACAGGGCCCTCACTTTGTGGCATTTGGTCTGACCAGGAACTAAATGGTGGTCAAAAGGAGTCGTCAGGGGCTATGGATAGGTCTGTCTCCGGTTGAGGTGCTGAGGTGGGGACAAATTGGAGAAACAGGTCCGAAGTGGCTATATGCGGCAGAATACACTTCTCACTCTGATCCCCGATTGCTTGGACATTAGAACATTGAGCGTCCTCATGATTAAGGATCTGGTTAGTATTATCAAACGCATTGATAGACACCAATGATGAAGATGACGTCGAAGAAGTTTCTTGAGTGGAACCGACTAGATGTTCGGAAAGACCCTTAGCTCGCGACTCTAGCGCGGTTAGATGATCCTTTCTCCGTTGGCCTGAACACTCAGTACTTGGACTAAGGTATTCATGGGGGGGAACCTTACGATAACGTCGCTGTGCCAGGATATTCAGAACGCGCTTGCGCTCCGCCGCATCCTCGGCAATATCCGGGACCACGAGCTGTTTGGCCTTGCGTTTTGGAGCCATACTGTCTGTATACGATCTGAAAGATGCGCTGCATATAAGGGCTGTTAGACCAAGGGGAAAGAGGCTCAGATTTTCGCGGACGAGGGTAGACAAGGATTTCGGGATCAGGGGAGATGGGCATAACGTTATGTTGCCGGATCGGGATGTGGCGTCGAGGCCAGGCGGGGCTCGTATTCAACTTGGTGTCATATTGGCTGTTATTAACATACCGAAAGGAAAGCTCATCGCGATAATTATATAAGGTTTCGAAGAAGCAACCAATATTCTATTCTTATTGTCCTGAAAAGATAGACATGGTCATCATAAATCATCGTGGATATTAATTTAACCAACATAGAAACTGCCCTAATCCCGTCAAAAGAATTTATATCAACACAAAAGAGAAAGTAGTCACCCCCCGAAAACACTCAATCTCAACTAGAACCAATGAATCACCCGAAGATCACAGAGAGAAGGGAAGATTCACTCCTTCTTCCCCCCCTCTGCCGCTCCCCCACCAAACAATCCCCCCACACTCTTCGCTCCCCCAGCAATGGAGCTCCCCACCGACTGAGCCCCCGAGGCAACGCCCTGCCCGGCGCCCTTAGCACCACTAACCACGGGATCGGTCACGCCGCCAAGGGGACCGCCATAGGAGCCGTTCTCGTCCTTCCCGCCCCTCTCGGCCCTATTGATGCCCTCTTTCGAGAAGGCATTCCCGACCGGCGCTAGAAGCCCGTTCTCGCCCAGTTGGTTCCCCACGAGATTATGCACGTCGTCTTGGATCTGGTCGACTTGTTTGACTCCGCTGACTTTCGATTTGGAGAGGGTGTCTGTTTGAGGTGGATTGTTAGCTTTACCACGATTGTTCTCCATCCCCCTCCCTATCCCAACTTCAGGTTCTGGAATAGGATAGAGAAGAGACTAACCCTTCGTCACATAAGATGCTTTGTTATCGCCCTTCCCGAACCACTTCAGATACTGGTCTTCCAGCCACGGCATCCACTTCTCGTATTGATCGTGGTAGACCTCTTTCACCCATTCGGCGTAGGTCTGTTGCTGGCGCTGGTCAGCCGGCAGGTTATCGTAGATATGGCGTTTTTGGTCTTCGGTGTGGGTGCTGGTGTTGGGGTTGGTGCTTTCGTTTGAACTCTGGTTGCTACTGCTTGCGTTGCCGGTGAGGGATGAGGCGGTGGATTTCAGGGTGTCCATTTTGTATGCAGGTCTTTCCTGGTGTAAGTGTTGGGTATAGCTGTAGTTTGGTAAGTATTCAAGAATAAAAGTAGTGTTAAATCGAAAGATAGTATGATTTGTATAAAATAACAGTGTCCTAAATAGATATACCTTAAGTTCTCTGCCGTCGGAAATAGATCAATAAATAGTGAACAGTAAACGCGAGATCGATTGACGTCCCACGTGCCATGACGTGTGTGGCACCCCACCCGTCCCTCCACATCTTAGATATGGCGATGAAAGATTCAACGGAATCCTGTTTCTAGGGCAGTCTCATTCGCAATGGACTCGATTGAATGGGACGACGTAGGCGGGATGTGACGTCATCTTTTAATTTAAGTGCGATGGACGGCACAGGTAGATCTAGGCACAGCATATGTTATTGTTTCGTCAGAGGATGCAGTTGTAAAGTGATAGAGAATTGGTTCACGGACAGTGTTGTGCTGTCTATACGAAGGGTAAGGTAACACAGGAAATACTGGTCGCATATATATGTTTTTCCTTTTATTTCCTTTCGAGATGGATTGGTGTTAAACTAAGTGCCGATTTTACTTAAACATGATATTTTCTGCAGGCGACGACGGAGAAAGAGGATAAGAAGATGCCAGGGAGCGGCCGAATGAACGCTGCTGCTAAGTAGACACATGGATGCATTAACGATTCATGTGTTCCGAGATTCGAGATGCCCCTTCTCGCACCCGTAGGGCCTGACTGTCAAAGAGAAAGATATCCGAGTACATAGAATGTAATCAAAAGCCTGTATGAATCAAGCAAGAAACTGTTGCAGCAATACCCCAGAAAAAGATATCTTTCGAGTCTGTACGTAGTAAAGCTCCGAGGTAGACAGTCTTTGCAACAGTAGCAGACCAAGATATCATACACGTAATATTGGCGATGTACCGCGTTGGGCATCATTGAAGTCTAAAATCCGAAAATCCCATTGAAATCTATAAAAATGCATACCCGAAAAAGATGGTAATATCTCTATTCTTTGAAAAGCACTCTCAATCTTTGATGCGCAAGTTTGCAATCAAACGAGTGGAAATATTTACTTTGAAATAAATGACACAACGCGCCAAGTTGCACGGTCATGTCTCATAGAAATAAAAATGACGGAAGAGAAAACGTTTACAGCAGAGCGACGAAAGCACCGACAGCAACGGCAGCACCGAAGATGGAGGTGGAAAGGCTGGCAGCACCGCTGGAAGGAGTGATGCTAGAAGAGGGAGAGCTGCCAGTGCTGCTGGAGGAGTCGGAGCCAGAGCCGCTGCCGCTGCCGCTGCCAGATCCGGAGCCGGAGCCGGAACCGGATCCAGAGCCAGAGCCCGAGGAGCTTCCGGAGGTAGAAGCGGAGTGGAAGCCGGAGGTCTTAGAGGGTCTGGGGTGGGTGGAGTTGTAGCCGTGGGTGAAGTTGTAGCCACCCTTGCCGAAGTTGTAAGGGGGGCGAGAGTGTCCACGGAAACCACCAGTGCTGGCAGCGGCGGAGGAAGAGGCGGTTACGGACCCGCTGGCGTCGGCACCAGCAGACCCAGAGGAAGAGGAGCCAGAAGAACCGGAGGAAGACGAGCCGGAGCCGGAGCCGGAGGAGTGTCCAGACGAGCCGGAGGAGCTAGAGCCCTCGGAGTTCTTGGAGCCGGACGATCCAGAGGAGCCGGAGGAGCTAGAACCGGAACCGGAGCCGGAAGAGCTGGTCGAGTTCTTGTTGGAGCAGGTCAGGTCGAACAAAGGCTTGGTGGTGAGCTCGCTGCCGACAATACCGAAGCTGGGGTTGGGAGTGGTGGGAGCAGCATCCTGGAGGATGTACCACCAGGTGTTAACCTCGTCGAACAGAGGGCACCCGACCTCATCCCAGAACTTCTTAGCGTTCTCGGTGTTGGCAATAGCCAGGTTCTGCTTGTCGCCGCTAACGGGCCATCCGGTCTCGGTGATCCAGACCTCCTTGCCATCGGCAACGGCCTTGGTCTTCTCAACGGACTCATCGAACAGCTTCTTGGCGTCGGAGATGGAGTTGTCCATGGTGTTCTGGAAGAAGGGGTATCCATCAAAACCCAGCCAGTCGACGGCCTCGACAACGGCCGAGTTGGAGCCGTTGGTCCAGGCAGTCCAGGTGTCGACGTGACCAATGGAAGCCTTGCTCAGGCTGGTGCCGGAGATAGCCGAGCGGACCTTCTTGATGTAGCCGGCGAGCTCGTCGGGGCCGATTCCAATGCCGGCGTTGGCCTGAACACCATCGTACGAGTTACGGTAAAGATCCTCGCTACCGACAGAAATACCGACGACCAGCTTGGTAAAATCGTCACCGTACTTCTCGATGGCGTTCTTGAGGGCGGCGATTTCATTGTCCATGCCACCACCGGAGGCCCAGAGGCCGAGGAGGAGGGAGGTCTTCTCCTTGATGGCGGCGGGGATGGCGGAGATGGGGTCGTTCGTGGAGCCACCTTGCTATAAGACTGTCAGTCCATCTAAGTCAAGAGAGATTCCAGGCATGAAGCAGGGTACTCACGATCATGGTGTACAATCTGGCACTGTTGAATCCGGAGGTGCCATCGAGGTTCTTGGCGGTCTTGAATTCGGCCTCGAAGTCGGCCTGCACTTTAACGCTGCCATCGGACTTGGCAGCACCGTAGTTGAAACCCTTGTGAGCAGCCTCAGCAGCTGCGAGGGACAGAGCGAGAGCGAGAAGGTTGGTGAGCTGCATTTTCGATTTTGAAACGACTGAATATATTAAAAAAGATTGAATTGAACAGAAGCCACAAAAATGAAGGAAGGAATGAAGAGAGAGGAAAAGAGAGTGTTTGTGAATGAAAGTAAGGGAAAGAGAGAGAGACAGAAATAAATGAAGGGAAGGAAGATTAAAGAGAGAAGGAGAGGAAGAAAGAAAGAAAGAAAGAGAAAAAGGGAGTCGAGAAAGAGAAGGAAAAGCAGGCGAGAATCTAGACCGTGTCACGGGTGGGACGACGGACCCACCGAGGCTTGAGAGACCGACGAATGGCGGGCTAAAAAAAGCATCTGTCAAGGTGTCGCCGGGACGGCCGGCGCGGGAAAAAGTGCTTTTCCTGGCCCTACGGGCCCTCCTCGGCCCTCCTGATGGGTTCCACAACGCCAATTTACTAATTGTGGCGCTGTTTTGGCTGCCCAGCGGTCGCCTTTCTTTCATTTTCTTCACCCGAACCGCGTTTTCAGGGGCTTCTGGGGTAGTGGCGAACGTTCGAACGGCCTGACCTGCCTTGCGTCGTGCTGTTCCTGTTCCTGACCCGATGCAGGTTCCCGTGTTCGAGATTCAGGCACCGTCGCACACCCCAGATGATTGACTTCATCCACACAGCCTCGTCGTGGCTAGTTGGTCTTGGAGTTGGACATGACTGCCCTGTAATAGGGGATATTCCTCAGTGGGTCCGATGGGCATTTACTAATTGAGCAGATCCCCCTAATCTATATTAAGAACTAAAATATTCCGTAGCCTGTCCATGTCTCCCAAATCGATCGGAAATGAGAATATCATGGCACAGAAAAAGAAACAGGTTTCTCGGATGATGTAAATCATTGATGAACAAAGAGTTCATCTCTCGGTTCTAGGTATTAAAGGGGGTGAACTAACCAGCGTGACGTGTCAATATTACTCATCCCATGAAAGTAACTAAACAATAAGGTCGATGTGTAATGAAATCAAGCAAGGGTCAATAAGCAATTTAAAATTAATGGCAGTGTCGATGGGATTATGAAACCAACATTGTTCATTGATGACATGGACCGCTCGCCCCTGGAAGATGCGGCAGAATTGGCCCCGGGAAGCACCGCTTAGGGCCAAATCCTGGCCTGCAGTGTTGGACCAGTCATATCAACCAGGGGCATGCTGTTGGCAGCCTCGTTGTCATTGTTGATTCATTGCCGTTTCCGGAACCTTTGTTTTCTCAATTCCTGGTGTTCATTGAGTGGACGATCCAAAGGGCAATTCGATATGCAAACGGTGGACACGACTTTTGAGTACCAAATTTCAAACTATCGATTTTATTTATAGTCGGACATTGTCCTTCAACTCTATTGGATGCTATTCGGTATGCAGTTAGAAAACACGTGTATCCATGTCTTTAACTGCAAACTCTAAAGACTAATAGAACTATATGGAATTGATTCTTCGTGCAGTAATAGTATACCCTACTGACTCCAAACAGAAACAAAGGCGTCTTCAATACCCCCGTTTGACTCTAACATGCTACCACATGGTACTTCCAGTCAACAGGCCCAACAATACATCCTACTTTTTCACCTCAACCCCGAGCAATTGTTCTGCATTCCGATACGCAAACAACTCCAAATCCTCCTCCGCAATCAATCCGCTCTGTCGTATCTGTTCAAAGAACTCGAGCCCCTTTTCGTTCGTCGAGAACGGATAATCGACACTGTACAAGACATGCTCGATGGGCATAACATCCAACAAACAACGCAGCGGCGGAAGCGAAAACATCCCACTCGTCGTCACCCAAATATTACTCCTCCAAACCTCCCTCAGGCCTCGCTCTTTCCGACCCCATCGCTCCGAGACGGTGAACACGCGATCGAGCTGAAACGGCAACATCTCACCCATATGTCCGATAATAATCTTGAGCTTCGGAAACCGGTCGAACAATCCACTCGCGAAGAGACGAAGGATATGATGACCCGTCTCGGCGTGCCAGGACCAGCCGTACGCACTTAACGCCAGCGCCACCGAGTCATCGTAGTTCCCCTTGTAATGCTCGAGCATGGAGTCCGACGCGAACGTCGGGTGGATATAAACCGGGACGTCTAGCTGTTGGGCCCTTTCAAAAACGACCCAGAAGCGCTCGTCGTCGTAGAATTTCCCGTCGAGGTGGTTTTCCACCAGGGCACCGAGAAAGCCGAGCTTGGTCACACAGCGCTCGAGTTCCTCGGCTGCCGCTTGGGGCTCGCTCATCGGGAGCATCGCGAACCCGGCTAGTCGCGTCGGGTGCTGCGCGATGGCGGCGGCGAGATCGTCGTTGGCGGCGGCGCAGACGGGCGCGGATATGTTGCCTGGGCCGTGTGAGATTACTTGTAAGGATACATTTCCCTTGTCGAGGTCTGAGATGCGCTCGGTGCCGAGACACTCGAGTTTGGAGAGGATATGGGGTGGGAACTTGGTGTAATGGGCGCGGGCTTCAGCGCTGGCACTGCTGACTTTGGGGGAGACGAAGTGCTCTTCGAGGGTGATGAGAGGATACATGTTTGATCGCAATCAAGGTAACTTTCTACCTATGAACGAGCATAATCAGGGGTGATGGCGGCTTTTTAGGTTCTCATATTGATGTTAACTCCGAAGCCGAAGCAATGAGTTTTCATTGCTGATTTAGGGCGGCTCGTAAGTCCATGATCTTATCCAGGAGCGAACTGAAGCCTCAAGCTAAGCTTTTAGGGACAAGTCGAGTTAGTTGTAGAAATCCAGGGGGTGTTGTGTGTTCAAAAGTCAAGTCGACATACCTCCTTATCGCCGATAAGTCCTGCTAACGTCCGACCGATGACGTAGAGCGACGATTTGACAGAATTGGAGCCGTGTAGGTGGGCATATTCAAGGAAGTGACACATCTGCGTTTTTGTCTATCACCTGTCAAAGCTAACTGAGGCTATCATATGAATATTATCGCTATATACGCCATCGAAGTTCAAGTCCGTTTGCAAATCGTGATATGCGGAGCCATGATACCTCCAATAAACAGCCTCTGGGACTGAACATCATGTGCGACAGTAGTAGATGTCGAGAGCATCTTACCATCCTTGTCCTCCAGCATTTTTTCGACTTCATACTGAGCCTTACCTCCAACTCTTGTCTTCTTGACCCTCAGAACAGTAGCCGCCACATTCAATACCTCCGGGTGGTCGAAGCTTCTCAACAAGTCCATTGCAAAGGGAAAAGCAGCAGCAATGATGTTTCCCTCCGAATCGACCGATAGGTTATCCATCGGAAAGCCCGTTTCAATCTCATTGACCCAATGGAGTTGACCATCCACCATCTCATGAACCGAGATCTTGCCAGCAGGCGCTTGCGCCACGTAGAACAGCCCGTCCTGGCCCCTGGCGATTCCATTCGGCCCATGAATTCCTTTCTCAGCCACGATCTGACAGTCTCCCGAGCCAGTGCGACAGCGGCCGGCGCTACCGCCACCCATCAAAGGCTCAAGTCCCTTGAGAGCACCGGCTTTGCGGCTATGATCATTCGTGAAGAGAAACGCGTCGCCGTCTTCTTCCATGACGAGGTTGTTAGGCGTGATGATCGCGTCGCTGACAATCGTCTTCACATGTCCTAATGTCTCGGTTGACTTGTCCAGATCAAAGACCTCGATCGTCGAATTCGCCCCCACTTTACTCGCATCGAGTAACTCGCCGGTTTCCGCATCCACCGGCGGGCGGTGATTGATCAGCCAGAAGCGCAAAACGCCATTGTCGATCTCCTGGACGTCGAACCCGTGAAGATCGAGATCCTGTGCGTACGAGTCCCCGATCTTAAGTTTCCGTAGCCCGTAGAGTCCGTCCGCCCCGGGGCGATCGATATCCAGCACTGAGATCCAATTCGAGCCCACACGTGCCGACGCGTTCAGTTTCCCGCCGCCCGGACACCAGCCCTTGCGGGCTTGTAATTCCCCGCACGCGGCGTAGAGCTTTCGACTGGGGCCATCGAGCCAGACATCCTCGCAGGAAGAAAGGAGGGGGTGTTCGAGTTTCTGGCATTCGTATGGGAAGTCCTCAAGGGGTTGGGTCACGCGGCCAATGCCGAACAGTAAGGAAAGGCTGTCGTGGATGTAGATTTTGTAGAGAATACCGATTATGAGGATTATTGTGGGGATGAAGAACCAGCGGGAGCTGGAGGTGCGTTGGTTTGGTGGTGATGGGCCCATGGTGGGTGATTGACAATACTTAGCTAGCGGTGAATGAGGAGTTAGGATAATGGAATAATTTGAATATTTGGGGTTTGGGGCGCCGTCTTATAAGTGCATTCCGTCCGCAATCATGGGGGACAAGGTCATACCGTTCATTTGTCGAGAATGTCCATGAGAGGATCCACTTGATCCTGACGTGGAACACACTACCTACCTAGCAAAGTATAGCGTAGCCTTGCGAACATAGGGAGACTTCTTGAAGCGAGCGCTAACAGACCATTGCAACCCCGTCCAGTTTATGTGTTTGACCGGCTCCATTTACCCTTGGTCCAATCTGACAATTAGCGCCGAGTCAGATATTGTCACAGCCTACAGGAACCTAACGCTTTTCCTCCACCCATTCTCTCCATACATCATCTGGAGAAGCATGAGGTATCCTGTCAAATCCCGGACGCGTTTCATTGAACAGTAGCCTATTTAATGGCTTTGACTGCAACATATGCCGAGTTAAATCGGACATGGCGACTTGTACAGTGATATCAAGGTCCAACAATCCATAAATAGGGTTGATGACTGGCTGCACGGTCGGGTCTGCAGAGGCGATGTGTACATTTTCTTGGGACAAGGGCAGCAGACCCCAATATCCGACGTTTATTTCCTTGTTTCCTGGGTTTATACGAAACTCGGCGATGGGAACGCTTTTTGTAAGAATAAGATCATGTTGTCCAGGACAAATGCACCAGCCTCGACGATGAGTACAGATACGCCAGGGTCTTCGGACAGACGGTTTGCGATGACAAGGCCGCCCGTTTCGCTGCCGACGATAATATAATCGTAGGCGTCTTGGGTGGCCGTCACTAGGTTGATGAATAGGAAGAAAAGGATGATCTTGGGGGATTAGTATCCTCGCTGTGAGCTGAGAGACTAGGATTATGGCTTCTGGGACATTGTTTACTTAAATATCGCACCTTCCCAATTTTAAGTTAAGCGGGGGATATGTTAGAGAATATACATTTGTTCCTTAGCTTGGGAAGGACTGGGACTCCGCTACGGAATCAGTTGGATTTCCAACTTGGAATTTAACTTCTGGGACTACATAAACTCGGGGGATATCCAATTGCACTGTAAACCTGGTGGCTATCTGTAGCTGAACAGGCCCTCGAATTGTAGAAATGACCAGATTGCTCCAGGATACAGCATTTCAAAACCCAATGACTTGCTAGTACTGTATCACTTGCATGCGTTGGAAGGCCTTCTTTGTACCGAGATGTGGGGTTGGTTGTAATGTTCATCCTGGGCTAGTATAGCTCACAATTCTGACAGAGCCTATATGTTAAGGTTGAAAGAACGAAAAAAGCATAGATGATTCCAATGCAGACGTACGGAGTTTTTAATGCTAAAATGGAAGCATGAGAACTTTCCTGCAATGTATTTAGTTCTATGCAGACCCTTTCTGCATCATGAAATTATTCAGCCTACTCAAATACATGGTGTTTTATCTGCACACACATACTCTTCGCGCCCTTTAGGAACACCCCGAACTTGCCATCGCATTAGGGCTTAGGCTTCGGGTTCGGGTTACGCTTCGTTCGATGACTCACTCAGGACATACTTTAATCCATCCACCCCATCAATTCGTGACATGATACTTAATTCCTCGGGAAAGAAAATAAACAACCCGAACCCCGCCATCCCAACCACACCTCTTCAGAAAAAATCCCTCGCCAAAATCAAAATGTCCCGACCCCTCGGCCCCCCGGTTCTCTCGCCCCCAGCTCAACCACCCAGCGCCTCGACCCTCCACGGCCGAACCGTCCGCCTGGAACGCCTAGCGCCAGCCCACGCCGAGCAACTATACGCTCTGGTCGGCGACAACCAAGACCCGACCCAAGTCGCAGTGTGGGATTATATCCCCGACGGGCCGTTTGCGGACTACGCCGCCTTTTGCGATTTCATTGAATCGCATTCAAAATCGACCGATCCGTATTTCTTCGCTATCATTTCCAGTGCTGATCGGGCCGGCAACAGCGAGGATGAAAAAGTACTAGGCTACATCGCGCTCATGTCTATCGTGCCGGAGCAATTACGTCTCGAGATCGGACATGTGATATTTTCGCCTCGGATGCAGCGAACCACGGTTGCCACGGAGGTTGTTTATCTGTTGCTCAAGTATGCGTTTGAGACGGGGTATAGACGCGTTGAGTGGAAGTGTAATTCGTTGAATGAGGGATCGCAGAAGGCGGCGAGGCGGTTTGGGTTTACCTATGAAGGAACTTTCAGACAGCACATGATCGTTAAGGGGAGGAATCGCGATACGGCGTGGTTTTCGATGGTGAGGGAGGAGTGGGAGGGTGGCGTTAGGGGTGGGTTTGAGGTGTGGTTGGACGAGGGGAATTTCGATGAGTTCGGGAGACAGAGGGAACGGTTGGAGGAGTTTCTAAAGGGGGGTAGAGGGGAGGTATAGAGGGAGAGAGGAAACTTTGGATACGATATTGAATTTGGCAGATAAAATAGAACTATATACATAGATCTTAAGACTTTTACCAAGATAGAGGAAGCTTATACAACCCTAAATGAGACCTTGAACTCAAACGGCTCAGGGCGCAGCTGATACTCTGGTCGAGGACCCGGTCCACAGGTTCCAGTTCCCAATCCGTGCGTTTGAGAATCAATGTGGAGGAAGGTTTGGTCCAGGGGGTTCAGGTCAAACGGATGCTTGGCCGCGTTGAGTGCCTCGTCCGGATAATTCCTTGCAGTGAAGCTGAACGGCTCCGGTGCTGTGACTTGCAACACGCTGTCACGGCCAGGGCCTGTGGAGGAGAGCTTCACCCATCGAGTTTCAATCCGGTTGCCGTTTTCCTGGGGATACTCATAGGGAGTAAATAGGTCGGCGACCGAGAGACTGTAGGTACCGAAGCGGTTGGCCTCTTTCGAATCGCTGTATGATTCGCCGGGACCGCGGCCAAACCAAGAAGACTGGTTGAAGGAGCCAGGAAGCTCAAGGTCAAGTCCGATACGAGGGATGGTGCTCGGGTGAGAGCCAGAGAAGGAGCCCGTGGCGTGGACATCAATGCCATCATCGTAGATGGTGTAGGTGGTGAGAGTGTTGACAGCCCAGTCGAGAACGGCGGGAGCGACCCGGGCGGCTACCTTGACGGTGACGGAGGTGTTTCCTCTAGTCCAGGCAATATTCTGGATGGATGTACGAAGGTGGTTCACGCGGTAGTTCTCCCATTCTTCCTGGTCGCCATCATCACCCTCGTCGTTCTCTGTCATGGCGCGGTAGAATCCAAGGCCAAGTCCACTTTCCACAATGCGCTGGCCGTGCGAGGTCCATTGAATCTGACCGGTCTCAAGGCTGACTGAGTAGTTATTCTGACTTTGGGGTCCAGTAATCAGGAGATGACCTTCTTTCTGCTGAGCCAGGAGAGCTGCTTTTTGGGGTGCTGGACTTTGAGGCGGGGACTGGGATTTGACTTGGATCTGGGCCCATGCAACTTCGTGGCCCTTTTCAGCCCAGGAAGTGCCATTCTTGAGGACAAAGTTGAGTTCAAGCCAGGCTTCACGGGACTTGTTTGTCTTGTATGCGGGAATGGGGATGGATTTGATTGTGCCGGCAGGAATCGAAGGCAGGTCCAATGCAACAGGCTCGCTGCTGCCGGTTTCACCGACAACCTTCCAGGTACAGCTCAGATGGCTGAGGTCGATAAAATCATAGTGATTCTGGATATGAAGCTCATCACCCTTGCGCGTCACTGTCACTGGCTCAATGATCTTTTTGTACTCCGTCAATCCCGGAGTCGGCGTATGATCCGAGTAGGTAAGACCATCCATGATGAAATCGGCATCGTTCGGCTCGTCACCAAAATCACCACCGTAAGCATAGAACTGTGTTCCGTTTTGCTCAGTCAAGAGACCGTGATTGCACCATTCCCAGATGAATCCTCCCTGGATTCGAGGCTCTCTCCTGTACAGCTCCACGTACTCCTTCAACCCACCGGGCCCGTTACCCATCGCATGACCATATTCGCACTGAATCAATGCCCGGTCAGTGTAGTTATTTGTCTTTTCCAGCATCTCCTCAATGCTATAGTACATGGTGCTGTACAGGTCCGTGGTGGTGCCCTCTCGATCACCCTCGTAGTGAATCAATCGGGTAGGATCGCGCTTCTTGACCCAGTGATACATAGCGGCCATGTTGCTTCCGTAGAAACATTCATTGCCCAACGACCAGAATACGATCGACGCGTGGTTCTTGTATCTTTCGACGAGTTGCACCGCGCGGTCGACGTAGGCTTCTCGCCACTCGGGGTTATCCGTGGTCCATTTGCTAGCCTTCTTGTAAACCGCTTCTTGTCGATCCTTGCCGGTTAACGTGTCATCCTCGAATATGAGCGACTCAACCGAGTTGAATCCGTGGCATTCCAGGTCGGCCTCTGCGATAACGTAAAGCCCCAGCTCGTCGCAAAGGTCGTAGAGGGCAGGGGGGTTAGGCTGATGACTCGTACGAACGGCGTTGATGTTATGCTGTTTCATGAGGAGGAGGTCATGCTTCAGGGACTCGTAAGGCACCGCACGTCCGAATAGATGATGATGCTCATGACGATTAACTCCGTAGAACGTGATGGCTTTGTCATTGACCACAAAGTTTGATCCTTTCTGCTCGACGCGTCGGAAACCGACCCTCTGGCGAATGACCCGGTCTCCGTAGGAGATGAATAGGGTATAGAGGAACGGCGTCTCGGCTGACCATAGCTTGGGAGAAGAAACGTTGATCTCGAGCGGTTTAGCCGGGGAACCCTCTTTCTCGGCGATTTGTTTGCCAGAGGGGTCCAGCAGTTTCAAACGAAGAGTGCCATGCTCACCCTCCACAGTGACAGAAGTGTTCAGTACCGCGTTAGACAGCGACTTGTCCAGATCTGTGGTGACCTCGTAGTCTATAATAGTATTGGGAAGGAAAGGAACCAAGTACAAGTCACGGAAGATACCCGACATGCGCCATTGATCCTGATCCTCGATGTAAGATCCATCGCAGTACTGGTAAACACGCACTGCAACGTTGTTGATAGCGTCTCGAGTCACAAAGTCTGTAATGTCGAATTCATGCGCATTCCGACTTCCTTGGCTATACCCGACCTCGTGGCCGTTCAACCACAGGTGAAATGCGCTATCTACACCCTCGAACCGGATTCGGATCCGAGCGTCCTTCTCCCAGTCTGCGGGCACGTGGAACTCCCTCCAGTAGGAGCCAACCTCGTTCTGGGATGGCACGTTTGGTGGGTCCACGGGGAAAGGGAAGTTAACGTTGGTATACTGCGGTTTACCGTAACCTTGCAGCTGCCACATTCCAGGGACCGTGATTTCGGGCCAGCTTGTAGGATCGATTTCCTCCCACGAGGGAGCTACAAGAGGAGAAGTGTCATATTTGAATTTCCATTGGCCACTGAGCGACTTGTAGAAGCTTTGGTTGGCGTCGCCGGTGGCGGCAGTGGCTTCGTCGGGAAAGAGATAGAAGTGGGAACGTGGGGGCAGAGTATTGTTATGAAGAAGCTGGAGATTGTTCCAGTCTGGCAAAGCGAGTGCCATTTTGCTTGACCCGGATTTGGTCCGTTGAGTTGACCTAGGGATGGAAATTTCAACTGCAGAGCCAGGACGATCCATCCTTTAAATAGAGAAACCAGAGCCCACACAGTCTACATCACTGGTGGAACAACCTGCTGGATCAGGAAAACAAGAGTGTTAAGCAAGTGAGTATACTAGATCGAACCTCCCCGCTTCCTAGGACTTGGCGACTTGGCTGCAGCCGTAGTTCGCAACTATCGTGACGTTGGTATTTGAGATCGGACCGAGTGTGTCATTCCATAGTATGGCCTTGTAGAGTAAAAGACCGAGAGTTATGTCAGGCCACCGAGCTGGCTCGAGACGCTTATATACGTGTACAGTGTACGATGCGGATAAAGTCACTCGCACATGTAAACCCTGCATGCAAGCCATACTGAAGGCGGAAACTGAATAAACCTGCCCGCAATGAAGCCCGAGATCTTCTCATCCCACCGGGTAAATACTGAAAACTAAATCCCACTCCGGAGGTGATCGCCCTGGCTGCCTGGGGCACCACACGATGCCAAGATGCCAAGGCCTGGAAACGGCTACGGCGAACGCCATTACGTCATCTTGCCGACGCAGCCGAGTTCGGTCAAATCAACGCGGTCCAGCACTTCATCTAAACCTCAGCATCCCCGGCTTCTCGACACTACTCGGTGTATTTCCTCCTCGCCGTTCCTCTAACACAATGGCCTCATTTCTTCCCCGTGCCGGTCTTCGCGCCTTCACCGCTCTTCCCCGGGCCACTCCCTTGACTAGGGTTACTTTTGCCTCCAAGCTTCCCCGCACCCAGCCTTTTTCTCAACCCCTCGCTCGGCGATTCCTCGCGACTGTTCCGCAGGAGCAGCCCAGAATCCGTCTTGGTTCTACCGGTATTTACCCTCCACTTAATACCAGTGGCCGTGATTGAATAACCTTCCTAATATCGGATAGCCCCCAACTTCAAGGCTACCACCACGCACGGCGAGATCGATTTCCACGAATTCATCGGCGACAGCTGGGCCATCCTCTTCTCACACCCTGCCGACTTCACCCCCGTCTGCACCACCGAACTCGGCGCATTCGCCAAGCTTAAGGATGAATTTGACCAGCGGGGCGTCAAGATGATCGGGCTGGTTAGTTTGCCTTGCCTTGCCTTGCCCCTCTCCCACTCCTATTTCCTTCCACCTATCTCCACTTCCACCCCACGCTAACCAACCACCAACAAAATGCAGAGTGCCAACGACCTCAGCTCTCACGACAAATGGATCGACGACATCAACGAGGTCTCCAACACCAACGTGCAATTCCCCATCATCGCCGACGCCGACCGTAAAGTCGCCTTCCTGTACGACATGATCGACCAGCAGGACCTGGATAACATCGCGGAAAAGGGCATCGCATTCACCATTCGCTCCGTGTTCATTATCGACCCGTCCAAGAAGGTCCGGTTGACGATGATGTATCCGGCTTCGACGGGCCGGAACTCGGCCGAGGTGTTGCGGGTGATCGATTCGTTGCAGACGGCGGATAAGAAGGGCATCGCGACGCCGATTAACTGGAATGTTGGTGAGGACGTGATTGTGCCGCCGTCGGTGTCGACGGAGGATGCGCGGAAGAAGTTTGGTGAGGTTAGGGAGTTGAAGCCTTACCTACGGTATACCAAGTATTAAATGAGGGTGTAGGATAGATAGACAGCTCGATAAATGTATAACAGTCCAGCTCACTTGCTGATCGAATGTCATGGTCCAAGGATAAGGCATTTACTTTCCATCCTAGCCCTAATTCACATTCCTTTTCACACCCTCTACATGTCAGTAACCTTGGCAACAACACCCACGATCCTATCCACTAATATCCCCATTTGGCCCAACACCGGTGAATGACCTACACTACATCTCTGGATCTCCTGCGCCTTAGCCATCCCGGCAAACATCTCCTGAAACTGCGCGGGCGCTGCCACATCGTTCTCACAAACCATAGAAGTCGACGGAATAGACTCGTACACCGCGCGCGTCACGGCCGTCGTCTGCACAGCATATGACTGAGGAATCAACCTCGACCCCCAAACCTCTGCCTCTGTCTCAGAGAGATCATTGTAGAGCGTCTTTGCGCCATTGAGGATGCGAAAGTGCCCATCAGGCTAACCACGAGGCAAGCAACATTAGCTGATTCTTTGTTTCATTTAAAAAGAAAATACATAAGGGCTGTCGCGCAGGTGTTTTGTTCAGTTGAATACGCCAGGGCAAACTGACCAAACGAACGTTATTCCGCGAAATAGGACAAATGAACAACGCCCCCTTTCTTGCCCTCTTTCTGACGATGCGCGTAACTCAGCGATCCAGGGATTGCTTCAGATCCCACAATTTCTCCGTACGAATGCATGACCACCGCCACAGTTTGAGACTCGTTCTCTATGAGGTCTTCGAGGGCTCTGGTCACGACGCGGGCATCGTCGACTAGGGTCCGGAATGAGAAATCTTCGTGGTCGGTGTCAGTGCAGCTAGGTAGAGCGGGGTGGGCGGTGGGATATCCTAGGTCCTGTAGACTAGAGACAAGCAAGGAGTAGACTTTGGGGTTTTAAAGGGAGCCTTGAACTAGTAGGGTGGTTGATTTTGACATGGTTCTTCGCCCCAATATGAAAATTGAACGGCGAGATGCAGGAGTGGAAGAAGATAGTTTGTCGGTCTAGCTAGCGGCATATGACGGTCTTTTAAACCTCGTCTGTTATAATATTAGACTACTGATATAGTTCATAAGGCTGCACAAGGGCCACCTAATTGACAAAGTTGCTTTCTGTTGGGGCTGAGCTGTAAGGACTAGGCAGGCATTAGGGACTGGTGGACCTGGTTCGGACAGAGAAGTGTTGACTTAATAATAGTAGTCCTACTATTATCCTAAGTACGAGAGGCAGTGATGGTTATCTTTACCATTAGCTCCAGTGGATCTAGAGATACGATGTCTAAAGAGAGGGATGGTGAGATATAGCGAGCCATTAGGAAAGATCCAACGCTTAGGCCACAAAAGAGACGTATCCCTGCTAGTAACAAGAACAAGCTGAATCACGAAGGCATACTAGAACAGCACTATTTCATTCGTATCTACATTCACAGATAAAAAGAAAACAAGAATCACCACTCCAGCACCTCCCCAGTATACTTAACTACCTTTCCCCCGAACTCTTCCTTCTTCCCCTCTTGGACTAATTTCACGATCCCATCACAAACATCTTCTACAGAGTCAGGCGCCTCCTCCAGCCCCCACAGTTGCGCCGCAGAATTCCCCATATCGGTCTTCGCCCATCCCGGCTCGATCACAAAAGTGTTCAACCACTCCTCTTCAGCATTGATCCGGACTCCATACCAGTTGACCATTGATTTAGAAGCGCCGTACACGGCGCTAGGAACAGGGGGTTGCCGTCTGTTATGATGGTCCCTCGCATGATTAGCAATTTCTTGGGATCAACAAGCATATCACACATGCGTCGGAGGTGTAAATCAAGAGAGGGAACATACCCTAATGACCCAGCCCCGGAACCCATGATCGCAAACACGGGCTTCTTCGCGAAAGACGATTGCTCAAGTAATGCGCGACTTGCTTGAAACAACGACACCACCGCTAGCACATTCACGTTGACATGTTCAAGGATGTCGGCGCGCTGGACGTCCTTGACCAAAGGGTAGAGCTTGCCAATTCCTGCGTTCGCAATCACAATGTCGAGATGAGTAATTTCATGAATGGTGCGGAGCGCTGTGGCAGCATCGAAGGCATCGGATTCGACTCCCCCCTCGTATCTAATCACAATGAGGCGGCTGGATGGATGAGTGGGAAGAGTCGTCAGGGACACCGAGCTCGGAGATGATGGGTCGCGAGTGAGGGCAATTACGGTCTGAGGTTGGGGCTCTGATGTTAGTGTTCGAGGTGTTTGTCTTCAGTATTAGAATTAGGTCCATGGTGCTGAGAATATGGGTAGAAAGTGCTGTCGTATGTGTAGAAGGCAGAGAAAGAGATATACGCACGTGCTCCGGAAGCCCTAGGAAGCGCTTCACAAGACCTAGACCGAGTCCTCTATTCGCGCCAGAGATAAGGACGTTTGTGGATGGCATGATGAATGAATAGCACCGAGCAGGGATGGGCCAAAATAGACAATACAGGCGTTATGATACGCGATTGAGCAAAGTATATAATCGAAGTGATACTGTTCGAGTGTGGAGCCTTCTGGTCTATGATCACCAACTCCCAACTTCTGGCTCTGAAATATATACATCTTCGCGGGCGAAAGACACCCCGATATTACCAATCTGAATTCTAGTTAGTTATCATCGTTGTGATTACAAATGCGCTAGCCGTGAAGCCGACGGCGTGATGATGATATACTCCGGTTGACCCCGGTGATTTTGTTAGTACAGTGGGCCCTACTAGGATTACGATCCTTCGAATTCTGCCAATATTAAAATTGAAGCTATTCCCAAGCGAGCTAGCTAGTATTTTGTGTGGCCACCCTCTGCCTCTATTACAGCCTGACACCTTGCCTGCATAGATTCAATAAGGCCCCTTAGAAAGTCCTCAGGCACTGCATCCCATGAAGCCCGTACAACCTCTCGTAGCGAATCATAAGATAGCTGATAATTATCAGGATATCGCTCTTGAATCCAGTCTTTCATTCAATTCCACACCATTTCAATTGGATTAAGATCTGGTGAGAAGGCAGGCCATGAAATAGGATAGATCCCCCGCTCATTTAGCTCACGAAGAGTATTTTGACTAGCATGGCCTGGTGCATCATCTTGCATAAGCTGAACTGGACTATCTTGTTGCCGAAGTAGACGAATATAGCCATCAATAATAGGTACAATTCGCTCAGAATACTTCTCTGAATCGATATAGCCCCATTTCTTTTTCCAAAAAAGACATGGACTTTTATAAAAGGCATGAAAGGATCCCCAAAACATTCAGCCACGCTTTTTTAAAGGAGAAGTGCGTAAACAGGTCTCATCAAGCTCTTCACCTGTCTTTCTTGTCACATAGCATCGTTTATGGAAGCCTGAAGTAACCCAAGTCTTATCAGACCAAAGAATTCGATTCCATTGCTCAATTGTCCAATTCACATGCTCAAGGGCCCAAGCTAAACGTACGCGCTTATTCTGATCTGATAGAGGTGACTTTCGGAGGGCTTTGCATCGTGTATAACCTCGTTTTTTAAGTGTTCGAGATAGGGCTGTTGTTCCAACAGGGAGGCTTAATTCTTGAATAACTTTGTAATAAGGCATGCGTCGATTTCGCTTAAATGAAGATATAAATTCAATAATATGATCCAACATCTTCTTCGGATAGTTTAGGTCTCTGTCCACGTGCTTTTTTAGGAGTAGCTTGATGAGATTGACATGTATATTGGATCTGCCGATAGGTCATTTGAAGCTGTGAGGTAATCTGTTGATACGTAAATCCAGCATCCCGTAGGGCTAGGACTCGAATTCGATCATCTCGTTGAAGGCGTGCGGAATTCTGTCTTGATTCAGGCACTTCAGGGGGCTCAGGTGTAGTAGGCATTGTAGAAAGAGTCTATATAGACTAGATATTCATAGTTAAAGGTCTTTAGGATTGAGCCACCAAGAGGTTTCATTAGCTTCATTCTAAAACTAATTAGGAAGACGGTGCTTGAAGGATTTTGACCGCTTTGAAGGATTGTAATCCTAGTAGGGCCTAGGTACTGTACTAACAAAATCACCGGGGTCAACCGGAGTAGGTGTAAATAAGACCTGCAGGATGCACTATCAATTAAAGCGGCTTAGCGGTCCCACAACTAGAAGTGCAGGATGATGCCATGATTGAAAGGCATCTTGAGATTGAAACCCATCAGTCAGAACAGGTGTTGATTGTAAATGAGTAAACAAAGGCAAAATTATAATAACAGAACAAACAAAGGCCATATGGTACGACATGTCTTTGACAGCCCTTGCCAGAAAAGGAAAATGCAGGGCGGAATCAACACAAAGAAGAATGAGACAAAATCAGAGGAAAAAAAGGCGATAACAAATAAGTAACACGGGTTTTAAAAGATTAACTCGTCCGATAGTGGGGCCCAAGTCTTGCCATTGATCAGGGGACCAAGCTTGTTTGCCCGCCACCTAAGCTCCAGCAACTTCCTAACTACCTAACTAACTAACCATAACACCATCACCCTGCCTAGACTGCATCCGAACCATCAAAGGCTTTTTTACCCATCCCATATAAACAGTCAAATCATCAGGCCAGCCGATACTTTCCTCGCACAGGGACATGTCAAAGTGCCAAAGAAGCGTGGCTAGAATAATTCGTGCTTCGTGGTACGCGAAACTGAAAATATACCCGTTAGTTTTGGGAGATCAATTATCCCCAATAGTGAGGGAAGGAAGGATGGGGAAGGAAGGAACTAGGTAGCTTGAAAAAAAAGGGGAGGGCATACGTCTGTCCAACGCAACTGCGCGGTCCATATGAGAATGGTTGCAATGCTGCGCGGTTGTCCTGCGCGTATTCGGGATCGTTTAGCCAGCGCTCGGGGACGTATTGTTTGGGGTTTTTGAAGTGCTTGGGACTCCATGCTATGGCTCCGCCATAGATGGAGATTCCGGTCTGGGTGATAAGTAGGTTGGTTAGTGGATAGGGTAGTAAACAAGGGGGAGGGGGGAGGGAAGGTATACATACATTCCCAGGGATCTGATGCCCGCAGATAATATTTCCTTCAGGGGGAGTGATACGCGCCATTCCCATAGGAGCCGGAGGAAAGATGCGAAGACCCTCTTGAATGCAAGCGTTAAGATATTCCAGCTTAGCCAGGGCGCTGTGATATCCGATTCGGACTGGAAGGCGTCGCGGATTTCCGCGCAGAGCTTCTCCATGATCTGAGGGCTGCGGAGGAAGTAGCAGGTCATTCCAGCGAGCAAGGTGGCCGTGGTCTCTGTGCCTCCGATCATTAGGATCTGCGAGTTAAAATGCATCTCGGAGCGAGTCAGCTGCAATTCCTTCGGCAGGTCGATGATATGCGACCACATATCCTTCCGGGGCAGCTTCGACTCCATCCGCCGATCGACGCGCTCTTGACATTTCTTGAAATAGCTCTCTTGTTTCTTCATCAGAGGACCTAGCACGAACATCACGACGGGGACGAAGATCAGCGTCCATCGGAAATACTGCGCGGTGCGGAACACGGCCGCGTGGTGGATCATCGTGAACATGCTGTCCATCCAGCCGTGGAACTCGTCGCTCTTGTGCACATAAAGCGGCTCGCCGAAACAGAGCTCCGCCATTATGTCGAACGTCGTCAGGTCGTATAATCGCGTCACGTCGAAATCGTGCGTGGGAGTAGCAGCGGAGGAAGAGGAGGAAGAGAAAGAGAAGGAGGAGCGAATCTTCTCAACAAGCTTATCATCATGCCAACGTATCATAGACTGTTTCTCCTGTATCGCCCGCTCGGAGAGGGAATGATTCAGCACCCGACGGAATCGCGCGTGGTTCCTGTCGTCGGACCGCAGGATATCCTGTACACCTTTTGGCGTCTCGCCGTAGAACCGGCGGTCTCTGAGATTCCGAGAGCCCAGCCCGTAGATATCCTTATGCGCTTCGATGTTGATGAAGGTGAGTTCGTCGGGGGCAATGCGGACCACGTCGCCGTACGTAAGGTGGAGGTCGTGGACCCAATGCACAAGCTTGCCTTTCCAATTGTGCCAGAGGTAGGGAATACGTGAGACGGCGCATATCGCGGGTCCTGGGAACCTCGAAAGCGGGCTGAGGTAGAGGTTGTAAACGATTGAGCTGGTCGTGGAAATGACCACCTGATAATGTAAGTATTTCGATTGGGGAAAGAGGTGGGAGGGGAAGTGGTTGAGGGCTTACAGCGCTCAAGAACACAGTCAGTATCGAGAACATGGCTCTTTTCTTTTTTTTTGAGCTCTGAGTTTGGCTTTGACCGAAGGTAAATGACCGGTTGAGAGGACCAAGTGAAGAGAAAAGTCAAAGGGTATTGTGAGGACTGAGACCTTGCTAGGGATGGATGGATTAGATCAATGTCTGTCGCGTCATTGTTTTCAATTTAGCCAAGGGGCAAGGGCAAATCTGCGCGGCACCAAATCACTTGCAAAGGACCGGCACATTCCCTTAACTTGCATTGTCAAGTGTAACAGTGCATAAAGAGAGGTTGAGAAGACTGAATTAATAGATCCCTTAATTCTAGCTAGTTAAGGGGAAAATCAAAAAGCAATATAGGGAGACCAAATTCTATTGGCTATCTTAGTTTAGTGGGTCTAACCTACCGGGACCCATCTGTTAAAGTAGGGTAAGATTGATTCTTGTTATTCACTTCAGTTGCTATCATTTACAGGGGCGGGATGCCTCATAGTTATCTGTTCCCAATCCCTGCCGTAAGGTTCAGCCACCAGGATACTCAACAACCACAGACTGTGCGGGTCTTGCGACCGTGGTCTCAAAGTCGCCGACTGGCCATTACCACTGGTCACGAAATAAGGCAATATACATACTCAAATTGTCACAAGATATGTAGGGTAATAGGGTATTTTATAAGGTACATATATTTGTGTGAAAAGCCCTTTAACTACACTGAGAGGTAATGTATCATAAGTGGTTCTGAATGGGGTTGTGGGATTAAAAGGATTCTGCCGGAAGGATCATTACTGAGTGTACTTACGTAGAGAGAAAATCAATCAAAGACACTTCATCGCAACATGCCGAGTGAGGTGGGTCCATTGATGCTGCAGACCGCCAAGGCCTTGCGGATACTGGTAAATTCTAGGCTGGGATACATGATGGTATGAGGTGAGAGCTGTATGGATTGTGATCTGAATAGACTATTTTGGTATTTGAGGAAGAGGATTGTGAAGGAGGGTGGTGTCTAACAAAGTATGATGACGATGAGCTTAATGATAAGATGTTGATTCTGTGGTTAGTTTTATGAAATGCTATGACTGAGCCTGGTAAATAGATTTATGTATTGTTTAGAGTGATGTAAATACTGTCAAGAATCCTGGTTATCTAATTGTGCACATATCGAGAAAGAGTCTTGCATATCTCCGCAAGCTATTTCATACTAGATATCGAGAGGCAATAATCGCCCGTATTGAATAACTTCCGGCACAACAACAGCGATCATGGAAATGTATCGTGACTCCTGTATTTACATTATGGTATAGTCTGGGACTGATGCTCTCGAGGACAACATTCCAGTGTATCGTTAGTGAACTTTCCATTCCCTAGCAACGGACGCAAGGGACTACCGAGGAAAAAAAGGCCTGAAAACGAGCAATCTCCCCAAATCCTACATCAATCTGTTACGAGAAGGCTATTGTTGATGAACACAGAGACCTCCCTCAATATGGCTCCTTCATTTCAGACCGAGGGCATGCTAGTAACCGAAGCAAATGCAGAAGCGACAGGACCATCAGGAGCAGCTTCCAGCCATTCTTGTTACATACAGAAAAATGCCCTCCCAGCGGTACTTGACGTCAATACTGCGAACTTTGAAGAGATAAAAAAGAGCGATCAGGTTGTGGTTGTGGCCTACCTGTCACCAGATGACAAACGAACCAAGGTCATATTCGCTTCCTTTGTCGACAAATACCAGGGTCAGTTTGTCTTCGGAACCTCATATGATGCTGCGCTTGCACGGAAAGAAGGCGTCGACCGACCGTCCGTTGTTGTTTATAAGGCCTTTGACGAGCGAAGGGCGATTTATCCTAACGGTAGAGAGTTTGATGGTCTTGATAACTGGTTCAAGATCACTAGTAAACCGTTGATCGGAGAGATTGATGAGGACACATATCTAGTGTACAAAGAGGTATAATAGATGAATTGTTCAGAGAAGCAGAGCTAACTAGATAGCAGGCTGGGATTCCACTAGCTTGTATTCTCATAGCCGATCGAGAAGAGCGAATTCAATTAGCGGAGCAGTTTCGACCTGTGGCGAAGACTTTTCGAGGAAGAATAAACATCGGCATAATTGATGCTCGCCGGCAAGGAGAGATAATACTGAAACTCAAGCCAAAGTTCTATAGAAGGCCTCTACTCGTCATTGAAGATTTCCAAAACGGCAAACAGCACATGTACGACCCATCGAAGTCCCTACTTACACAAGACACTACACTGTTCATGCAAAATGTACTCGATAGTGCCGAGTCTCCAGCGGCTATCCCACCGGCTTTACCAACTCAGAATGTCGCACTCAGTATTGTGGAGCAATGGAACTATCGTGACATTGTTATCAATTCAAAACAAGACGTTTTCATTGGAATCTATGCTCCATGGTGTCCGCGTTGTCAAAGGTGAGTATCTTGTTATCCCTGAACCGATTCCAATACTCTGACAATCCGCAGTCGCGCACAGGCGTTCTATCGGCTAGGCTCCCTTTACGCCGAACATACCGACAAAGTCACTATTGCCAAGGTAGATGGCACCATCCATGATGTCCCAGTAAATTTCGATCATCTTCCGACCTTTCTCCTCTATCCTGGTGACCAGGGTACTCCATTGGACTGTTCCGGATTTGATGATCTAGAAGATTTTGTTACTTTCATCAAGCAGAGGGGCTCACATAATGTTGAGGTATCAATTCCTCCTGAGTGGAGGGTGAAATGAGCGAGCATAGTGTGTCCGTGAATCATAGTTAAACAAATGATATTGAATGAAACGGTGGAATTCAGGTTAAATACATATCTAGTAGCAATTATAAATAACGTAATTCTCATCTGACAACCAAACACGAATAAGCCATCAGAAAATATGAGCGAACCCGATATGCCATACCCAATAAAATGTTATTGAATCTCCAACCTCGTGAAGCTTACTTAGCCTCGATTCCAAAAACCCCTCCTTTCAGCTCTCCATGTCTAGACCCCTCTCAAGGGGGACAATTCTCCATTTGTCTGAGACACCCTGCAATACTACGTTGGGGTACGCGGTGTGATCCGGACGAGGCAATTCCAAGGGATCCAATTTATCAATTCTACACAAAGGCTCGCCGCAAGTCGCGAGAATGCCGCCTTCAATCAACTCTCTGTCGGCTCCGGTTCCTGCAATGTGACATGAAGCTTATATGCTTATGCGTTCGCAATGATCAATTGATCAGCAAACGAGTCTATACTCGTCAGCATCATACTATCTCTTGGGGAGTAGACGAGAGAAAGAGTATTTATAGGGCTCCATTGCTCACGTACGATGTATTGACAGGCTCTCATCGATTCAATTCCAAACACAAACCGAGCATTTCAAACCAAAAAGTCCAGTGCACACACAGACACAATGCTTGTTCCTTTCTGTTACATAAAAAGACGGTCCCCACACCCTTTGCTACATTAACACGCCAAACTGTGACAGAAGGGAAGCCTAAATGTAGATCCAATTATTTGCTGACGTAGATTTTGATCTACTAATTTCCATAGAAGCCATAAAACCAAGGTGATCATCCCTCTGCTCTAGATCGACAGGGCTCAGAAGATCAGCTCCCGTAGGACGCATATATTTGTACAGTCCCCATCAGACACATTTCACATGTCATTCAATCTATTATCGAGCCTAGTAAATAAAACGCAGCATCCGAAATTTACCCAAGAAAAGAGGGTATTTCTTTCCCATTTTTATTAAATAGGTATAATAATCAACACGACACCCTTGCAGATAAGGTTAGCTGTGTCCAACACTATTCTAACCTTTCTTCTGGCGTACATTGCCTTCGCCGGACCAACAGCATACGGTATTTGTCAAGCAGAATGTTCAGCCGTGGTGATGGTATGCTATTCAGCTGCTGGCTTTACCTGGGGTGCCACTTTAGGAGCATCTGCATCTGTCTCAACCATTGCATGCAACGGTGCGTATAGCATTTGCTAAACGGCTTCTACTGCTACGCTCCTCGCACCGACCGTCTGGCAACGGATGGGCGATGTCCTTAACTCCAACTAATTTTATTGCGACTTTTAGATCAAGCCAGAACAAGCAGCATACGTGCAACACGCTAGGCGATTGGATCGGAGGTTGTATTTTGTTAGATTGTTCTGATATAAATCGATATTGTTTTAATTTCAATTCACCCCAATGGCAGGCCGAGTGCTTGCAAATCTTATAATACGTTGCGTCGCCAATTCTAGAGTCGTCTAGATCCCGACATATTAACCGTATAGCCCGTTTAAGGGCTTTTTTCAGCTCTTCCTCTTTAAACTTATATTCGAAATTATATCTACCCAATAGCGAACGTATTACAATATACGACTGTGTAATTCCTCTTTCGATTGGACTTATCGGGTTTCGACTCGCGTCTAAAGATGGTTTTATACGCCGTTTTTTTAATAAAGGATTAGTCCGGGGGATTATAAGCTATAAAGTATTAGGGGTGTTGGAAAGCGAGCTTTGACCCGGGATTTAGATAACCGTGAGGTTATTTTCGGTCTTTATTTTTGTTGTATTATGTTCAAAGACGATGAAAAGCTAATCGTCTTATACCGCAAGGAAAGATTTAGATTTAATAGGCTAGAGGCTGTTCCGATTATCTGCGATTAAAAAAGCGTGACGTGTGTCGATATTTAAGGTGGTCGCTTAGCGAAAAGCTTAATATATGGGACCACGAGATAGAGACTGAAGGGGAGGCTTATGAGTAATTAGTAGACGCCTGCTATCGAAAATCTCATTACTTTCTAATAGCTTCTAGAGATCGATAGTACCAATCAATGCTATCTTTCGTACTACCTCGGTAAGTTGGTAAGAAGCTAGCAATTTTGTTTTGACTAGACCATTATTCAAATAATTAGAAATCTAAGAGTATATAAGCATAGATATTAAAAATATAAATTAATAATCTATCGCGGTAATTTCTTTATCGGAAAGAACTGTATGATTTGAATGGTTTTAATTAGAATCCTATAATAGTTTGTTAGAGCCCTCTAGCATTCTTAATATCAAACCCACATTGATAGCGATACTGAAAACGGGACATCTTTTATTAATCTAGTCTCTATTAAAATATAGCAGGATAAAAGTCGAGCGAGACACCAGCTATAATGCGAAGAATTGGCGGCTCCCGGTTTCATGGAATCGCTGAAAATTGGGAAACATCTCTCTTTATAATGGCTTAAGGCGCCAAAAACGGCTCCCCCACAACACTCGACAGAGGGTGAAAAATGAGGGTGATGGAAGTTAAGGGATGATCGAATAGGGGTGACTACGCTATTGAGTATCACGGTGGCTGAAGCTTATATGTAACCCTAACCTAAGGCGGTCCTGGTATTACCGCCATTCCGTCTTGTACTTCCCTGTCACTTCACAATTCTGGCCCCCATTTCCACAACGCAGTATCCACAGAAGTAACTAATTTACGCAAAGTACTACGGAATACTTCCGCTCTCTCGCGCGTCGCTTGCCTTGCGCATATAAGTCTGACCCCTGCAGCCCCATCCGGATCCCTCCTCCAACTCCTTGTCTCGATTGACCATGGACAGCCCCAAGAAACAAACCTGGTTCATTACCGGCTGCTCCAGCGGCTTCGGCGAGCTGTTTGTACGCCAGCTTCGCGCTCAGGGCGACAACGTCATTGCGACCGGACGGAATGCCGACGAGAGGCTGGCCCATCTACGTGATACTGGGGCCACTATCCTCGAGCTCGACGTGACGGCGCCCCAGGCCGAATTGAACGCCAAATTCCAGCAGGCGGTGGAGATCTACGGCGGCGTCGACGTGCTGGTCAACAACGCTGGATACATTCAGTGCGGCACAATCGAAGAACTAACGTAAGGCGATCCAATCAATCAATTAATCGAGGTCTCTCCCTTCCCGCCCCCACTGACACTGTCACTTTCAGACAAGAGGAACTGCAGCGGTCAATCGATACCAATTTTCATGGCCCTTTAAATCTGACTCGTGCGGCGTTGCCGCACTTCCGCAGTAAGGGGGAACAAGGCCAGGGCTGGCTCATTTACGTGAGTTCGCAAGCGGCCTTCTGGGGAGATCCGGCGGCGACAAGCTACTGTGCCACCAAGTTTGCTCTCGAAGGTCAGTCAGCCTGCCTCCTCTCGCTTGCTTTTTTTTTTTTTTTTTCGCTCCAGTGTTTGCTCGTTCTAACTAGGTCTATGTATATGCGCAGGCGCTGTGGAGTGTCTAGCCAAGGAGCTAGCATGGTTGGCACCCGGCATCAAACCGCTACTACTCGAGCCGGGTCTCTTCAGGACAGAGCTCATGAAAAATATCAACCACGTTCCGTACCGGGTGGAGTTTTGGCGCCCGTTGAACGACGCTTGTCGCGCTCGAGGCCAGGGGAACTACAAGAATGAGCCGGGCAATGCGGCGGACCTGGTTGGCAAGGTGATCCAGATCGCCAAAGGCACGGGCATCGCGGAGGGCCGCGAGATCCCTCTGCGCATTCCGTTTGGTAGCGACAGTCTCGGTTTCTTGCGCGAGAAGATTCAATCATTAACACAGATTGCGGATGAGTGGGAGGAAGTGGCGCGCAGCACGGATTACCCAGGGCACAAAGGCCCCATGCCCGATCTGCCCAAGTAGTCTTGCGGTTTAATCTATTCTCATTGTCTTTACAGTGTCACTCACCATGAAGCCACTCAGTTCAAACGGTCAGGAAAACCTGGCCGGAGCGACTTTCCATGCTCGGGTTGGCTTTTTCTCCGTGCTACTGCGCTTTGTGCTCCGCATCACCTCATGAACGCAGTTCACCATCGCTGACTGGTTCATTCTCTTTGCCCTCGTGCTTTTTGTTATCTTCGCTACCTTACTCGTAGAACGTTAATCCTTCTCATCCTCTTAAAGACCTTAAACTTCCTAAATCGCTAACCTTAGACCGATAACACATATATCGTCGCTGGCCCGGGATCGGGCACGTTCGAATTTGCCGACTTCGTCAATGCCAAAGCCGGAGGAATGGTGTGGGGCAAGGCGTTCCTCCAGGTGCGTTTATGACCTGTCTTCTTTCTGTCGTCTCCCACATGGCCGGATCGGACCTCGTAGATGAACTACGTAGATGAACTAACTCACTAAACAAAACTCCGACAGACGCTCTACGTCGCGGACCTTTTCTACATCGCCTGCATCACCTTCATCAAACTCTCGATCCTCTCCTTCTTCCACAACCTCTTCTTCATCTCCGTCGCCTTCCAGCGCTGGGACTCGCCATTGCCCTCTTCGTCGTCTGGTTTTCGTCTTCCTCCTCCTCAACGCCTTCCAATGCCGCCCTGTCCACATGCTCTGGGACGCCATGAGCTCTGTTGAATACTGCCTCGCCAGCGGTCGCGTCTGGCAAGGCCTCGAGGCCACCAATACCATCATCGACTTCATCATTATTCTCCTGCCGCTTGCGATGATCAATACCCCGAAGCTCAGCCTCGTGGGCAAATACCAAGCGGGCCTCTTAGGTACTGTACGTTTATTGACCGCCCCTTTTTTTCCGCATCCCCCTGCCCCTATCTTACCTCTGATAAACCGACTAACCTAGTCTAACCTGGCCCACCAGAGCCTACGTCACTAGTATAATCAAGATCGCACACATGTGGAATCCCGCAACCTCGAACGTCGTGCGACTCCCGGTGATGATGTTCTGGTCGTCCGTATAGCTAGGCTTGGCGACGCTCTGCGCATGCATGCCCACCTACGCGGTGCTGTTCAAAAACGCCCATCAAAAGATCACGCGTAACTATCCTTCCAGAAAACCGTACATTGTTTTCCTCGTTCTCCTCCTCCTCCTCCTCCTCCTCCTCCTCCTCCTCCTTCTTCTTCTTCTTCTTACCTCTCTCTCTGTCTCTGTCTCCTTCTCGAACTCCCGGGCTAAAAATTCCTCCCCTGTCTTGAAATGCATGACTCCTCTAGAGCCATTAAATCTTCTCAGTATCACCGCATGGGCAAGGCATCCGGCAAGTTGCAGCAGACCCAATTCACGATCAAGAGATCGTCGTCTTCGTATGAGATGGATAAGCTGGCTCCCGGGGCAATCAACGTGAATTGGAGTGTTAATTTGGACATGAAGTGATTGGATTGGGAACTTGGCACTTCTCTTAATGGGTCTAGGCTTGGAAGAGACATTTTTATCAACTGTGTAGATATATCTATTACTGTATCTACCTTTCTCCGTAGAGCATCGATAATGAGATAGCGAAAAATCGAAGAAGAATGAATCATCCCAATTCCTAAGTCGAACCTCCTCAAAAGACTTCTACGAACCACTCCCAAAACCGCTGCGTTTCTTAGTGCATGGAATTAGCTAGCAAACAAAAAGCATCAAACTTTACCTGCTCCGTGTAAACTGTAAAAGCACTAAAAGAGGAATGTGATCAACACTCAACATCCACTCTGGAAGCTTGAATTTATGGCCCGCTCGGGCCAAGGAGATTCTCCACCAGAATCTCCACCACATCCAGGCCCCAACAGCCTCCGTCGACTTTGACGGCCGCGAGGCTACTCGCCTGGTCCCATCCCTCGACGTCGTCGTGGGAGAAACAAGCTGACGAGCATTTGGGCACGTTTCTCGCAGGGATGCCATCGATTCGCAAGACGACTCCCTCGTCCTCCTCCGATGCGCCTTCGCCAGCTCCCCGGAAAGACGATCCGAATCGACCTAGGTGTACACCGGTGTACACAGATCCTCCGTAAGCACTAAAAGTACTAAATTCCGACTCCACCGTTAGCAGCCACGGACAACCACACTCCGGCAGCCCCGATTGGCCTCGGTTATGGAACGGAGATGGCCCCCATAATCTCACCTGCATAACTCTGGAAGGAATGAGAGCTTGTTTTACGCGTACGCAGTCGGTAATATCAGGCCTGATGCTGTCATTAAACCATGTAATACCATCCATGGTTCTCTCCAGAGAGACATTACTCTCCACCCCTAGGCAACAGAATAAATGCAACGACCGGAACTCCATAACAGAATTGTCTTTCACGTCGTTGAGGAATTTCTCCTTCGTCTCACCCGGCCCCAACTTCACGTCGAAGCTGGTGATCAGCCGCGCGACTTGTGGTGCGCAGATTCAGTAACGCCAGTGGTCGTCCCACGCAATTATACGGTCCTACACGGGATTCAAAAGTGATTAGCAATTATCTTTCTGGACAGGAGTCCACGAACAGAAGCTCCTTCCCACCAATACTAAACGGTGCAAAGGCCGATTTGTTCCGAATGAGTTCCGGTTGACTGTACCATCTCTCGGGGGTGAATTCGTACGGTTTGGCGTAGGAAAGTTCCGCTGCTCTCATTATCAGTAAATGTGTCGCATCGAATTGCATGGGGTGCTAGAAAAATGAGAAGATCAAAAGAAAAGAGATACTCACATCGCGCCATCACCCACTGCGGAGAATAATCCGTGATGTCCCCGGGAATACACACCCCCTGGACGACGATCCCCTCTGGTGGCGTCTTCCGCGGTAGAGTGCCCGGGACGGCAGGAAAGAGACGCAGCGCCTCGTTAATGACCCCATTCAGGTGCGGGAGACGCGCGATCTGCGAGTGTAGGAACTCGTCGGCGGCGGAAGGGTCCGCGTCACGATAGGGCTCGAGCTCGCGCCGCAGCTTTTCGATCTCCTGCGGGTGGTGCGCGAGAAGGTAGAAGATCGCCGTCAAGGCGCTGTCCGAGGTATCGCTACCGGCGATCAGCACGACGCGCGCATCGCCGTTCAACCGGTGGATATCGTCCGGGGTAGGGGGCTTGCCGCGCAGAGAGCCGATCAACGAGGCACTGATATCAGGCACCTCGGGCTCGTTCTCCATCCGCTGTCCGAACCGTTTGGCGCACCAATCCATCAGCTTCCAGAAGTCGGACATCAGGCCCGGAGTGTTGCGGATCATGAGGAAGACCCAGACGGGGAACCCGATGCCGAAAAACACCATCGACGCTCTGAGGAGTGTGACGACCCAGTGCTCCTCCCCCGTCTCTAAACACCCGAAGCTCTTGCCAAAGGCAAGGTCGCCCATGACATCGAAGCTGTACAGACTGTACCAGTGGTGCACGTCGACGGGAGTTGCTCCGCTGGCGCGCAGTCGCTCGACGAGCTTCTGGCGGTAGACGCGCGCGCGGAGCTCGTAGCCACGCACCATCTTGTCGCTGAAGGCGGGGCTCCAGGCGTGCCGGTGGACATGGTGAACGGTCGGGTCGCGGTGGGTGTTCAGCGATTGATTGCCGTGCGACCAGTCGTACCAGGGGGCCTTGGTGCACGGAGAGCCGGTGCCGTAGATGGCCTCGACTGCGTGCGGGTCGATCATGGAGAGGTCAGACGAGCCGGTGCGCACGTACGGTCCGTACTGGGCGTGCAGGTCGAGGAGCGTGTGGCAGGCGTGCCCGCTGCGTCCGACCATATAGATGGAGAGGCGCGCTGCCCGGGGCCCGGGGAACCCACCCAGTGGGTGCATCCATAGTCGGTAGACGGCGAGGCTGCCGTAGAGACCGGCCAGATAAGAGGCCAGGAGATGGGTGGTGATCCGTACGGCGTCAACGAAGTCGACGGCGGGACTGGACAGGTATCGCATACCAAGCACGCCGGCCGTGGCGACTCCTACGAAGAGCTTGACATACGCTTAGCGTATAGGTGGTGATCGCCGCGGTTAAAGTAGACGATATGGCTGAGGATGCCGAGGGCCGCCGCGTGGGCGGTCGAAGGCATGGCGGCCTGCATTGTGTGGTGTGGGTAGAGTTGAATCTGAGGCAGATTCTGCTTCTTAGAGAAATCTAATTATATGTGCCCAAAGTGAGTTAGATTTGGCCCTCGCCTTGCCTTGCTGACCGCAGTGTTCACCGATCACACCAGCTGCTGCATGTACCTATTCTAAGATCCAACACTCCGATTTTTGGTCGAATAAGTTTGAACACTCACCGACATGATATTGAACAAGGATTTCCCCCATAAACATGAAAGCAAAATACTATCATGTATTTTAACACACATTGGAAACCTCAGAAATACCAGCATAGCTCATCCAACTCATTATTGACCGAATAAATGCCCACCAGGGCATGGACGTGTCAACAACGATTTCTACTCTCTCGTCAAGAGGCGTGAACATATAGTGCTAAAAGTGTTGTCCGCAAAAGGACCGGTGCATAGATGGAAACCTATTAGCTTGATATAGAATGAGTCCGAAGGCTTAGAGCTTGGCCATTCCCTCTTTAGAGCAATGGAGGAGACGGATGTAGACAAGTCATTGCTACAGCTAGCTCTTTTATCGGCGTAGTTGATTCTGGCTTCAATCACTACAATGCAACATTCTTGACAAATGACTAGTTGGCAGAATCAGACCTTTTTCAAAATTCAGTGGATCTAGGCAGTCCGCGGTCTTCGAGACATCAAACTTACCAACCACAGAACTCTATACCAGATAGCATAACTCGGAGTCGTGACTGTATTTCCAGACACAGCCGCTTACTGCCGACTGATAGTGAGAATCCTATTGATCCATCCCTGAGCCAGACAGCTCCTACCAACCTAGACCCTTGCAGCTCCTTCCTTCCGACCCACTCCTATCGGCGTGGCTTGTCCGGAGAAACAGGGGGGGACTTTTTCCTTGCTTAATCCGACCCTTGCATATTCGGAGCCTTGTGGTCAGGCAAACGTTCCCGTCAGCCTCATTCCCTGGTCGAAATCCCTGTCATTATTTCACCAGCCCCTAGCACAAAGTCTAAGCCAATGGAATGAACCCTTTACAAACAAGCTACATCTAGTCTAAGACGCTCAAATTTCTTCTTCGTGCTAATTTTGCCCCATATGATACTAACTCAGAAGTCAACAACTAAGTAAATGCTTTCTAATTCAGGGTCGGATAGGGAAGCAGGTTGAATGTTTATGATAAAACTATTCTAGGACTCAGCTCAGCTTACCTTAGACATCTTCCTATTAGTTCTGGAGCATTTTTTTCAGTCGGCATTTGAGCGTTGGAGGCCTTGACGCCCCTTAGACGGTCGAGATGTAAGGAAATGAGGAACATTGACTTGTAATTGGAGGTGTGAGGAACGAAGTCTAGAGAGGTATGTATAACAGTTCAGATATTAAACGGTTGGCTAAAACCGCAGCTTGCCAAAACCACCGAACAGGTGCATTTCCTTATAAATACTGGATCATTGAACGGTTCGCTTAAAACGAATGAAAATCACAGATTTGGGATTGAAGGGGTGAGGAACGCAGTCTAGAGGGGTATGTATAACAGTTAAGGTATTAAACCATTGGTTCGTGCCAAAATCACCGAACATGTGCATTTCCCTGTCCTATTAGTCCTAAGTCATGTGCTGTCGTCCAAATCTACATTTTAGCGGCATTTAACGGACTGGAGATGGTTAAAATGTAGGGGAAAAAAAATAGGAAACACAGAGCCGTGACTAATCGCGTGAGGGATGCAATCTAGAGAGGTATTGATCTAGATGCACTAAATGATTGGCTTAAAACGCAGCTTGCCAAAACCACCGAGCAGACGCATTTCTTAATCATACTAACCCAGGTTCCATGATCCACATTGACATCTAAGCTGCCTTTGAAGCATTGGGGATAGCTGAGAAGTAAGGAAATTATTGAGACTGGCTCTTGCTGTAGGGATGGGCCCTCTTCGCTATGTGTTGAGCAATGTAAACCTCAATTAGTAAATCATTTTTTGGGGAGTGCTGTACTAGGTATAAATATTGTTGTCTTTCCCAGTACAGATGCTCAACCACAGCTTTCTACCGACAATCTCTTATTCACGGCATTTCTCACCTTGTCTTCTGTTCTCTCGATCAAGTCCATTTCATCTTATTGAACCTACAATGCGTTTCTCGAACCTCTTTTTCGCTCTAGTGGCAAGCTCTACCATTGTTATGGCTGCCCCTGCTAAAGAAGACGTTGCAGTCCAGAATGCGGCAGACGAGAATCTCAACACCCAAGGTTGTCCTAATGGATGGACAACGTGTGGAGTACGTGAGTTCTATCATGGTACATTTTTCAAATATTAAAAATTGCTCAACAGGAATGCAACGGGACTAGCTGCAAGATAGCAGGACATAACTGGTGAGTACTCTTTAAGCGTCTTCAACCTTGCTATATTCCGTATACTGACGATGATGAAGGGAATGCCGTCAGGGCACGAGTGTAAGAATAAATCAATTTATTTGGGTCGAGCATCGGGCCTATTGCTAATAATGATGATTACAGTGTACCGCGCAGAGTGGTGGAGGAGATGGAAAACTCTGTGGCAAGAACAGTGGGATTTTGGACTCGGAGAAACCCGAATGCCCTGGAAGAAATTGATGGAGGGGTTGTCTTATATTAGACCATATGTTCCTTTTTGGGAGCTATTGTCTAGTTCAGAGACCGCTGACTTGTGTGGGCATTGTTTCAACAACGTGTCCTGGCTCTCTATTTGATTATGTTGAGATTGGATTTATAGTGGTTGCAGAAACCATGTTTGAAGACGGCTGAAAGAACGTATGAGCAATTTATCTGCATCCTATCCATTTATGTGAAACTTCCTTTTGCAATTGCTTGATCTTTACAATAAACACAATGAATCCGTTCCTTTCCCGGCTCCCAGACATCATCCGGGTGCTTTTGGTGAATGACTTCCAGACCCAGGGAGGCGAGGGTGGTGTTCTTCAAAAATGAATACATCGATAGCTTCTTTTACGAGTTTCCACCACGCTTGCTTTCTCCACAGCCCCATTCAGGCGGCCGAGATGCACCATGCCGTAGAGTGCTGCGAGCCACCCAGGGACGGCATCGGCAAAATGTAGACAAAGGAGAGTTAAACAAAAGCAGAGACAAACAAGGATCGAGTTAGGTTATCTATGACTAAACCACTAGCTTACTGGCGATGCTTCTACGCCTTTGAGTCAGATTTCTTCAGGCGAGTATACATCTCCTTCATGAAGGTAGTTCCCCACTCCACACTGCGCGGATCACCAGTGGGCATGATCTGGCTAGCGTACAAACCACACAAGCCGGCCGTACGATCAATCCACCAGAAGAGATTGGGCATACCCGACCATCGCATGGTGCCGGCATTATTGCCACTCGCGGACGAGTCCTCCAGCATCAACAGGCCACCCAGGCCGTACCCCTTCTCCAGACCAAGCGGCGTCCCTCCGAGGTAATTGTTGACCTCGGGCACGGACAACGTTGTCTTGAGCATGTCCTTGGAATCGCTCGACAATTGCTGCTTGAACATGCTGTCAATCGTCTCGCTGCGCAGCAACTTGCCGTCGTCCCGGAGGATTGAGGCCAGCACCTTCAGGAAGGATGGACCGCTGGTGTAGATGCCCCATCCGCCGTACTCGTCGACAACGGTGTCGGCGTAGAGGTGGCCGGGCATCCACGAGATCGAGCCATTCGGGTCAGCAGGGGTGCCGTATTGGCTATTTCCCCCTTCGCGGAGATTGAAATCGGCCAGGTTTGAGCGCACCAGGTCATTTTTCTCCAAGTGGAAAGTCATGTCCTTGATCCCGAGAGGCTCGGCGACGTGCTTCTGCACGTACGCATCGAGGGACATGTTGTTGAGACGGGAAATAAGCGTGCCGGTCCAGTCCATGGAGTAGCCGTACTCCCAACCCTCACCGGGCTCAAAAAGGAGCGGCACATCAATCTTCTCAAGGATCGGCTCGGTGCTAGTCATGTCCGGGGCTTGACCCGTCGTTGAGGTCTTCCAGCGCATGAGAAGAGGGTCGATGAAGTCATAGGCAATCCCAGACGCATGTGTCAAGAGGTGTCTAGGTCAAAGACACGTCAGTTCAGCCAGAGTTAGAATAGACTGTAGAACCAACCGGAGCGTGATCTTATTCTTCGCCGGGACAAGGGTAGCGTTGCCGGTGGTCTCATCGAAGCCCGTGAGGATCTTAGGATCCTTAAGCTCAACGAGAATCGTTGAGACGTCATCGTCCAGCCCGAAGAGGTCTTGCTCAACGCACTGCAACGCCGCGATGGTGGTGATGATCTTGCTGCACGAGGCAATGGTCAGGGTTGCATCTAGCTCGAATGGTCTTTCCGCGCCAGGTTTTATGGACGCATTGCCAAAAGCATGGGCATAGTTGAAGTCGCCTGCGCAGCGGTTAACAGGATTTTATTATCTTTTGTCTCTGCTATTTTGGAACGTACCACTGAAGTCGGTTGCAAATAAGCCCACGCCAGGGATGACTCCTGCACTAACGGCAGCCTGGAAGTTCTGTTCCATTGTCACTGCCTGGATGGGACCCGAAGAGCACGCCACGTTGCTTGATCGGACTGGTTGCTGGGGATGTAAAAAACGCGCAACAATGGCAGCAGAATCAGAATTTGCTATTCGACAAGATCAACGGAGAGAAAGCAGGGGGACCAGCCGATCCCTACCAATTTAAATAGGACAAGGATAAGGAAGCCAATGCCTACAAGGATTAAAACGTGGCAAACGTTCTAAGCGAATTCGATTCCTTCGACGAAGAATGTAACGTCATGCAGGCGTGTCCGAAGGCGTGTATAGTCTGAATCCCTTGGCCCCATGGCCAAGTGCTCACTCTACAGATCTATACAAATCCGAGGCCACGAAAACTGTTGGTCATCCGAGCTAGGGATGGTTTCGCCCTAGTGCCTGCAGAAAGTTCATAATCTCCTGCTGTTGTACTGGTCCATATCCTTGTCCCTGGTCTAGCCGTAAGCACTAAAACATCCAAGCTTGCCGCAGTTCTTCGATAGCCGATGTTCCGGCTTGATCCGCCAAATGGAACTATGGGGCGAAAAGCATCCACTATTCAACAAGCGAGATCGTGGGGGCCTCAAGCCCTCAACAACGGCGCGATGGAGTGCTAGTCTAGAATAAGAGAGCCAATTGAGCTCCCGCTTGGTGCAATGACATGGATGGGGACGTCGCTCCAATATATCTGATGCACGATTACGGCTAGGATCTGAAGCCTACGCGTATTACTTTTTTGGCCCCAAAAATCTCACGCTTGTCATTTTGGCCATTGTGTTGCTCATCTCGCCAATTGGAATCCTCTGTGCATGTTCATGCGGTCCATCTGGTCCTCGTGGCGAGTTCGGGGCTGGCCCGGTCCGTCCTGTCTACCTACCTGGGTTCCCCATCCTTCTCCTATAGGTACTATGGCTTCATATCTCATTTACTAGGACGTTACTAAGTCCTTCTAAGCGTTGATGCATCGTATTCGCCGATTCCCTATGCGCTGTAGTATCTGGTCGCTACCAGTAGCTATGCTCAGCTCTTCTTGAATCTGTTCATCAATTTTTCGAGATTATGTACAGTAAGATAGATGGCATGGCAATCGGTATTACTTTTCTAGAAATAATCTAATAATATAAGAAGCACTGCATGGGGTAAATTAAATTAGTTTACTTATCTAAGTCGTATTTTGTCTAGTGCAAGTAGTCCAAATCGAGCGTGTAGTGAGACAATATCACGCAGAAAAAGAACAATTACCCATGTGAACATTAGAACGGATTACTATTCGATTTTGACTGACCGAATGAAAGCCCGACAGAAAAGATATCAACAACAAATTTGACCCCAATCTTACCGCTGCTGCTCCGCTAGTTTCGACCATACTGCGAAGTAGGCCCGCAAGAGATCGGGCATGGAAGGCAGCTCCAAGACCTCCGGTGAATCGGCCAAGGCCCGACGACAATTTGTGTTCTCAAACATGGTCTTCTCAGTATTGACCGTCTGCCAGAAAACCATGGCTTCTTGAAGCCTTTCCTGAATGTATGAAGAAGCCACTTTCAGATGTTGTTCCGCATGCATTGCGAAGATGTTAGTCCACTCCGAAGGCGGCACCCGTTTTAAAGGGGGCGACGTAGATTGGCCCACCATCTCGAGTGTCTTATCCCATGACAGAGTTTTATTCTGGTCAGGCATAACAAGATTGTACGCATGACTCCGGTCACTGCTTAGCGAGATTCGCAGCATCGCCGAGCATGCAAAGTCCACGGGAATCAATTGACACCGGGCATCCGGGGCGGTCGGATAACATCCAATACGGATGGAGCTAATCATTAGTCGACTGAAAGCGTCCTCTACATTCGAAGTCCCCGTCTTGCTGTGGCCGGTTATAAGGGGCAGGCGATAGATCGTTACTGGCATGCCATTCGAAATGGCGTTCCAGGCAATGCTTTCCGCGATGACCTTACTCTGGCTGTAACCAACATGCTGTTTCACGAATGATACCATGTCATCAAGAACTGGTCTCTCATTCTCGGGAACAAGTTTTCCTCCACCAAGATATACAGATGCCCCGCAAGCTGAAATGCTAGAGGAATAGTGGAATGACTTGAGGCGCTTCGTGTTGGCAAATCGCAGCATGTTGAACATCCCATGAATATTGGCGTCGCGATGGCTCGAGTACGGGAGCGTGTAGGTGCAACGAGCTGCAAGATGGAAGATGACGCTGGCCCACTGAGCAAAGTATTCAAACTTCTCCTGGCCGAGTTTGAAGGTAGGATCGGCGACATCGCCAGGGACCACAATGAGTTTGGACTCAAAGTCTAGTGGGAGTCCGTAATGTTCCAGAGTTTCTTTAATTCGTGACATGCCTGTCGAGGCATCTGGTGCCCGTACCAAGCATGCAATCTCCTTCACCTGTGGGAGGCCAGCCAAGTGAGAAAGGAAAAACGCAGCCAAGAAGCCAGTTGCTCCAGTCAAGAATACTCGACCTTCGGATTCGGAATGCCAGCATGGAACATGGGCTGAAATGGGCTGCAGATTTTGAGCCAACGCCATATCTTCCTTAAAAAGCGCAATCTCATCAACTTCCTTTGCTTCCATCTCCACAATGGCCCCTTTCACATTTTCGAGCTCTCCGGCTTTGTGCCTGTCGCGGAGGATCTTCATCGTGATCGCGCCGAGACCTTTCACCGTTCCTGCATTGGAAATCTCTGCGATTGACACCTCAATTCCGACATTACGCCGGAACCAGCTGCGTATCTCGATAGTCATCAACGAGTCGATTGTAATTTCAATAAGCTCCTCCTCTGTCATGTCGGTGGGATATGACATGTTTGTGGCAACCATCCGACCGATTTCAAGCGTGATTTTGACCTCAGTGGCTGCATCGTCAAGAAGAGCTGGATCGCGCTTAATTGATGCCACCAAGGCTTTGAGCTCGTTATCGTGGCTTGTATCCCCTCCAGCAGTGCCTGTCAACATGTTGTGCCATGCAAGAAAGCGGGCGTCCTGTCCTAACATGCCACCATTCTCGATCTCCGACGGCGGCCTTGTTGTCCCCATGCCTATAGCAAGCTGGGGTGTGCCCTGGATTATCTGGATTTCCAAGGCTCTAAGAAGATCGCTCTCCTGCAGAATCTCCCAGGATGTCAAGCGTGCTCGGTCCAACATTTTGCTGAAATTTTCGAAGGCAAAGCCAACATCACCCATAAAACCAAGATCGAGCACGCTAGCCGGAAGCCCCTTTGAGTGACGATACGTCACAAAGGCGTCCAGGAAGGTGTTGGCAGCTGCGTAGTTTGCTTGTCCGCTATTTCCGGCAACGCCAGAAAGGGAACCGAAGAGGATAAAGAAGTCGAGCGGCTGTTTCTCGACTGCATGATGTAAGTTCCAAGTACCTTGGACCTTCGGAGCAAGGACCTCCGTCCACTCCTCGTACGTCATCTTATCAAGAGTTTGATCCTGTTGAACAGGGTATGTTAGCAATGATCCCCGGATCACGCTCTATACAGCTGGGCAATCATAGTGTATATAAAGGAATACTCACATGTAGCACCATGGACAATTGCATAACTCCTGCGAGTGGCCGCGTTGCACCAGACACAGCTCGTGCAACATCGTTTGCACTTGTCACGTCCCCAGTGACTGTCGTGATGTGACAATCCCCCTGGGACTCCAGATCTTGGATGAATTCTCGATTCTTGGATGATTCCAGACCAGACCTTGACATGAAGACCAAATGCCGAGCACCTTTCTCCAGCATCCATCTGGCCACAGCACGCCCGAGCCCTCCCAAACCACCAACGAGCAAGTATGAAGCGTCGTGACGGAATAGTGCACCGTTACCCTGCACTTTGGACACTGGAAGTTCGGATGGGTCACGAGGCATTTCTAGCACAATTTTGCCAATGTGTTTGCCAGCCTGCATGTGCCTAAATGCTTTAGCAATATCAGACGCGTTGAAGACATTGACGGGGCGGATAGGACGGAGCTTTCCCTGATCCAAATACTGTTTGAATTGTTCCATCGTGTTTCGCATGAAGGTCGGATTCTGCTCGCCTAGTTGAAGAAGATCCACACCCATGAAGGTCCGGTTCGCCCCAAAAACGTCCATATCGAGTTTACCATGCCCGAGGAAATCGCGTTTACCCAGTTCAACCATTTTACCCATAGGAGCAACACATCTCCACGAGGCATGCAACAGTTCTCCAGAAAGAGAGTTCAAAACAAGGTCAACACCCCTATTACCGGTCTTTTTCATGATATCCTTTTCGAAGCTAATGCTCCTCGAGTCGAAGATATGGTCTTCGGCAATGTTGAAGGTTTCCACAAGATGTTTCCTCTTTTCCGGGCTCCCAACCGTGGCGAATATTTCGGCCCCGATATCTTGACATAGCTGAATCGCGGCCAAGCCAACGCCTCCACACGCGCTGTGGATGAGAATGGTCTGTCCTTTCTGCAGATTTCCGCAGTTCACCAAGGAATAGATCGCAGTAGAGAAAACGCAGGGGCTCGCTGCTGCGTCTTCAAGAGACATCTCATCAGGAATCACGAGGCAAAAGCTCGCAGGAAATATCTTTCGAGTCCCCATGAGGCCCTTCCCAAGTATTGAAACTCGGTCTCCAACCTGTATTGTTCTCACCCCTGATCCCACGTTTCGAACGATACCGGCGGCTTCGAGACCAATCTGGCTGGTGTCTCCCATCAGACCCATCGATATCATTATATCCTAAAGTGAACAATCATTAGACCAATCTGATCCGGGGCTTGTGTATCATGTATACGTACCTTGAAATTTAACCCAACAAAGCAAATGTCCACTTCAACATCGCTCTCACCAAGAGGTTTAGCTCGTCCATCCAAGGCCCAGGTAAGAGAGTCAAACATGCCGAAGCACCCAATATCTATGGACCTCGGACCAAGGCCCTCGCTCCTAGCCATCAGGTCCTGGAAATAATCATATTGGAAACGGCCAACTTGGATTGCCCTATCCTTGAGAACAAATTCGTGGTCGTTATCTACTGGTGACTCGTGCCTGTGTTCGTGAACTTTCTGCAATACCTGGATGACGTTTTCTGCCGCACCGGTGTCTTTCTGGTCGAGTTCAAAGGTTGTAAATCTTGCCGCAGATTCTTTCCGTACTGCTCGCATCAGTCCCAGCGCCAGAGCAAACCTAGGGTCAGGATCTTGGTCATTGAGCTGGACCGGGCGCATCAGCCAGAGACAATGTCCTTTAACACGTGAAACAAAGTTTTGAAAGGCATGGAATTCCTGATTTGAAACGTCGTTGAAGAAAGGGGAATCCAGTTCGATCAACGATACAACGTCATTGACTGAAGAAGGTAGATCGTCTAGGGTAAACCATTGGACATTGACACCTTTGCTTAAGAAAACTTGTTCGAGATCGCGTGCCCAACTGGAGACTGTGCCGCTGTGGAGGAAACTGATATCTTGGACAAGAGATTTTGCAGTCCTTGGCCGCCGCGAAATCATATAGGCATTCATACTGTAAGGTGGGTCGAGGTCATACCGTACAATGTCAACACCCGTGAATCCGGCGTCCAGAAGGCTCTGGTGCCATTTTGCGACAGATACCATTGGCATTTCCCTCGAATCTTCCGAGCTCCACCAACCGGGGAGGATACCCATGATATAGTTCAAAGCTGGGACAGTGGGACAAACCTCCGTGAGGAACAGCCATCCCCCTGGAGCCAAAAGTTTGTGAAGATTGTGGAGTGTCTCTGATATCCTTGGGGTAGCATGAACCACATTTGAGGCAATGATCAGGTCGTAATCTCCCGCGACAAAACCTTGCTCCTCGGGATCCGCGGATATATCGAACGTCTCGTACTTTACCCCCGGGAAGTCCTTGAAGCGCTCCTTCGCTTGAGAGAAAAATCCCGCTGATATGTCAGTGAAAGTGTAACTCGAGTACATGCGGCCCTTGTGAGTTGCGGCAGAAAACAGCCCATCGAGAGCAACCGCAGTGGCTCCACCGGTTCCTGCACCCACTTCCAACACCTTGAGGGTAGGTCGGGAATGGCTGAGTAGGGACAGAAAGCTTTCCGGGCGGCATAGCCGAGAGGATTCTTCGTACAAGAATCGGACGGCATCGCTTTCCATGATTACTTCCAGGGAGCTTATTTTCTCATCGAGGATACCTTGAATATTCGATAAAACCTCCTGGGCTGCAATATATAAGTTGTTTGCCAAAGGGTGTTTAATCGCTTTCCCAAGTGCTTGAATCCGCGGCAGACGACTTGAGGGATCGGAGGCAAACTCGTCTCGCATATCAGGATGAAGCCCCGGAGCATCGTCTCTTATTTTCTCGTATTGCGAGGACAGCCACTTCTGGTACTTCCTCAAATGCTCCTGTGTCGGACTGCATGATATTGTCTGGTGATAAGTTTCCAGTATAAAAAGCTTTGTTAATTCCGCGACCAGCTTTCCGCGATCCATGTCGTCTGGAATAGGTGGAAGTAGCGCCTCGGGTTGAACAAAGTCGACATGAGGTTTCCAGACTAATGTCGCGGTAGAAGGTCCGTTCTCGTCATCCAGCGCTGTTTCGCTGATGCCGAAAAAGAAACACCGTTTTAGAGAAAGGACAGGCTTCTCATCTGCAATCAACAAGGTGTCACCGGTCATCGTGCTTCCAGCTGCATCACATCTTGCCTTTAAAGACATTGATCCCCGTCCAGTTGCAATATACAGACTCTCGATCGCGGTAGGTATGCATAACTGGGTCATGGAACGCTTGATTCCTTGAGCACCTGCTACACTTAACAGTTGGAGGCTTTGATCTATCACGACTGGGTGGAGGGCATAGCGGCTAGTCGTCAGCTCGCTGGCATCTTGTAACATTGCTGTGGCCTCGGTACTCGTCGGACTCGCAGTGATATCACGTAGTCCACGGAAACGGGGACCGTACTCAAGTCCTCGGTTCTCCAGGGCCTCATACCATTCCTTGGCTGGTACGTTGCGTGTGTAAGGAACGATTGGACCTTCCTCGCATTCGGTTCCATCTGGTTCTGCCCGAATCTGTCCAATGCAATGTTTCTTCCACACCCCGTCATGATGCGCAGTGATTGTGAAGTCGTACCACGCCGAATCCAGATGATCCGTGAGTTTCGCTGGTCGAAGGCTCGTAATCATCTCAACGGCTTGTATGTTCGTTTCTTTCAGTACTAATGCATTTCGCATGAACATGTTTCTCACTGAATATTCCGGGGTCCCGGAGATCTGCTGAATAGCCTCTCCCACCATGGCCACATACCCAGCCGCTGGAAAGACGATTTCTCCCCCGATTTTGTGTTCCATGATCCACGTAGCATTTTCCAACTGCAGCATATTTCGCCACGTAGGTTCCAGATCGCTTGATTCAAGAGCTCGACTTCCCAGCAGTTCATGATGGGGAGCCTGTCTAAGTCTCCAATCCTTTGTTAAACGAGACTCGTTCCAAAATGATTCATCATGATCCCAAGAGTAGGGAGCAAGGTCTGTCAATGTCGTGCCACGACAAATAAGACCCAATAGATTGACAGGGCTCCCCTGGGTGTGTAATTGGCCCACCGTGGCCAATAAACACCTCCATTGATCTTTGCCCCGAACAAGGGTTGGTACGTATGAACATTTCCCTCCGGCATCTGCATGAGAAATTATTTGCCGCAAAGGTCCAGCGAGAGCCGAATGTGGCCCTATTTCAAGAAGCACCTTGGCCTTCCCATCACCGCCGAGTATCTTCTGAAGCGCGGTGTTGAACAAGACCGGGGACTCCACGTTCTTCCTCCAGTATGAAGAGTCCAGAAGACCAGGGTCAGAAATTGTTTCGTTGGTCACGGTAGATACCATTGGGATCATGGACTTGTTAAAGGTAATCCCTGAAAGCAACGATTCGAATAGCTTCCCTGCCTCATCCATGTGGTTTGAATGATATGCGACGTTAACTGCAAGACGTCGGCCGAATATATCACCTTTTGCATGTATGTCCTTCAACACCTCGTCTATTGTTTCCTTGACTCCCGAAATAGTCACACTTTGAGGGCTGTTTTCACACGCTACAACCACTCCGTCCCTCAGGTATTGTTCCACTTCGGTGCGCCCAAGTCCGACTGCTGCCATGGCGCCATTTGTCTTTGTCGATTCCATGGCCAGGCCACGGAAATACGCAATCTTGATAGCAGTTGCGGCAGTGATGGCGCCGGAAGCATAAGCTGCAGCAATTTCTCCACTAGAATGGCCCAAGGTGACCGATGGCAGGACCCCCAAGTCATGAAGAAAATCCACAAGAGCAAGCTGAATAGCAGTACAGAGAGGCTGAGAGAATCTCGCCTCCTGGAATCGATCCGAGTCTTTGGTGTGCAAGAGTTCCTCTATGAAATATTAGAAAAGTACCCGGTGTCAACCTATCATCAAAACTTGCCTTCAATGCGCCAATCAGGTGGGTTCTTGAGCCCTTGCAATTCTTTATCTAATGCCTGGATGGCGGAACGGAATCTCTCTGAGCTCAAGATCATCTCCCTACCCATGCCTGGCCACTGTGCTCCCTGTCCGGTAAATACAAAGCAGACCTGTGGGCAGACGGCGCGGGTTTTTTCGAAGGTCGAAGTTGAGCCATCCTTCTCAGCTATTGCGAATGCTCGGTGCTGCATGTGCTCCCGCTTAAATGCCAGCGTATAGGAAAGATCGGCCACTGCCGATGGGGTGGCTTCGAGGTAACTGTTTATTGTCTTGATACTGCTGTCCAGCGAAGTTGTCGACTTCGCAGAGACTAGTAAAAGATGCGGCCCTGCCCTATCGCCGGATGCAGCCCTGAACATAGACTCTTCACACACAGAATAGGCAGAATCCAAAACAAGCTGATAATATTAGCGGAAAATCTCGTAGAAGGTTCGCAGCGAGGGGATTCGGAACACACATGAGCATTGGTGCCGCCAATACCGAACGAATTGACGCTGATTCTTTCACACCTATCTGCCGGCCATGGCGTCGGATCGACAGGAACCTGCAATTTTGCTTCTTGGAATGGTACTTAAAACATGCGAATCAGCATCAGAAGGTCCAAAGCAAGGAAAGGAATTATCTCACTGTTAGGATTCGGGTCCTCGAAATGTATGTTTGGTGGAATGATTCGGTGCTCGAGTGCCAGTACACTTTTAATGACACTTGTAATCCCTGATGCTCCTTCTGAATGACCCAAATTTGGTTTCACCTGCTATCCGTCAGCCAGTTTCTCACGAACTTTGGTAATCTTTCCTGATTATGAACCCACCGCTCCGATATGTATGCCGTCTTTACCAAACACCTTAGCGATAACAGAGGCTTCCGCCGTATCCCCGACAATCGTTCCGGTTCCATGACATTCGAAAAATGCCGTTTTAGCCAGATCAGCAATCCGCGCTTTTTGATAAGCCCTTCTAATAAGCATTTCCTGTGCCTGAGAACCCGGGGTTGTAATGCTCGGTGTTTTGCCGTCGCAGTTGACAGCTGTAGAGCGTATCACAGCGCGAACCGGGTCACCATCTCTAAGGCAGGCATCTAAAGGCTTAATATAGATTGCATTTACGGCTTCGCCCCTCCCATAACCGTCTGCTGCAGCGTCAAAAGTCTTGGATACGCCACTTGGGGAAAGTGCCATGGTCTCTGACATAGCGGTAGTCGTTGTGGGGGTAATAATTAGATTCGTACCAGCCACCAGCGCCGAGGAACATTCGCCTGCATATAGCGCCTGGCAGGCATCGTGAAGACCCACGAGTGCCGAGGAACAACCAGTCCGAAATGTGATACTCGGACCGCGTAAGTCAAACTCATAAGATACTCGGTTTGATAGCGCAAAATCAGCTGCGCTGACTACCCTGAAACGATCAATGGCTTGCGTGTCCTTGCTCATAAGATCCAGCCAGTCCTCCCCAAACACTCCAACATAACATCCAATGTTTTTCCCTCGGCACTGGGCAGGAATCTGTCCTGCGTTCTCCATGCATTCCCATACAACCTCAAGCAGTATTCGTTGTTGGGGGTCAAGCTTCGCGGCTTCGATCTTGCTCATACCAAAGAATGCAGCATCAACGTGTGATATGTCTTGCTGAAGGAAGTAACCGTGTTGGGTCCGAATTGCACCGGGACGGCTTTCATCGTAGAAGGCCTCAATGTTGTAGCGGTCCTCAGGAACCGTGCAACGGCCATCGCGCTTGTTGATCAACAAATCCCAGAGCTCTTTTTCACAATTGATGCCACCTGGGAGCCTCATTGACATACCGACAATAGCGATTGGGAACGGAACGGGTTCACAATTGCTGTCATTCTCCAGATGTGCCACATGGTCATGGTCATCTTTACAGTGTGATAGAAACCCTGCCGGCGAGGTAATTGGATTGAGGCCAGTCATCGTTCGATATGAGTTATTTTCCGCCCGTTAAATGTTGTAAGTTGAAAATCGAGCTAGATAGAACCCACTGTTGAATAGACAGCCGGCGGAAGTAAAAAGAGTGGACAAACATCGATAGAAAGGGGTGAATGAAGTTTCGATCGAAAGACTTGGAGATCACCTCGGGATCTGACTAGAATTGCACCCTATCAATGAGCGGAGCACTAGTACTCTCCATACCAGAGTATTCATATTCCGAAGTAAGGGGTAATCATTAACGTAGTCCTGCAAAGCGTGTGAGATATGAGAGGTAAATGTGCAGTCAAATAGCGGTCAAGGAAGGCTCGAACAAGTTAATAGAATGTTGATTGATCGATTATTCGATTGACAAGTCAAATTTAGTACGACCGTCCCGGATAGCGTGGTGCCCGACCTCGCGATCACATCTGTCATGCGATGGCATCTACACTACTTCACTGCTGTGTAACTTCCTTCACTCGGAATCCTGACGCCACGTGCTGTCAATGGTGATCAGGATTCCTAGCTCTGAAGCCAGGGACATCTTGTTTTGATTTAGCCGGTACTGTTCGATAACGCCGGTCGGTAACCATGGCGGCGTCAACTCAAGGAAATCCCCTTATCTGCAGTAAAGTGGATGTATGCTGTTCCCAGACGACACTTGATATAAACGAGCTGATATATGGGGCGCTGTAGATGTTCAATTGGATGGTTTCAATCAGTGCAGACGATCCTGAAGATGGTTGTAGAGGAAGAAGTGGTTTCCCGGGCTGCACACGCGTAAGGAACGCGAATGCTTGGCATATTGCCTCAGGCATTCAGCATCTACAGGGCCGTGTTACAACTAACTTATTGACTTTTAATATCACCAACTTAAACAAAGCTAAAAGCGTTCCTTCGTGTTGGAACATAAATGCAAGCACAGAACGGGGATCTTCATAATGTACAGGTGAAGGTGTGAAGACTTTTAATAAACGCAGCAATGGCGCCAGACCCAGCAACCAGTCACGATATCATGCAAGGATTATTGAAAGAACGGCAAAGATCTATATAAAGGCTACAGCAACAAATAGATATGATGCTCGTCTATGTTTATATTATGTTTCACCTAATTTACTTCGGTACTGGAGGAAGAACCTCTATGCTACTATAGTCTGGCCACAGAGTCTGGTTTTTCCACAACTCAACAAATGGATTGCGAATTTGGCGGATGCTACGTTCGCTTTTCAAACTTGCATTGTACCCAATATATGATTATCTGTAGCAAGTAAGAATATAGATAGTATCTTTAAAGCTCTATAGTTACGGATACTTAATTATGCACGATTACAGCTTTGAGTCGAGGGCAAATGCAAAACCGCATCCATGTCGAATTCCCAGCCTATATATAATTATACGAATCATGGACACGACCGTTGATTGCATATCAAGGGGATATATCTCTCATGTTCTGCACCCCTCGATCCAGAGCGGACTACGGAGCACATTTGCAGTGGCTCGCACAAGAACCCTGTGAGATAAGCCAATTGTCTTTTCCAAGAGTTAGCTGGTGTGCTTTTTCCATTAAATCTTTCTTTTGTTGATCCCGGACTTAATATCCTACTACGGTAGAAAGCTTCGTGTCCTGAATACGTCGCAGTTGCATTTGAGTGAACCCCGACTGGCCTGAGCTACGCAGACTCCGCACTTTGCTAAGTTTCAGAAGTATGTGCATGTTAACATCTTGTGTCAACAATAGCGGCTCTTTAAGCTCCTTCGACGATAGAGAGGAACACGAGTCGCGGTGGTGCTTAGTCCTGGCCTACTACGTGAGCTTGGGATAGCGATGAATGATGAACGGATTCTTCTCGCCAGTTTTATGATTAACATACGTGTTATCTAGACATTTTAGTACTAACGCTGCCCGAGGGAGCTGTCCGATCGAGGTATTCAAGGTATAAGTAGTTCTTGCGAAGTATAAGTATAGCCTGTATGTGTTGGTTTGGTTGCCTAGGGATTGGCGATCCCTCTCTTTCCCCCGACTATTGTTCATTTGGTTTGAGGGGCAACTGTACAGTTGAGATGATGCTATCCGCGACTGGTTGAGTCTGAGAGTGGCTAACCAATGTGCTGGCTCTGAATTTGCTAAACATATACAGTCGAAAGTGAATGATTGCTCGTGACCCGAGTCAGTACTCAACAAGGTACCAGACCCCGGATGGGAACTCCGTGTTTGTCCTGTCCATTATTGATCAATCTATTGGCTCCCAAGCCACCGATAAAGCAAACTGGGGGTCACATCTTTATGTGGCGAGCTAGGGGTTAAGGTGTGAATCAAAGGGGTCGGTATTTGCTAGGTTATTACTCTACTCCGTACATTGGCCATATGCGATGGTTAGAACTCCTGCAAGGGGCTTCTACGGGAATTTTAGATGGGAGCTCCCCGGCCCCCTTTCGTTGATCATTGTTTACCCAAACTAGAATGCTACTCATTCAGGGGCGGTATGCTTCATCCAGGAAATGTAGAGAGAAGCTCCATTCTCATTATTCCCTTTCCCAGGCGGGAATGATCAATAAGAAAAATATTGTTCGTTGGAATTTCCTTTAGAGATGGACTCGACCATAAATATGGCGCCTTCTCCGTGTTGTCCCAATTTCAACCAACTACACAAGAGTCCTCCATCCAGTCATTCCTTCGACTCTCGCTACAATGAAATTCAGTGGCGCTATGAACATCGCGGCCCTCGCGGCCCTTTCTTTCTCTCCTGTTGCCCTCGCGGCCCTTGATTTCTCGTCCGTTGCCGTCGCTTTGTTGAATCCTTCGTGTCGTGACGCCGTCGATTCCATTAGCAGAATGTCGAGCCATATCATTCAGAATATGCAGAAATATGCCTGTGCCGCTGGCTGTGAGCCCGTCATCAGCCAGTGGGACAGCGAGGTGAAGAACGATATCGTCGACGCATTGATTGAAGATGGTGTTCGATACACTGGTATCCATGATCCTGTGGCTCAAAAGAAGTTTGCCGCCGGTATCAACGAGGTGTTCGTGACGGTCACCACCAAGTGTCAGGACAAGTTCGAAGACAAGCATTTGTGCCATGACCCCGACAGTCTAAATCCTTTTGTACAATGTATCGACGACAACTCACGGGCTGCGGTTGTCAAATCCCTTCGCGGATTGCTTCCCTACATGTCGGAGCAGAGATGCAGGAAAGTGGCCGATTACTTCAACAGCGACCAACTGTGGAAGGAGGACTTTCCGGAACACTTCAAGGAATATGTCGACCAATGCCATGACCTGTGATGGGGATTTCAAACCAAGAAGTCCGATTTAACCCTCCGTCCAGAAAAGGGTTCCTGCTTTGTGTTTGCGGTTCGATGACACTACACCTATCGACAGTGAAATGTTCAGGTGATAAGAAAGGCCCTGAGCGTGTGGAATTGAAGACAAGCTAGCATTGTTCAAGGTATTCGTTGCTTTCATATATATTCTTGTCTCACCAACAACTTTGGGGTTCTTAATTGTATCCCATCATGTGTACTCCCACTGCTGATTGGCCAATTCGGAAAAGAAAAAACATCTAGAATCTACTGACTCGTGCGTAAGGAGTAGATAACTGCCTAATTTTGCCAAGGGTTGAATACAGGGATATGTAGCTATGAGTTCGAATTCTCAAGGGATGTCTAGTTCAAAACGGATGCTCTCCTCTCTCCAACCTGAATCATTTAGTCGGGTTTGGTCCACATCAGTACGTAGATCAGGATTGTTCAACGCAAGCCAGTGACAAGTCAAATTTAACGCATCACATATCGTTTCTCTATGCCCAGGCAAGTTACGGTGCTCACTAGATCTGGGTGGTCCAGGCGAGGCGGGTCTACGGAGAAGAAACCAGAAACCCGCAAGCTGTTCTTCATCCAGTATGCGTATGCAAGGGGCGAACAGCGGTGAAAGCAAACCTGTATGGCAGGGTTGTGATCGACAATTTATGCATGTCCAGATTCATACCAGTGACTGACCTGTTTATCAGACAGGTCACATCTTCAGATATTATATGGTAGGTTTTCTCTTCTGAACCACCCAGATACTCAGCCAACGCGAAACATCACTTTGTTTCAAAAAATTGATAGCCGAGGGTCTGATCTTGGGTAGAGCATCTGCTAGTTTGGTATGTTAGGGTCTCATATGTTTCTACTCCTACATTCTGCAAAACATTATGTAATCGCTCTGGAGGAATTCCTCGCGCTTTGTGAAGACGTGTTTCTTCCTCTTGCACGCTCGATTCTGTCCGGATTAGGGCCGTACATTACCCGATCATTCACGGCCTTCACGCTTAACAGAAAAACGACTGCAGATATTACATATGCACATGGCGAGGCCGAATTGAAGGACAAAAACACTAAGACTAATAATGGTCCAAGGTTTTGAATACCAACACAGAACAGGCTGCTGGTCCTAAGTAATCCCTTTTCATAAATCATTAGATAGTCTAATGATGCTTCACATGTTCCAATTATTTCTCGTGTTGGTAGTATTAATATCTAGTAATACACACGAATCACATTAAATATAACTTATCAAATGAAGTTACAGATTTAATTCCTCTCCGGCCAAGCATCAAATAGTCCCTCAGAGACCGATACCTTACTGAACTGCACCTCCCCAACACCGTTGTGAAGAAACTTGATGTCAGTGGAGTTGCTGTACCACGATCTGTATTAAAGAATAGAAATGTCAGTCATTCTGTTCATCTACACCATTTGGATAGCCAGGGGGAAAGGACTTACCGAACCCAAGTACTCAACGCGAACCGACCATTGGCAAATACCTCCAGAACACCATTATCCACAACAATGGTCAAATCCAAAGACTCGATCTTCTCGGTACCGTCTTCGACGACGTCGAAGAGACGGAGACGACCCGCCTCGTTGTAGCTAGTAATTCCAAGGGTGGATTCGGCGGCAGCGCTGGTGTGGCTTCGGTCGACGATGATCGACTCGTTAGAGAACTGGTAGTAGATGTTCGTGTGCTCGTGTTCCGAGGAGAGGATCTGGAAACCACTCTTGAGGCCCGAGGTACGCGCGGATTTCGGGAATGTGAGGTTGGCGCGCAGCACGAAGAACTTGCTCTCCGGGGAGTTGGCAAAAGGAATGGGGCTGGATTGGTTGGTGAGTTTGCGGGCGTGCTCGTCGGTCGAGGATCCGGAGAGGAGAGCGTCGTAGGTCTCTCGTGCGATGTCGATACCCAGGGTCTTCAGCTCAACGGTTCCAGATTTCGCGGAGTCTTGCACGCGCCATGACACGCCAGTTTCCCGGGCGAGGTCGTTGTCGACGACGTTGGGGATGTTCAGGGTGTGGAGCTCACGAGGAAGCAGTAGGGTTCCGGTCCAGTTCTGTTGGTGGGTAGGGAAGCCCTTGGCTTGTTCGAACTCGTCGCCTGTCAGCCAGATGTACGTGACAAAGCGCGCAGGAGCACCGCTCTTCTTCGCGGCTTGGGAGTCCGCCGTCACGATCTTGCCGGCCCCCGCGTACGCGGAGGCACCCCAGTCCAGGACACCGGCCATGGTCGGGGTGAATTTGATAGATCCGTTGTTTGATATCTGTCCGGAGATCCAGAGCATGTCGTGGATAGAGCTGAGCTGTTTCACGATTGGTGTGTCAGAGCCCTCGGTTCCAATGGTGGTGAAGATCTCCCCCTCAGGGTCGTATCCCTCGTCGTTTAGACTGAAGATGTTGGCTACTTCAAAGTTGAAGCCCCAGCCGCCGGCCCAGGTGCCATCACCCCAGGTCGTGTTGACGCCCTCGCGCCACCACTCACCCAGGTACTCCCAGTACTGGAAGTCCGGGTCAGTCTGACGGTACAGGAACTGGCTGGGACCGACATTGTGCACGCCACCGGAGATCACGGTGTACCAGGTTCCCGGGGTGCTATCGAGGGACGCATCCAGCTTGGGGTTCTGGAAGACGTAGGGATCGCGGAAGGCGGTCACATTCAGGCCGAACGGTGCATCAGGGATGACGGGGCCCTGTTGCACCTTGGTGAAGTTGCGGCCGCCGTCATAGGAGACAGCCAGAGACTGGGTCTCGGCACCACGGGTGTAGGGGATGGACCAGTGGATGGGGAGGAATGAGACGGAGGTATACAGGAAAGTGGGGGTTCCGTTGATTCCGCTAGGGATGACGGAGCCGTCGAAGACAGCAAGAGGGTCATTGATACCGCCGGGCACAATGGCCGGTCCACCACCGGGGTTCAGATCGCGATAGGTCGCGAGATCATCGGTCGTGGCACCTCCAACACCCGTTCCGTTGTGCAGCCAGCCAACGTGGAACAGACCCGTCTTGGGATCGGTGTATTGCATGCAGGGGTCACCGATCTTGCCCGAGGGTGGCAACACGTGGGCGCGAGGTCTCCATGTCTCGTAGAGGGAGCCGTTGGCCAGAGTTGACAAATTCGGGGGCGCCGCGTTGTAGTCAACGGCGTCCACGGCCTGGCCGGCGACAAGGAGAAGCGCAGCTGACGAGGGCTTCATGGTGAAGGTGGCGATTCGGTTTGGCGGGATAAGGACGGATTCATTTTGCGAAGCGTACGGGGAGCAGGCTCAAGTACCTTTCAACATTCCGAACAGTTGGTGTCGGTAATTATCCGAGGATCATTAAGGTACGTTGGAGGCGACACTAATTGGCAAACATCAGGGAAATGGCCGATTTGGAGTCCATCCAAGGGGGTGAAGCTGTTAGGGTTGGGAGATTCTCCGAGGATCCACCAGGAATTTCCCGACATTCCTCTCTAGCTTGGAGTCAAGGGAGCAGTCGAATTCTTCACGAACACTGGGCTATTAACAAACCTGATTATGATCTGCATTCAATCATCTCCACTTGCTATTGTGGAAGAGCAAAATTTGGAAAGGTCTGCCCGAACTGGAAGATAAAAAAGCTTGGAAGTATCTGATATGCCTTCGTTTCTCCGACTAATCGCCTCCAAATGGTGAAATGCTTTGCTTTTTTTGCTCCTACAGTAATAGGAAACCTACGCAGGGTAACACTATCAGTGTCAATCTACTTACATGTTCCTCTCAGTTGAACCAACAATTCTCCGAGCTCCCGATTCCACTTGTTGCGGAGAACCATGTGCATATATCCAGCCCTGATCACAGACCACGTCGATTGCTCCAATTTTCAATCTCACATATTGGTCCCAACGGTTTGGAAGAGATTAACATATATTAAGCCGCGTGTTTTCCAAGATCCTGGATTGCGTATGATATCATTAACACCGAAGGAGCATCTCTCCTGGTCAATCTACCACAGGCTCGTAGACATGCCCTAATCAAACCACCATCAACATGCTTCAAAGGACAACAACCCCGACACTAAACAACTTATTTCATTTTCGTCACGTCGTGGCTTCATTTTTCTCTGTTTGAGAAATTATAAGCTAAACTCCAGTCGATTTCCGGCATAGTCCCTCGCAAAGAACCTCGTCGGATACTCCACACCCATTTCGCCTGCCCAGTTATTAGATCCTCAAAATACAGACTTTCAAGGACAGACGAAGAGGGGCCTCACCTGAGATAGCTTCACCCGGCTTATCCGCTGACATTGGAGCCGCCTTCCCCCCGCGTACGTGATGGTCGTAAATACGTTGCTTCAAGACATGCAGCTCTTCGACCGAGCCGACCCTAAAGCACGGATGGCGCGGCGAGTCGGGTTCGTTTTCTCCGAATCCAATATGGACTTGTTGACCTCCATCTGAGATGTTGAACCTGGATCCTCTTATTAGCTAGTTTTCCGAGACAATAATAGCAGGCAATAAACTCTAAGACAGGGGAATGTACCATGCCGTCGTCTCCTTTTGCAGCGGGGGCACGGGCACCGCCGTTAGCCCCAACGTGCCCGTGTAGAAAAGGTTGGCTTCCTCCAAGGTACCGGGCGGCACGAGGAGGTTAATGTGGGCGAGACCGGCGATCATTTTGTTTACTTGGTGGTGTACCTGAAAATGGGTTGAAAGTTCAAGTGAAGGTTGATGGCAAAGCTCCGCTGAGCAGCGATGGTGTTCGCTCTTATTGATCGTCGGCTTCTGACGCTACGGAATTCTGTTCCCGGAGACGCCATCCAAAACCGCGTTTTGCGCGCATTTTGAGGTATAGGGTAGCCTTTTGAGGTCCGTTGCATTCGTAATCCTACTTGGGGGGATCTGCATGTCACAGAATAAACTCATATGGATATTTGGCTAGATTGTAAGACTGTGGCGAACTCACAGTCATTTGCCGATGTTCATGATATGAAGCTAAAGGGGTTATTGAGGTTTCGCGATGGTGGTTTGGGCTACAGTCGGTTTCTTTGATATTATATCATTAACGTATAACTGCTGAATGAGCTATTTTCTTGCTATGGATAGATGTTACCATATAATTCCAATGTAATGTTGACATTGTCCAGTCGGAATTAACTGAGTGGCGAATTCTCTTCCTGGCTTCTCCGGCGTGGAGTTCGGATAGATATCCCATGGCTGCAATCTTGTCTATCCAAATCATTCTTACTTGTAGAAAATCTTCACATTCAATTAAGCCCGATGATTCATAACTGACCTGTCATTCCTGAATAGGCAGTAAGAAATAACTTTCGGGAGTTATCGTTAAGCGGAAGCCAGAAACAAGGGACTGCCTGGTTAATTTGGTAGGGATAAATTAGAGTGCAAGCAACCTGCTGCGTCATCGCAAATTTTATTTCTACGGCATGAGCTTGGCTTTAACTACATCGATCCTGAGTGGTAGGTAGGTATGCCTGGACAGCCCGCTGGTCGGCACATCCACTGAGAAAATGTTGTCAGATCTAACCATGGGTTTGAACAGTCTGCCTTGCTTCGAGTCGAGAGAGGCATTTACTTATATCCCGCTTGATCCAAGATGATTTCAGCTATAACTACCTCCCTCCTCTGGCAAGCCCTACTCCCGAACCAAAATTTATATCTCGCCCCATAAAAGCAGATCCCTAAGAACAAGGCAAGATGCCCTCCAAAGAGACCCCATGTCAATACTCCTTCCATCCTCCCTTCAAACCAAGCACCCTCTCCACCGAGCCTCAGTTCACAACGCACCGCCTCGTCTACAACACCTCCGACGCCTCGACCCTCGACCGGTTCCGCATCCGCGAGCTCTGCGAAGGCTGGCCGCTCCACCGCGACGCCTGCGAATGGACCGATCTCCGCGCCATCTTCAGCCCCCAGGCCTTCATCAACATCAGCTGGCAGCAGAATTACCGCGACGCGGCGATCCAGACGTGGGCGAAAGGGTGGGAGAAGGGCGATTTCATCACGCATCGCGTGTTGGGACATGCGGTCGAACTCAAAGGCCATAGGGTGATTGATAAAATGAAAGTTACGATTTCGTGGCGCTTCAAGGATGAGAATGGGGTGGAGTGGGATAGTGATTGGTTTGTTTTCCCTCATATTCAGGTTTAAATTCTGGTTCTATGCTAAGCATGATCTCTAGTGACTGTCGATTTGTCTTCTTCCTCGAACGGACGATTAACCCCGGCTGGCAGATTCTATGCAATCATCCCATCTACGAGAAGGATAAGTGCGTGCCTGTGGACCCGGGTCGTCTGCCTACCATGGACTATGAGATCCTGGATCGTCAGCCGCGGGGATATAAGTATCTAGCTTATGGCATGCAGAGCTTAGGATACAAGGTCAATCAGAACCTGCGGCAGTTGTTTGGCGAGGAAAGAGACGCGCTGTACAAAGAGATAGCCGACTGGTTGAATGGGGAGGAAATCGACTTTCCGAAAGATGAGTGGTAATTGTATTATAAGTCTCAAAGGATGATCGTGTGGTTCGAGCTGGTTCAGATTTGTCGGGCGCATTTATCCTACAGATCCATACAACTCGGAGCCCGTTGTGCCGACGAATCTATTGCTTCTTGATAGGTAAGATGAATTATGCAGGATGCGCTATGCATTCAGGCCGAATTTCTGTTTGCTTCTCCGCATGAGGATCATCCACCAATCTTGGGTTGTGTCCGGGATTGTTGCATGTTGCCAGACATGGATCATAGTTGCCGTGATATAAATATCAATCACGTCACAGAATTTTCCAAATCTCAGTCAATTCATGTCGTCTATGAGTAATTTCCCATAGGCAAAACTAAGAATGAGGATTAAAATCTCGCGAAGTTTAGCACTTCCCCTAAGAACTTCACTCTACCACTCTAACTTTATGATTGCTAACTAGCAACCACCCTAACCTCTCCAGGACCTGATACCTTCCATAGATCTTTCACTTCGTTTGCATGCGGTGAGAATGCATATTTAATGCCGATCGAAACAAGCCAGCCTGGCTAGCTCAATCGGTAGAGCGTGTGACTCTTAATCACAAGGCTGCGGGTTCGAGCCCCGCGTTGGGCTTTCTTTTTTGTTTTTGCACTACCATCTGTGCAATGGTAGAGCCTTTTTTTTGTAGAAAGAAGAGGTAAAGAGGAGGAGGACCACCTAGTGTGACGATAGGAATTTATTGAGCCCATTCACCGACGGGATCACCAAGGTGGGCGTTTGGTTCTATCCAACTCCGCTCTCCATGGATTTTCCCGAGGACTATGACATTCCCATGAATTTTGTGCTCAATGCTCGCTCCTCTGGAACATCTGACTCTGCTCGATACTCAGGACATAACTATAGATGTTAGCTATTTGTCAACGGGTATCAATTTGAAAATATGGTATGTTTCCTGCTCAAGGGCCGAGACATTTAACTAACGCTGGTACTGATAGTCAAATAACTCGGGCCTCAGGAGAGATTTCCCCGCTCCCGAGGGTATCCTGAACTGTAATTGGGTCAGTTATGTTTCGGTTACCCTTCATGTTCTCTATTGCAATGGAGCACGAGTTGATGAATTGGATCTTGTTGCCTCGAAGCGTGTTTTGTCGGGATATAGAAAGCCAAAGCCGGCTCCTCGGCCGGAATGGAAGGGCGTACCAGGGAAACTTTCTTCATGAGTGACACATCTTTGTAGATATTGTCGAAAGACTCATGTGTACGAACAGCATGGTCCGTGTAAGTAACTCACAATTATCTTGTGATGCAGAAGCTGACCCAATGTTCACAACCATCTTCGTTTCTGTAGACTTCAGGTCAGTATGAGATTTATGTCTTCGCCCACGGAAAAAAAATAAAGCTGATCTTACTGAATAAACTAGATACCTAAACCGTTTGCAGGAATTGTTTCTGTAGGAAGAAAGTGGTCATCCGTACATGGGAAGGCCAAGGAAGAGGGGTAGGCGAACAGCGAATGCTTGGCATGATATTGCACCTCAGGCATCCAAATGGGTTGACTACAGTATACATATGCCATGAGATTTGGATGTCTCACACACAGCTCTTCCACTTGGTGTAGAAGGAACCAACAACTAAGATCAAAACAATAGTTGGGTAAGGCTTTTCTCTTGTATGTACCAGGGAAATTACAATAATCAGGAAAAGCTGAATCTACGGAGTAATTGTCGGTGACGGCGGAAAGACCATGGTTGTGCGTGGTCTTTAGACACAGAAGCGTGGTCTTTCCGCGCTGTGCGTTGGTGCCTTGAACATTCCAGGCAGGCTATACCCAGTTTGTTTTAGGGCCATTTCTATGGTCACAGATATCGGCGTGCTTTCTTACACTCGGCGCGTACATCATATAAGGAGACAAGAACATATAAGGGCCTGGATGTAGCCTCGTAGATTCATGATTTCATGTGCCTTCGTTCATAAGAAGTCGTACAATACTGGAGGTTCTGCTATTTCTGTCTCCTGGAACGTTTTCATCTGTGCTACTTACTCAACATGCCTCCGACGAAGATGTTGCACGAGGACGTCGATTGGAACGCCTTTGTTCAGCAACCTGATAATAAAACAGAAGGCAGATTCACGGAGGCTACAAAGCGTCGCATTCTCCATGTGAAGCTGAATTTTCAAAAGTATTGTCCTTTCTCTCTTTATGCGAATGTCTTTGCTGATTCGGTGTTTATTCCAGATTCTCGTCCAAATTGAACCCGCCAAAATACGAACACTGGATCAAAAACATCACACTGAGGCTAATCGAAGGTTTCCTGCGCTGGTATCTCAATGAGCACAACATGAAATATCAGTCTGGATTCTTGGTCTTCGCCCGATACTTCCGGATCTTCTGGTGCGAAGAGATGGACAGCCTCTTCCCTTACGACCTCAGACGCAGGATGACAAGGGCAGGTTGCTACCCATCGATCATCAATGATAGACACTAACTTGGTTAGCTGGTATGCACCACTCTTACTGACGAGTACGAACTTGATATGGGAGCAAAGACGCAGCCGCCTATCAATATTGACGATCTCCTGTACAAGACGTATCACATCATGGCACTGACTATCGTGCATTTCGCGACTGTTCGGTGCCGACATCAACACAGTTGCCTTAGGAAGATGATGTCGTCGACATCCGCACGGCCCGGGACTTTGGTTGAGTCTGTGGGATACATGAGGAGCCCCGACTCCCTAAAATGGAAGGATATCGAGCTTTACATGGTGAAGCACCCGGAGAACCCAGCATGTCAGACGCTTCTTATGAGGGTTACGCATCGGCTTAACAAAGGTAAAAGGAATAAGGGTGTCGCGTAAGTCTTCTTCCCTATTCTCATACACTTTGCTAACCCATACAAGCCCAGTCTTCACTTATACCGAAAGAAATGACAACCTTGGCCTATGTGCCATTCAAGACATATTGGAATTTGCCTTTCGTGACGATGCATTTGCTAGCGAATATATTAAAGAGCCGAGGGATGTCTGGCGCTACACCCACGTGCCAAACCACCGACTCAGCACCCCTATTCATTTCAAGGAGGAAGTCCAAGAGATCCCAGTATTTCGGCGTGCAGTAAAGGATGCAGAAGGGCGGTGGACCACTCATCCAACAAGTGCCTTGCCGTATAAAAAGCTCCAGGAAGATGAAGTCGCAACAAGCAGGGAAGATGGATCTAAGGTCCCAGGTTCTTTGTATAAATATCGCAAAGGGGCTGCTGAAAACCTTAGTAAGTCGTCTATTCATGAAAAGACAGATCACGCAGGTGCTAACATCTGTGAAGGGCACTTAGATGAACACTCCAGGAATGTTATCATGGGCCATAGCCGGAGTCACACATTTGCATACTATGTTCAGGTCCAGGACGATACCCAATCCGCTTTTATGGGTACTCCAACCAGAGACGCTTTGATAAAGCTGGCAACGAATTCGAGTTTGACCCGAGATGCATCTGTGCCGCAAAATTTGAGTGATGAAAAGAAACAAGAAATTGAGCGACTCACCGAGCTCACTCACCTGAAGCGCACGCGTGATCAACTCCGGCGCGATCTGATCGCACAATACCATCAGCTGCACAAGGCTCGAGGGACCACCCTGTATTCTGATTTCGAAAGGGCCCAGAGACAAGTGAGAGCGAAAAGGAAGAAGTTGCACAAAGCGGCCAAAGATGAGCAGCATGACAATTTCTTCAAGCATATCGGAAACCGCATCGTCGAGGGAAATTACAAGGGGCAACCCCTTACCTTCGAGCCCGACATATCGCATGTTGTTCCGGAGAGAAAAGCCCTTGCTGACCTTGAGTTCAAGAATCGGGATGTCGATAAGATCAGCGACGCAGAGCTACTTGAGGATCGTATCCGATCTCTTGAGATGCGACTGGCTCTCTATCACCTGGAGGTACCGAAGACCCTGCAGACTCGCATCAACTTCCGTGAACCTTCACCTGAAGTGCCCAGCTGTCCGGAAGTATTGGATAATCTTCCGCTTGAGAGCAAAAGTGGACTTGAATGCCCCGTATGCCTTGGTCGTCCTGGCATGCATTCACGCGCAAGACGGTACATCTATGCCCGGAAAGATACGCTGCAGAGGCACTTCGAGACGCATAACTTGAAACAGAAGTTCCCAAAAGGACGGACGTGTGATTATCCTGGATGCGAGGAGGTCTCCTACACTCTCTCCAGGTACAAGCTTCATCTGGATATGGTACACAAGATTTCTCTATGATATCATGTTTTTACCGGATTTGATTTGTTTATAATTATACCTTTCAAGACCATCTGCAGGCAAGAGACGCCGGCAGAACGGCTCCGGCCAAAATAAATAATCGCTTGTCAGTGCCATCCTCCAAAACTCACGATAATGGTCCAATGTGTGAGCTTACAGCCTACACAGAACTAAATAGTATTTGAGCACCGACTACGGCAATTCCTGAGACGGCTTCGTTAGGTGTATGTTTTTATTCCGAGACACTCACCTCCGACGGATATCTATTGTTCGCTCTTCTTAAAATTTCCTCGGCCCCTCATCTTAATCTGCTCGACCAGAGCATCATTTACAGGTGTGTCGACTCCAACCATTCTTCCCATCCGACTCCAGCATCCATTGATAAACTGAATCTCTGTCTCCCGTCCGGCGCGGACATCCCATACCATTGAGCATGTCGTATTCGCGGTCTTGGTAATAATGTCATTGACTGTTTTCTCCAGCCTCGCAACTGAAAACCGTTCATCCAACCCTTGCACGCCTTTCAGCTCAGGCAACGAAAGCACTACATTCGAGATCTCAGTCAGGATAGCCCGTCGTGTGTCCGGTACACTGAACAGAAACTCATTTTTGGCGTCGTTCAGCGCGCACAGCGGGTTGCAAAAGGCATTGACTGCGAGTTTCTCGAGTTGCACTTGCAATATGTCGGTGTAAGGGTACGATTTCAGGTTAAGCGTCGGTGATTTGGGCAGCGTTTGCAAAAGATAGTTGGATCGCGAGTCGGCCGTGTACCTTACATCGTCCCGGGGAACAGGGCCGATAGATGTCGCCGAAAATCCGGTATGCGTGATATTGAAAGGATTGTTCAGTGTGACGCCATGCGAGATAACGCCAATAAGGTAGTTTGGTCGCGTTGACGGGTCTTGGAAAAGATGTGTATTGACTTCTTCAATCATACCGGAGCCATTTTGAAGAAAGAGGATGCTGGATCTAGAGTTCAGCCGATGTGAGAGTGGCCGCAACGCGGACACGGTCTGCGTCGCTTTGACACATACGATAAGGTCGGATATCTGGCTTGTGACGGGGCAATCCGTCGGCGATTCGTCTGAGACAGGGTACCATTGGTTGTCCTGGGTCATCTCAAGGCCATAGCCGGTGGAGCTTTGATGGGCTCCGTGTCGTGACTCGAAAAGTATCTGATTCCCATTCTGGCGATATTGGTCGAGAAGAGATTTCCGATGCAGGAGGAGGACCGCCGACGGCCCGTTGGGGATTTCAGAGATTGAATGCGCAACAAAAGTTCCGATGCTCCCGAGCCCAAGAATGTGTACCCGACCTAGTGAAGTGGATGATAATCTCCTCTGGGTAGGGATGGTGCTCAAATGCATGGCGTAGCTGTTGACTCTACACAGGTTCTTGGAAGATAGAGACACAGGCAAATTCAACCATTTCATGATCGGGAGGTTTGATAAGGTTTTGGAAAAAAAGAAGGAAGGGCGAAAGGAACGAGAAACTTCAATCATATATAGTCAGAACCTTGCCACTTGCTCTCCAGGTCACTTTTCTTGGGCCGCCCAATCACGTAAATGAACCAGGAGAACGTTCCTGAATCACAGCCTATCTGCCATTGTAGGACGCGCCGTGGGTCATTCACACGCCCTATGGGTCATTTGCTTGCCCTGTGGGTCATTTTCACGCCCTGTGGATGATCGGTACTTTGGTTTTATCTGGAAATTTTGACGATAAGGAAGACAGGCTATCAAGTAGAATATTAACTTGCGGAGTCTGGTAACACTATTGGAATGGATATCTCCGTGAATTTTCAATTCTTATATCTAAGAAAATCAGATAGCCTTTATCAAAAATTCTGTAAGGAGTTATGATAGATTATTCTTAGATCGAAGTGTGGTTGCGTGGTTTTCACTCAACTATCAGTTATCCACATCCATAAACGAGGTACAAATGAATCTGTTCCAGGCCTATACCGTTATACAAAGGATAATTCAGTCACAAACGGGCTAGTATTAAGAGGCATTGCTTCAGCTGATCCAATTTGGTCGCTGGCGTATTCGCCACTCACTGTTTAACATGGCTTGGCTTTCGGGATCCGCGGAAACTTTATGGACAACGGGATCCGCGGGCTCTGAAAGCGGGATCCGCGGAAGCCGGTGGGAAGAGTACCTAGGTATAAGTTGGGGTATTCCATGATTCATCACAGTAAAGTCAGTTGAAACGGACCTTCTTTCAACGTTCGCTTGCGAGATATGGCAAACACCGCGACAATTTTACCGGCATCGTCGGAAGGATTTATATGGACTCCGTGTAATGGATACACCCAAGGTGAGCACCTCAGGTTAAATCACAACATAGAGAAAACGACCTAATATCGGTTGAGGGCTACGAACACCCGCTGTGATCCCATCGACACCAGAAGAGTCACTCCGCTCTGATTACGATGTGATTGTTATCGGGGCTGGTTTTGCAGGCTTAGCAGCTGCGAGAGATCTGGCTTTTGCGGGCAAAAATGTTCTACTGATCGAGGGGCGCGATAGAATTGGAGGGCGCACTTGGACGAGCTATGACGAACAAGGTGCCAAATTCGAAATGGGCGGTGCTTGGGTTCATTGGACACAGCCGCAGGTTTTCGCAGAGCTTCAACGATATGGCTTGGATAAGTTTGATATCACCACCCCTTCTTCAAAGAATGGTGAGGTTTTGGTCAAGAGACTCAGGAACGAATCGGTGCGGATCGAAACTCAAAAAGACCAGGAAGCCACTATGGCGGATACGACATCCGCAATGATGGAGCTTTTAGATTTTGATGGGCAAGGGGGACGCGGCGTTGTCGCATTTCCATTCGATACCCGGTCCAGTGCTGCTGCAAATCCCGATTACCTGGCCGTCGATAAGCTAAGTATTGCTGAGCGAGCAAATCAACTGGCAAATCTGAATGAGACGCAAAAGGAGGGGGTCATCGAGCTTGCCTCGTCCTTTTTCGGTATATCTGGAGAGGAAGCCTCCTTCTTAGAACTCCTTCATATGAATTCGCTGTGCTATTTCAATGATGCTCTTGTTGAAGAGGCGACAATGAAGTACAAAATATCTGATGGGACCAGCGCGTTGGCTCTGGCGATGCTTAACGACTTCAAGGGACATCGGATAATGTCAGCGCCTGTATCCGCTATCACCCAGCAGCCGGATGGTTGCATGGTGACTCTTTCGTCAGGGAAGCAATTTCTGGGCAGCAAGGTTATTTCAACCATCCCAGCCAACGTGGCACTATCTATTCACTACGACCCGCCATTGTCTGATGTGCGCCAAGAGGGTCTAAGCCAAGGTTTCACTCCTGGAAAGATCGATAAAATCCTCGCAACCACATCGAGGAACTTAAAGGACGGTCTCAGTATTACCTGCGAAGGTGGAGATATGCCGTTTCTAAGTGGATTTGCAGACGGAGTGCAACTAAAAGACCAGTCTCTCATTACCATGCTCTCAAACCCCGATGTCGATATTGATTCTTCTGATAGTACTATACGGCTTCTTGACATGTTGCATCCGGAAGGGCTGGACATAACGTCGGTACGGGCACATCTTTGGTCGAAGGACCCTTTTTCTAATGGGGTTATGGGATGCCGTAAGCCCGGATTTGTCTCTAAATATTGGGAGGAGTTGCGAAAACCGCACGGGGATCTCTTCTTCTGCGGGTCTGACTGGGCTGAGGGCTGGCGTGGGTTTATCTCTGGTGCTTTTGAGGATTCATACCGCGTGACCCGGGAAATTCTGCGCTGAAACAACGCCGCATTTTGTGAATAGATTGTACGATGAACATTGATTGTACATAGCTGCAATCTACTATGATAGTTGGAAACGTGAGATGTAATCCAGACTCGTTCCGATATCATCCAGGACAACATTTCATTACCATCAGGTCGTGAAGTAGCTGCACTTCCGATTGACCAATAAAGCTTCAGTAATTCTCACATGTGCGCACCCCCCCGCTTATCAAAGAATGTGGACAATTTGGAGGATAGGCTTGTAAAAACAAAGGCATAGTATGCGCCGAATGGAAGTTTTCGCCATGTCCACGTTAAACCAAAGTACACAATGGTGAGAGTGTACATATTACACTAGCCTGGGCGCTTTTGTAGTCGCGCCCGGCGGTGTGTATTCCAATGGCTTCAGAGACTGAGTCCGAATACAACAGTAGTAGGAAATATGTTAGAACGTGCAACCTGCGTTTAAGTAATAGCCTAGAAGATATTGTGTACAATATAATTTAACATTAAACTATGCCTCACGTCACAAATGACAATAAAATCCTTGAAAATACCAGTGCTAGAGTGTCCATTGATGGATGTCTGTGAAAGACGCTAAGACTACTAAGGTAAGGCTTGAAAGATGGAAATAGATTAGAACTATGCAAGACACCACGGTTCGTGCAGCAACAACTCCATGGTTTTGCAACGCAGTTTTCTCGCGTTGGTTACTTATACCTGGAAAATATCCAGCTGCCGTCCTTTCCGAGTGACACCCCAAGGATGGAACGATCGATGGAAACAAAGCCTGACGGCAGCATCCTTCTCTCTGGTGTGACCCTGTGACTGTGACCTTATATGTGACTAATCCGGCTGAGTAGATGACTGCTCACCTGTTGTCCGCCTCCCAAAAGCTGCAAAGCCAACGCAGATGGACCGTCCAGCCGTATTCAACCAGAATCCTGAAGTCCAACTTCGGACAGATTATCTATCTCAGATGGCCGAACTTCGAAAACTTCCATGCACACTGTCAGGGTTGTCAATGACAAACTACTACTACACGTATTGTCTCGGAGATGCATGCCTCCATGGTTTCTACCCGCGTTATCTTTGGAGAACACGAATTATCTGTCCAGCTTCATACGAAGGTTTCAAACTATCAAGGACTCCCCCATCAGAAAGGCCTTCTTGGGTCTCTCTCCAGGAGCCAATGAAGCCGAATCTCGATGCGCAGTGAACTCGTCTTGGAAATCTTTTCTTTCGGTGACAACCGTGATTGTTTTACTCATTGAGTTTGAGGTCTTTGTACCTTATGGTGAATGCACAATGTTCTTCTCTTGCCTATAACGACTGTAGTAGGAGGCACCAGTGCTTTAGCAATTGGCCACCTAGACATCTTCTGTCCATCCTGGGGCTGCCAGGCTCCTTGATTCCTGTGACTCAAAGAATATACAGCCATTTATCTTCCTGCTGAGGGCAGCGTAGATCTATTCTTAGGAAGGAAAGAGCTCTGTGTTACACTATCCGTAGGTCATGGATGACAGAGAGTCAACGTGGATCCATGTATGCTGGTCATCTGCTTCGGATCATGCGGACTCGATTCCATGGTGGATTTGTTCATGCCTTTCAGGTCTTTACCTACCTAGAGCACAACCAAAATTCCTTTTTTCTTTCGATACCCTTGCCATGTCTGTCAAAATCCCAATCCACCTTGCCGTCAAAGGTGGAGTCTAACCCTCCCCGATCCAACTAGGGCATGATGTTCCAATATTCATGCCGAATAACTGATCGATGGCTATGACAGAGTTGATTTAAGCGTCGCAACATATACACATCCTGGGATAGCACGGATTATCGAGATAATTAAGACTCGCAGAAAACCCAAGATTATTTTAGAATGTTCAGCATTTCATCGCAGGGGCTCTAGTATAGACTCTACGTGCATGAATGTGGCACAGCTGCGTCTCCGATGAAAATCATGTGACATCAGCGTTGCCTTAAGGGAGCAACGCGAGCCATCCCATTCCAGGTCAAATCTGGCCTTTCCACTTTGGGAGGTCCCAAGCGAGGATTAGAGTTCATGAAGGATCAAACGGTCCTTATATTTAGCGAGGCATTTCCCTTCATATCCCACCACCAATAATAGAGGCTAGCAGATGGATCTAATACGCTCTGACAGGACGATTATGGGGCCGGCGCTTGCATGCTGCCTATACAGTTTTGCCTAACATTCCACGTTGATATTGTCTGACGCGATGGTCTCAGAATAAGATCTAGATTTAGACGAAGAACGTAATCTTTGATCGACACTCTGTTTGTCCGATCCCTCTTTGGGCAGATAGCGAGACAAAGGTAGTGGACAGCGGGGCTAGCGCGGATGCGGATGGACTGAAGCGCAGAGCTTGTGTCGCATGGCCAGTTCCCCAGTCACGGTATCTATGCAAGACACCAAGGCCGAAGAGGGTCTCATCCGCATTCGAGCAGCTGGGGAAGAGATATTTTCTGTTCAATAAAATCCATGAGAAAGTAGAGCGTTGTAGATGTATGGCCTTACCGAGCGAAAGCATGGCCCTGAGGTTATCGGCTGAAACCGTGGCCTCACCACTGTATATGAAGGAACGTGCAAGGTCTGTCACCGTTGTCAATACACATGTTTCTCTCATCAGATTTGAGTCCGTAACAATGACCAAATGCGAGCACTCTTTCTGGCTAGAGCTTAGCCATGAAATGGCAGTGCCTCAGGTCGTTTATGGATCAAGGCTTGCTCGATTGGTGAACGAGCTGCCACAGCCGTCGGTCCAGTTGCCGCAGGTCGTTTTCTTCATGGGCCATCACCAAAAGAATAAAGCACTGCGGCAGCTGTGCAGTAGCAACTACCGAGGCCAGGGTCGCAATGCTCCGAGCGTCAATATCCGCTCTGATAACCGCACGCTGCAGTCCTTGCAGCCGCGGTTCTTCGCAGATTGCGACCCCTGCCGGTCATTGCTGTCCACACATGAAAGCTTGCGCAACTGTCACGAGGAGAAAATATACCCCGTGGAACTCCGATCCACAGAGTATTCTCTGCAGGACATCATAATTGCACGCCTGGTATTCTTGTTCACCGACGTGGTCTGTATCTTTGCAGATGACGTTGGAGGATTCGAGGGCACCCGCAAGCTCCTGACAACGTGGGCGGCGATCGGCTCAGCGTCCAGCCTACCACCCGCGGTAAGACCGAGGGTGATTGTAGTTGTCAGCCAGTCTCCAAGCATCACGGGAGGCGTGATCGATGAGAATGACTTTCTATTCGAGTTGCTTCATGCTGGCGACGTTCCTTACTTCTCAGCATTCCGGGATATCCAGGTATCTAGTCTTCCGGCCGAGGAGCTCTCGTCCGATGCTCGCTACATGACACTAGGCAGTGATGTTTCCCGGCAGCTTAGAAGCTCACGAGTTGATCGGGAACGCTATCGGAGCCTATTCTCTGCGATCCATCTCAGCGCATTTTTTGAACTTGCCTTGCATAATTTATCCGCCTCGCCATTTGCGCCCTTCGACTTCATTCGTTCTGCAAGAAATAGGAATCCCCTTGACGGAGCCTTTGCTTCCCACATCACCAGTTTTTTAAAGGTGGGAAGCAAAACAAGGACTCCTTACAATGAAATGGCTTCCCACATTGCTTCTGCAATTCTGATGGACGCGTATCCCCCGGGGATGCACTGTAAGTGGCCCCCACTTTGGCTCCTTGTCTGTCTAACGTCCCTAGATTTCCTACCTTCGATGGTTTATCGTACATTGTATCACGATCCATGTTACACCGGCCTCCGGAAGTTCTACAGCACTGACGCCTTAGCCTCTGTCCAGAGTGAACGGGTCCAACACCACCTGTCCAGGTTCTTTGAACACATGGCCTCTAACCTTGGCCCATCCTCAGAGATCCATAAGAACAACCTGAAACAGCAACGGAAGTTCTGGGCTTGGGCTAAGTCGAACAAGACCTGTCTCTTGTGCCTTAGACGCCACCCTGAACACCCTCAGGCGTGTGGACATGGAATATGTGACACTTGCGCGGAGATCTTTGGCGAACCCTCTCTTCACACTGAGCATGAGTACACTATTTGCCAGTGCATTCTATGTGGAAACGCAAAGGGTCTGACTGTGCGGCTGAAACCGCCAACCGCAGCGCCACGCCTCCTGAGTATCGACGGAGGAGGTCTCCGTGGCATTATTCCTCCTTCAAATTTGGAGCTGTTACAGAACGACATAGGCCCTGAACTTCCGCTAGCGGATCTGATTGACCTCAGGGTCGGCACGAGTTCCGGTGGGCTATATGTCATAGCAATGGATATTCTCCGCATGGGGCCTTCGGAATTTAAGAGAGTATTTCAGGGCCTCGCGAAGAAAGTTCTGGGCCCTGACCAGCGGAAGGGGAGAATAATGTCCCTGCTTTCGGACGCAACCTACGATACTAAGGCGCTTGAAAATCAGTATAAGGACGTCTTTGGACCAACAAGGCGGCTGTTTGATGCGCCAGCGACTCTTCTATCTGCCGGAAAGATGGCGGTCACGACAACTTCTATCAAAGATGGGTCGTTGTTCCTTTTCACGAACTATAATGGGGCAGCACCCCACCGTGCGGAATCCGGTACTAATACGTCTTTGTGTCCCTGAATGAAAGTGCTGATTTCTTATAGTTTATGGACGACTTCGGCCGGATGAAGACTATGGGCCCTATATCTGGCAGATGTAAGCAGGAATCCGTACCTTCTGAAGATCCCCTTGTCTTAACATGGCTTCTAGTGCACTGGCTACTTCCGCGGCTCCTCCGTAAGTGGGCCTCCCCAAAATGTCCTGTCCAATGGCTGACCTCCATAGCCTTTTCTCCACCGTCAATATTCCCGGACTGGGTACCTTCCAGGATGGAGGAATGGGACGAGATAACAACCCAATTAACATTGCGTTATTTGAGGCGAAACACCTGTGGCCTAGCGTAACTAACCCCGATGTTGTGATCACGCTCGGGACGGGAACAGAAACGTCATCTCCGAAGACATCCTTCTTTCGAAATGTGCTCTTGGATGGATGGATTCCGAGAGTGTACCGTTCATACATGAGGAGCTTTGATGGGGGTACTACGTGGAAGGAGCTAAAGATGCGGCTGGATAACAAATCACAAGAAACATACTACAGGTTCGATCAGTACTTACCCGAGGGCCTTCCCGCCATGGATGATCCAGATTGTGTCGCTGGCCTCTCCAAGCAAGTTCAGACACAGTCAGGGGAGGACCACAGTGGTGTGGTGGTAGCGCTACTCACCGCCTGCCTCTTCTTCCAGCTCGACAAGATGCCAGTGTACAAGAACGGTCTGTATCATTGTGTTGGTACGATTCGTTGCCGTGCTCCTCCGCGACCTCTTATTGAACGACTGGCCATGATCCCTGGGAGACAGGCATTCTACAAGGGCAAATTGAACCTTGGTCTCAGTCTATCAGCGGACGATATCTGCTTCTCGTGCCACCGTTATTCTTTGCCTGTCCGATTCTTTGTGCGCGATCTGGAGGAAAGTATAACGCTATCTTTACGCATTGGAGAGGCACCCCGTCGGTTGAGTGCTTTTCCAAATTGTATGCAATGGTTCATCGAAGAACAGAAGTTAGATTGTGTCTTTGGATCCCCGAACCATGACATTCCGCTCCAGGTGGAATGCCCTGACTGTGACGGTAGGGGGACCCGAGGGAGAAAACGAAAGTACATAGACATATGACCTATCCTCCTGCGTTGGGGGTTTCACTCTGTAAAGCCTTTTCCAGTTCTTTGATAGACTTCTGTAGTGCTCTATTGTATCGCAGCAGCATGGATTTGAGCTGATCATTTTGTCTCCGCAGATCATCAATCAAGGATTCATCTTCGAGGCGAAGACGCTGCATCTCACGTAATTCGGCGAGGAGGTTTGGCAGACTGGGCTCACAATTCATGGCGGATGCTTGATAATACATAATTAGCACAATTTGGGTGCAACATACATGGTCTTACCTAAGAGGTCTCTTCACGTCTAGTTGGTACTCTGTCTTACTGCGGGTTGGTTGCTTTTCGAAAACATTGGCGGGTAGTTGGTGCTTTAATAGAGATATATCCCTGTAAGCGCTATTTTTGGATATTGTCTGGGACACTGATGGAGCCGCCCGGAGATAGCCTCGGTTATCAGGTTTGGGGCCACGCTGGGAAAGCCATCTGTTGATATAAAGGGCCCTAGGCATGCCGAACTATCCAGCCAAATTCTATAACCTTGCATACAACGATGGAAGGACAATACGAAGATGCCAGCCAGTTCCTGCCAGGAATCGAGTACCTCCAACAATATGATCCACTTTGTGATCCTGATATCGACCCTACGCTCCTCCTCTCCGACTCCTCGGACTTGTTGAATTATTTCCCTCCCTTGCCATCCCTGGATGGTTTGACCGGCGAAGCCGAGACTCACTCGTCTGAGAAAGAATTGGAAGATATGCGGGCCCGAGTTGACGCTTTGGAGAAAGGGTACGTACAATCGTGTTCATGCTTGCGCTCCACTGGTTCTAAATGACCTGCAGGATCGAAACCTTAAAAGGGTATAAACCCCGCTTCAGCCTACTCTCCCACAACATAGACCAAGCTAAGAGATGACAGTACATTGGACTATCTACGGACATACCTAGCCAACATGCATCCCTGGATGCTGGAAGTGACGGAGGCATTGGACAAACTCGGGCAGGCACCTCAATCTGCAACGGAGTTGGAGTTTCCCGAGAAGAATATCTGAGTAGACTGGCAGCGTCATCAGCAAACCTCCAGTTTTGTAGCTCTTTTGTTTTCGCACTTGTTCCTGTTTTGTCTTTTCTTTTACCTCCAGTATTGTCAAACGTTCACGTGTTATCTATCTACTTAGGCAGCTGTCAGAATGGTGATATTGACGTGCGACGTGCATTAGATTTGGGTTCAGACTAACGTACAATGAAGCATTGGCCACACCACAGCGGTTACACCAGCTGTTCCTCCGACATGCTCGCCTGTCATTGGCTGTCTTGAAGCTCTCATGACTCGTGTCTTTTACTTGTCAGGATGCAACAACGGCTCCGCACAATCAGACCCACATAGTTCGTATGGTGTTGCCGCCAACGCCAAACCTTGTTGCTTGTCGGAGCTTCTACCATTTATCTATACCATGAGGTAAGGATCCGGCGCCGAAATCTTACAGAGCTTGTCAAGTGCAGTATAGGGAGCAGAATGGATTGCTATATCTTCCCAAGAGGTCGGGAGATTAGCTCACGAGGCAAACCATGCATGCCGGTCCGAGGCCTGTTTTGCACTTGTCATGATAGCCCACAACATAACGGTGTGATTGCAAAAGCCGACTTGATCAAGTCACTTCATGTGCAGGAATAGAACGCAACCTCTGGTAATATGTACATAGCACAACAGCGAACGGGAAGAGCAGGAACTAGTTCCAATACGCCTAGAAAGGATAAAGGTCTGTAGCAAAATCAACCAGAATCAAAGCATCGTCATCCTAATCCCCTGCACCATGTAGTCGTCAATAAAGCAATGTGACCTTCCAGGTTCCTGGCAACAGCAACACAATAGGAAATGGGAGCCTTCGAGATGAGCACGATCCTCGGGGTCCGTGTACTGGCCAGGTAGCACCTGCCTGCAGGCAAAACAAGATGGCTTGCATCGTCGGCTTGCCAGATACTCGTGCGCCAATTCTTGGCTTCCTCTCGCTTGCACGAGAACAGAGTCGTGGAAGAACTTGTTAAAGCAATCGTAGCAGTAAGTGTGGCCACAGCCCAGCGCCAGATCGACGACCTTACTATAACATATCTTGCACTCATAGTATGCTTCCAGGGTCCGACCTGCGCTTTCTTAGTTATGCAATACCCTAAAGGCAATCAGTTTCTCACCTTCCGGTGCAAGATCAGACCGGGCTGGGCTTGCTGGTAAGCTGGCAATGAGCTCAGTCGCATCACTCGTCCCCACGGAGACCGCATCGATCTCAATCGGGTTCTCTGGCCCACTATCAGTTCATCGTCTCCAGCAGGAGTACCACTGCTACAAACCGATACTGTCACCGGGACGGCGCAAATCATGGGAATAAACAACGGTGCTGGCCTCTGTGTCACTGAGAGCCTCGACATCGATCGGGTTCTCTGAAAATTGTCAGGGTATACGACAAAAACCGCGAAACTGCCGCTTACGACTGCTAGACCCAGGGAGGAGATATGGCAAAGTTGACAAGCCCCCGATGTCCTCAGAGACTTGACGGTAACCATGGAATGAAACCCGAACTTCGGACGGAGCCTGAACTTCAGACGGAACCTGGCCTTCGGACGGAATCTGGACTTCGGACGGAACCTGGACTTCGACCAAGACAGGATTGTTAAAATTGAATGATTGGGACTGGGGCGTGAGCTGAACATAGATAGGAATGAAGAGAGACATGATGATGGTATGAGAATGAGAGACCGCTGGGCTTGACCGACGTATGTTGAGATGGATTGGAAGCTGACCACAGCCTGGGTCATTGAAGGGATATTTATACTCGCCATTGCCCGCACCCTGTCCGAGGCTGAACCAATATCCATGTCGACTTAGCCTCACCTGAAGCATACCATGGTATCAGAGTATGCCTGTCAGGATCAATCGGTTGTTGTACACCAATTGATCAGAACTGGCATATGCCACTCGGAACAGTGCTCTGGCTAGCCGACAGATCTGGGCGACGAGTGCTGCCTTGTTCTATAAATGGGGTGCCCTTGAGTCCCGGAAGATGCTCATATCCAACCATCCAGAGACCAGCAGCCTGACTGTAGATGCGCCGGACACCAATCAGTCTTACAAGCATGCCAAAATGCTCTGCAAGCGATCGAAGAGGGACACAAGGCGTATCACCCATCGCGATAGCGGACAGGGGCACAAGCCGATCAACCAAAGGTATACGCGTACCACCGAGATACCGGTATAGGATGCATAGACCCTGGCCTCATTGAGTCTGGCTGAGACACTTGGCTCCGCATGATGCAACTGCGTGCATCACCAGCAAGGCCCATTGGAAAGAAGGTCGATATGCGTTGCCTTGCCAGTCTCACTTAACGCCCACCCCAAATATGGATCAGCGGGATCGAACTCATGTATTCCCTTTCTATACATGAGGCCTCAGGCGACCGTCATGCCACATCCTTAGACGGACAAGACAATCTCCTCGTCCAAAGGTCTCCGCGCCTTGTATACACGCAGGGTGTAGAAAAGGTTCCTTCTTGGATCCAGAGCTTCCGCCACTGCAGCAGTTGCGAGCGACCGGATATCGTCATATGACCAGCCATACACACGGCTGAAAGGCGCCATACAGAGTGGCAGGACACTCTCGGCAAACGCTGTCCTGTACCATTGGATGGTTGTCTTATCGACGGACGGCAACCCCCAAGGGTTCAGGGGTAGCACAAATTCTTCACAGCTGATCTGGTGAAACCCAGTATTGCCCAGCCACCGCCGTACTTGTCCTGGGCTATACTCGATCTCCCTATGGGTTTGTTCTGTCGCGGCCTTCAGGTTGTAGTATCAAAACTGGAGCGGGCCGAATCCCAGAGGTCGACCGCAGCAACGAGGCTCAAAAATTACCTCGAGCTGTTCAAACCAAGCACCGCAGTTTAGATGGTCGTATATCCTCTTGTAAAGACTTGGCCAATTGGTGACGCTGCCATATCCCATTCGCATATGGATAACATCCCATTTTCCTTCTCCAAGTAACCAAGGACACTCATAGTCGAAAGGGACCCTGAAGTGGCAATTCGGCGGAGGAGATTCTGGTTGGAGTGCAGACAAGTCGACCCCCAGAACATAGGCCCTTGGATATGCCTTCGCCAGTTCAATCGTCCAGAGGCCGGTCCCACACCCAAGATCTAAGAAGCGACCATTTTCGCGATGGGGGACGTGCATCAGCCGGTCGGAGCGCAGCGCTTTCAGCACCATGGTATGGATGAAATCCAGACGGTCCTTCTCAATTTCATCGCATGGTAGCATGTAGCTCCCTGTTCCTTGTCCCTGATATAGACGGCCATTCTCTTGGATTGCCGTTCGTGTCTGGTGCGCGCTGCCCCGTGTGTCCTTGGCTAGGAACTCTGCCCCTTCCTTATTGTAAACATTGGCAACCAGGGAGAGGATGCCACTGGAGTCGCAGACGACCTTCAGGGGCAGATTGTCGGGGAAAGGCGGATCCCTATCTGAGTTGGATGCTGTCTTCCGGTTGCCATCTTCGCTATGGTAACCCACCAACAAAGCCGATATCAAGCGATTGTGCCTTAAGATTGACTCCCGCTTTCTTCCACGCGACCGATGTCTTGGGTAAGGCGTAAGCTGTAGGCTATTCTGGTCGCGAATTTCTAGAGAGGTTGGTAAGATTATCGTACAAATTGGAGGTGATATGGCAGAAAATACTCTCTTTTGGCCGTCTGTGAGCCTCAATCATCGGAGGTTCCGAACCAGCAGGCATTGCGAGCGAACGACGTTGGTCAGATAATGGCGCGGGAAGACGAGCCGTTCTTGGATGTGAAATAAACAAAAGCAGAAAATTCCGAATTGGAAGTTTAGTTGGTTCCCCTCGCTCACTCAAATATATTCCCCAGAGAGGGGAACCAGGAGAATGAATCAAATTAGAGCTTCCCTTTGTCTCTAAGGCCAGCGGCTACACGATGCTCTTAAGCTCGGCCCAAAAAGCGGCGACCAATGAGAGAGCGGCGCAGGTTTTGGTGGCGTTATGGTGGCGCACATTATTTGACCCGCTGAAGTCTAATTCATTATTAATGCAGCCTTTTTGTTTATGAATACCGAGAGAGGGCACATCGAAACTCCTCCAATTCAATATAGTGGAGTAAGCAAGACAGAATTTGTTGCAAAGTACCTTGCGATACTTGACTTGTCAACGAGCTCAAGAGTATGAGATTGACAGCAGAAATAATAATCAACATTAATATACCGGAAAGTATCAGAAAGCGTGTGTGGACTTAATTCAGCATGCTAACTTAGTTCAAACACACAAGTGCGAATCAAAGACCAACTACGCCAAACGTATGGTGTAGACGACGATGGCACAGTCCTCCAACTAGCGTACTTCTCGCGTAGCTTTGAACGGTAGCAATAAAGAGCACGAGCGAGTCACCAATGACCTGTGAAGCTGTCCAGTTGCACTGCACAAAGCAAATACCCAATTAACACGCTCTGGCTAAGTCACCCGAACATGGCGAGGTTCGCCTCGCGGCGCCCAGAAACCGTCCGCTTCGTGAGGAGGTTGATACTCAGACTCCTTTAGATCCACACTGTCGTCTGAAGCTAGAACTAAACCTCTCACTTCATCACGCGTCTCTGGATCCGCGGACACTAAAGTAGATGTTGGTGAGACTCTCTCTTAGCCAGGCATGGCTACTTACCACTAATCAGTAACCGACCGGAGCAGGATGACCTTTCCTCCTCGAGGATTGATTTGAGATCGGGCTTTCCGTAGTAGACGGTTCCTCGGCGGCCAACGTGAACTTTTTCAGAATCGAGTGATACGGTCTTCTCACTACGAAGGATGAAGAGCGAGTACCTGAGCGCCTGAGGTGCGTGAGCTGGTGTATTTCAACAGACTGGTTTGACCTACCATGGCTTTATCTTCATCGAGAAGTCTGTCCATCCAGTCACAGATCCAGTCTTCGTGGTCTGCAGTCTGTCAGTTCAGCCTTGGACCGGAGATGATGTGAGCTGGTACACTCTTCTTCCATTTGCCATATCAGTGTCATCCTTCTGGTGTTACGACCTGGCAGAGCCCTGTGCTCCCCTTGCAAGGCACTTTCGACAAATGTCTTCACGTAAGATAACTGTCCGGCAATCCCGATGCCCGTTGCAACGATGATGATGGAGCTATATTCGTCCGTATCAAAGTGTTCGCCGTACGGCCCATCGACGAGGATACGAACACGGTTATGTGGAGTTCCACACAAAGCTCGAGTAAATCCTGATCGAACCTGTGCAAGCAAGGATATACTTACTGCCTTGCCGTCTGGTCCTGCCTCCCACCATGCGATATGAAAGGGGTGGGACTCGGCAAATGAGAGCGATCTTATCCCGGGGGCTCTCACATATATATATTGGCCCTCGCGGACTTTCCAGGGCCGAGGAGGTCTAAATGTAAGCTCAACAGCATCCTGGTGTTTAACAACATCAGCCAATGCTAGGGACTGCCCCGCAGCACTGTTGCGAAATATCTGGTAAGTCGTGTGGATGACCGTATTCAACAGAAATGCTGCTAGCCCACCGACGAGGCTGAAAGCCTCAAAGCCACGCCAACGGCGTAGATGTAGCCATGTCCCAACAATCACCAAGATGCCAAGGGCTGTATGGCCTTTCAGGAAGATCTCATATGATAACCGGCGGACCCACGGTAGGGCCAGGACGAGTAAGGCCGAGAGAGCAGCGGCTGACTTTATTGGTTCGTTAGCGTTGTCCAGGTCCTCGGAGCAGCGAACTTACCATTAGACCATAGCGATGAAACTTGTTGGCCAGATCAAAGGCCCAGCTTTGCAGTGCAAATACGATGTGCAAAGCACTTTGGACGAGGCTCATTAATCCAAGGACACGATGAAAGCGGCGATACGTCGATAAGGAAAGGCCAGATATCTCAGCAGCTATACTTAGCTGCGGAACAAAAACCACGGGAAGCAGATGTAGAACTGCCAAAGATCCAGCTCTGACACTAGCTTCTGCAAAGTTTGAAACACCTAGAATATTGCAAGTGAAGGTTCCACCAAGGTATACTGCGTATAGGATACCATCCAACCTTGTGAAGGGTCCCCAAAGGCGACGCCGACGGAGGAGATATGGGAGCGCTAGATGTCTGAAGAAGATATGTCCAAGGTGAGGGTTAAACACATACTTGATAAAATGAGCCCATAATCTCCGAAGCAGGAAAAGCGCAGCAATTCCCGCTGCGACGTATCTGTAGATCACCAGCACTAGGCTCATGGTCAATGAGGATGCTTTGAGATTAGTAGCCTCCGCTCCGAGGCAGCATTTTATATGCAGAGGTCACTACTCGAACAGGGAAAACCATGGTGTGCCACGGTAATAGGAGCCAATGTCGGAGCGGGAGAATGGGCTTTTATCTGAGATGCAAATGTGGTTTCAACCTCGAAGGGACCACAATCCATGAAATCATGGCCTGCCACAGGGCAGCTAATGCCGTAGGGCAGACCACAGTCCATGAAGAATCATGGCCTGCCACAGGGCAGTTTATGCCACAGGACAGCTAATGCCATAGGGCAGACCACAGTCCATAAAAAACCATGGCCTCCCACAGGGCGGTTGGCGCCACAGGGCAACTCATGCCACAGGGCGGTTCGTGCCGCAGGGCAGCTAATGCCGTAGGGCAGACCACAGCCATGAAAAACCATGGCCTGCCACGGGGCTGCTGGCGCCACAGGGCAACTCATGCCACAGGGCGCTTCATGCCACAGGGCAACTGATGCCGTAGGGCAGACCACAGTCCGTAAAAAACCATGGTCTCCCACAGGGCGGTTGGCGCCACAGGGCAACTCATGCCACAGGGCGCTTCATGCCACAGGGCAACTGATGCCGTAGGGCAGACCACAGTCCGTAAAAAACCATGGTCTCCCACAGGGCGGTTGGCGCCACAGGGCAACTCATGCCACAGGGCGGTTCATGCCGCAGGGCAGCTAATGCCACAAGGCAGACCACAGTCGGCGAGAAAACCATGGCCTACCACGGGGCGGTTGGCGCCACAGGGCAACCGATGCCGTAGGGCAGACCACAGTCCATGAAAAACTATGGCCTGCCACAGGACGGTTGGCGCCGCAGGGCATCTAATGCCGCAAGGCAGACCACAATCCGCGAGAAACCATGGCCTGCCACGGGGCGGTTGGCGCCACAGGGCAGACCACAGTCCGCGAGAAACCATAGCCTGCTGTCACAGTCCACGCCATAGGGTAACATCGAACATTACAGTGCGGGCGAGCCTCTGCTGGGAATGTGCTCCGCATGTTGTTCATATAAGCAGGGAGGGACACCTGCCCCTCATCAAGGTGGAAATTTCAGCGGGGCGTGTTCACGCAACAACCCAGACCTTTATTCTACAAAAGCCAAGTCGTTCTCAAAGGTAGCACTCAGGAACAGAATTACTTGACATTTCTCAATTATAGCAGGCGTGATGATATGAAACCGGGGGAATGAATTACTTTACACTCATGGCAGCGGCGGACAACAAATACCACAATATGAACTGTATGATGACAACCGGCATCTGCTTCGCCATCTAAGGATCTAATCCACCCACTTCCACCGTACCAACCATAGTATCCCGCGCGAGGCGAATGTATGGTTTAAGGCAGTTGGGTCCTGGAGAGAGCTGGAGAAAATCATCCTAGTAAATCTTCAGAACTAGATCGACAGGGTGTATTTGAATGTCCTGGTTACCTTTGTGATCACTTCAATCGGGTTCGACTTAGTGTGTTCCACGAATTTCGTCAGAGCCGGATCCCATGGACCAAGTCTCAATGATTCTCCCTTCTTCAGGGACGTGACTGGCTCGAGGCATTGAATCACCATCCGACCAACCGAGCGGATGTCCTCCTGAGCGTTGTCTTGACTGATCCTTTGTAGCATACACAAGCCGATATTGGCTGTAATGGTCAGCGTGGATATTGGGAGCATGGCAGAGAGTAGACGCACCTATTTTGACCGAGCCATTCATAGAGAGAAGGACATTTCTGGAACTCAGGTCCCCGTGCGCAAACCCCAGCGTCTGGTGTATATATTGGATACCATCCAGTACTTCACGGCACCATGAAGCCACCTCGTACGCCTTTAGCGGACTGAATGGAGTGGAGAAAATGTAGAGCAGGGGAACGTCCATCAACTCGTAGATGAAGAACAAATCACCGGCGTGGTAAAAGCATTCGTGCAATGCCACGACATTCTTGTGGGAAACCCGAGTAAGTCTTGACAGCCACTCCTTTTTGTTGACCTTCACTTCTTTTGAATGGAACTCGGAGAAGCTGTTGTCCTTTCTGTGGATCACGAGACCTTGGCCGGCAAGATTCAGTTTGTAAAGCCTTTGGTACAGTTGCCACGGTTCAGCCTCCGTTTTCTTTAGAGACTCGTTGTACTTGGTCGCCGACTTGTGGAGTTTTCCATCGTGGTTTCTTCGGTCCTTGGGGTCGTCGACTTCTATTGCTCTCTTCAGGGAAGACGTTTGGCTGAGATTCGTTCTGGGGAAAGTAGATATTCTTTTGTCCTGGCTGGATGTCATGGCGGCCCCCCTTCGGAGAGAGGAAAAGAAGTCTGACCATTCCCTGAGTTGGGGGGGAGAGAGGGAATTTATTAACATTATCATGGCCGTATGCTATGGTGTCTAAAGATAGAAAATTTAAGCTTCACGTTTCGTATAACCGCGCGGCTGCATCATAATCGAGTGCGACGGCGATGCTCCAATTAACGCATGCTCCACCCATCCTGAACGTAAATATGTGGTGGCATCTGCGGCGAATATATGCCAATAGAAGTTTAGTTCCAAGCCTGTTTTCAGAAAACTGTGGTGGTGCCTCTCTTGACCAGAACTACCAGGACGCCCGAGCGAACTATCTAGCTGGATATCCTAGCAGACTGGGTCCGGTGCCATCCTTTCTGCCTTTTGCACTTTCCAGTGAGGTACTCTTGGGAGAGTAATATATACAAGAACAGGATCTTTTACAAGATTATGGTAACAGGCGTGCGGTCAAACTGATGTAGTGTCTAGCCCTAAGTCTTAGCCTATTCTGCGCACGGCATTAACTCCCACCTCTTTTCGACGATATTGAACCGTGGTAAGGCAAGTTGTTCTGTTGTGCCAACATCCTGATCGATGTTTAATAATTCTGCGCCGTATCCGCTACCCCAGACGCCCAGGAAAAAGAGCTCTGGTCCCCGGTTCAGAAAGGATACGACGTCTTCCACTGGCAGAAGTTTAAGGTTTTCGCCGGCTCCAGGCACTTTGGTGGCCTTTGCAAACCAAAATTTCGCTAGCCCCGGGAGCAAGTCGGGGAGTTTATCAAGGCTCGAGCATAAGAGGCAAAGGATCTCCTTTGTATCTACGTGGTAGAATGCGCCGTAAGGAACATTCCCACGTGCTTGCCTGCGAAAGAGAGCATGAAACCTTCCCGGGGATAGTGTCGTCGAGTAAGTACATGCATCCACGGTCTGTGATTTGATACAGCCAAGTGCATCATTAGTCAGGGATGTACTGACTTGAGTTTCGGCTTCCGTATATTGGCGTGCTTCGTCGAATAGAACCAGTTCTTGATGGGATGGTTCAGGCACCTGATTGATGGGCATAATTGCGTTCACGCTTCCGATGTCATTAACTAAGGCTGGCAGTACGTGCAACTGGAGAGGCGACATATCCTGAGTTTGCTCCGTCGCAGAAAGGTTTCTAGTTGGCATCTGAGGCTCTTCGCTCATATCTGTGTCATCGTGGACCACTGTAGTCATTGGTCCGGGTCCGATCATCTCGTTCGGTAGAGGCGCATCAGCTGCAGGTTCTAGGTTAACCGAGCAGTCAGATATGGGCTCTGTCATGCCAGGGCTGTCTAGAAATCCAGGGAAAAAGGACGTGAAGAAATCTCTCTTCACAGCGAATGTTGACAAGTCTTGACCATGCATGGTGCTTTGGGGGTAGTATATATGCTGTAGGAACAGATAGTTCTGGTCCGAAAAAAAGCTTCCAATATCCGTCATACCACAGCGTCTGTCCAGTGACCAGTGTTCCTGGACATCTATGGCGAGAGCAGGACATTGCTGTGGGATTCGCCGCTGCTTTATATTCTGAAGTACGCCCGCAACCTGAGTGCTGCACTGTGTAATGATAGACGGATCATACTCGAAATCCCTTGGTGGTCGAAGGCGCGTCAGGAGGTTATAGATAGCGGCGAACTCTGGGTTATACTGGGCAGGTCTTGTAGAGATGCGAGAGCCAGGCAGGATGAGCCCAACCGTACGAGTGAGTTCTTTAAACTGAATCCATAGATTTTGGGAATCGGGCACCTGTCCCAATGGCGAGTAACGGTTATGACCAAGTGGGGGCGCATCAGAAAGACCATAGAAGTGACGCATGGCAAAGAGAAACACCTGCCGATATGCCGACCAAAAGCCATAGTCATCGTTCGGGTGTGGCCTTTCCTCAACGCAGCTCTCGGAAATCTGGATCGGGAACCGGTTATTCTGTGGGCGAACATAGTAGCGAAACATTGTCTGACGGATTGTTCCTCTGAATCTGGGAGGCAGGAGTCGTTTAATAACGTATACCATGGGTCGGATGTATTTAATGTTTTCGAGGAACATCCGTAGAGACGGGATAATCCCAGTATACCCTAGGGCAGCCTGCCGGAGTTCTGAACGGAGCTGGGTATCTGAACAGGCAGCGAACACGGTATTCTCGTCAAACAAATGATCTATGTGCAAGCGGTCGGCCTTAGAGAGAGAAGGACATCGTCCTTCAAGTTGCTCAACTGTCTCGGTGTCTAGCAGGTGCGGCTGATTGCAAGTCAGGCTAACCCAGGCGGTATTGATGTGACTCAGACAAGAGGCAAGTTCCTGGAATGATTAGCTCGCCTCTTCTAATGCTATCTCGCCGGATCATTCTCACCTCTGGGATTTTGAGACTGGATAAATGCAGACCCATGAGCCAGGGGCTCCAAAGCGCAGGGAATTGTAGGAGATTATCAAGGCTCTCGCGGAAGGCCGCGTGGTTGTCAACCTTGGGTTGATAGATTTCCTTGAAATCACGGCATTTCGATGGTGACCACTTCGCCAACCATTCCCCCGCAGCCTCCATCTCGCCGCGCCTCTGATAGTATCGCACGCTCCGGAATATATCGCCGTCACTGAACTCTTGAGCGCTCGCCTCAGACTCGCGCAATTTTCTCCGCGCGGCGGGAGTTAATTTGGTGGCATCATAGAGGCATAGAATCCACCAATGTTCGTTCGGATTGAGCCACTCGGCGGCGGCTGACAGTCGGTGCTGACCTTGGAAGCAGTATATGGAAAACCCAGGAGGCAAGCTGATGCTTGCTGGGTTTTCCAAGGACAATCTAGTCAGCGAATTTGTAGCCATTATCTGCTCAAGATCCGGAGGTGCCATTTCTGCAGGAATCCATGTTAGAGGATCCAGCCTGCGACAGCCTTCCTGATCAAAGCGATGGATCAATCGGCGGACATTGCCTTGGTTGAGGGTTCGTGATCCGCAGACATCCAAACCATCAAACCGCAGTGATTCAAATTGACACACTTTCACCGAACCCACCAGCGCGCCCTGTAATTGCTGCGCGACAGCTAGATCTGTAGCGGCCATGACGTTGTGGAGAATGCTAGCTAGAATGAGCACGTAGCCACTCTGTCATTAACCTGCCGGGTCCCATATGACAGGCCACGGTAGTTAAGGCAGAAAATCCGTGGCTGTGTTCAGACAGGCGGTTACCGGGGGTCGGCGCTGGACCCCCAAGAGTGGTGGTGATCTTAGCGCGATGGTCGAGTGAAACGAAACCCGGCGCCACCACGCGACAAATCAATAGCCATGAGAATAGACACTGGAACCATGGCGTTTCTACGGGTATATGAAATTGCTATGGCTGGGGCCGCTGGTTATGGGTATACGTCTGTTATACGTCCCACAGGAAAATCAGAGTCAACCACGCCACAATGGAATCCCCCACACAGTGTCAATGGATAGGGCCATTTCAGATAATGCGTTGGCCAGATCAGCCAGGCACATACGGCCACGGTAGGCTTCCTAATCAATCCATCAAATAGTGAGGCCACGAAACTGACTGGGTGTAGCGAAACATAGTCTTACCTTGGAGGATGCAAGTGTGAAAATATCGTGGTTCGGTAGCATAGCACCCCAAGCGCATACCCTTCAGGCTGCTGCCGGGGGGGTCGGAATACCGGTCTTGCATTGGTTTGAGACGGTGGACGACAAGGAAGTGATGATAATGGATATGGTGGGACCAACGTTGGAAGAGCTCTTCACAAAGTCGGGTCGTTATTTTGGCATGTGCGCCCTTCTTCTGTTTGCCGAGCAGATGCTTGCACGTGTGGAATTTATCCACTCCAGGAACATTTATCATGGGAGCTTGGATCCGTGGTCTTTTGCCCTTGGCAGCTCCGGCTGGCAGTCACAACAAGCTCTCCTGGTGGATTTCGACCCCCAGTACGCCCAATCGGCCTCTGCACAGGATGATCTTTACGCCGTCGCAAAAATATTGGCCTACTTTTACGGCAACTGGAGCTCCTGGGATGAATACCAGCACATGACCGGATCGAATATTCCCCGGGATACCGCTCCAGTCATATGCACTTTCCTGCACAAGGCGTCTGCCAGCAGGACCGTGGATTATTCAGCATTACGATCGGTCTTTCGCGAGGCCAATTTGGACCTGGCCACTCATCTTGCAATAGGCCTGGATTTGAAAGGGCCTAGAGCAATCTGCGAAGGTTTTAATCTTGATCCCGGCGTCTTTTCGACGATGGACACGAGATCTCTCTTTGAAACCTTGAACCAGAAGCTTCTCGAGGCTGGAAAGCAGGTCGAAACGCTTCGAGGCATTGCTACCCAGTCGGGATATCCACAGCTTCTTGTATGCCTGGATGAGATCATCACTATCTACGGCGTCCTCATTACCCGTGACCGTCCGTCAGTTCAAAAGGAAAGGCAAGCCATGGGAGCATACCATCTACCGAATCGCCTATGGAGAGACCTACGGTGGTTCATGAAGAGCACCGACCACGAAAGGATCGAGATCCGACTTGCACTGATTGAGAAAATATACAAGTATATTGCGGTCCTATACGAAGCAACCCCCTCATATCAAACTTTCTGGACAGGATATCTCCTGGCATTGGCTCGTACCAGAAGGGATGTCGAACCTGGGTCGGGGAAACCTGCCTGGACTCAAACCGTGTGTTACTGGCAGAACCTGTCCAACGTGTTGAGAGCTGGGGATCGTCTCAAAGAGTGAGGCATTTTTTGATGTTGTAATAAACTAGTCCTGCATCCAGAAATTACTATGAACATTTGCCTCAATGCGAATATACAATTGCACGCCTTCACTGTCCTGAGTGTTCTGTACCATGCCCACTCCCGCTTGTATCATTCCGCCTCGGCATGCCATCCAATTCCAGAGGTGGCGGCTTCGAAATAGTGAAAAGCCGTTTAGTACGCGGTTCATGGTCGTCACTCTGTCTCGTTGACTTAGTTTCGTCGAAGTCGATTGGAGTCCAAGTATCGGTCTTCGGCCAATGGTCCGCCTTTGCAATAAGCGTTAGCAACCAAGGTTTAGATCTTGGTTCCGGTATACATACAACATCATTTTTTGACGGCACCCAATCATCGCTAGGGTGGGAATTATAAGTCGAGTATCGCACGGTGGCATGACGACCCTTGGTCACAGTCATCACCAGGGCGTAAACGCGACGCTCCCTTCCAGTGTCCAAACCATCCAGGAAAAGGTCGTTCAATCTCTTATAGGATCCACGCTTCCCACGACGGAATCTCTCCCTGTCTGCTTTTGCCTTTTTCTTTGGATCAAAGTAGCCACGCGTTTGCCGCTTCAATCTCCAAGAGGCAGAGCTTTGCTGGTCGCGGCTGGTATTCTCCATGGTATGTAGTTAATTTTTAGGGATGACTGGGAGGAAATCTGATAAAGATACTGGTAGCAAGCATTCTTTATAAGCCACTCTAAACAGGAGGCCACGGTTCTTCTGTAGACTGCTATTTTCGTCGGCGTAACGACGATGGTCTCAGGCGGCACGAGCAGGGACCCACCATCTGAGCGCTTATTCAGACCAGGGCCAACACCAAACGAAAGGAATCTGAGAATGGCAAAGTATTTGTGTACTAAGTAGCTATCTACGTCTCCTATCTTGAAGGGCAGATAGAGACGGACTGTGCGGTCTTCCATTGTCAAATTGTTGTCCCGCGTTCCTTAGCCTTCTGGAATCTTGGAGTCGTCGTGGAAGTTTGGCGGCAACATCATCAGTTTTAAAAGACATATTTAACATCATGGCCACAGCCTGGTGGATCCCCCTTTTTTTTGGACCTCTCACGTCAAACACTTTGCTACCCTTAATTCCCATAGTCGCGCTGGTAGAACCTCCAATAGAATTTACTCCCTGAGACAGAATAGTCACTACTACTGCAGAGCTCTTCAAGCATGCGGGTCTTTGCATGTGCATCTGCAACCTCCTGCATTAGCCTGGAGACCCCGCCCCAAGACGCAGATCACTAATCGTATATAGGTGGGAAAATGTACAGATAATGGTTTGAAAGACGACAACATCATAAACATGCACATGTGACATTTGGTGGCCCTGTTGGAATCCTCTGGGTCGCCTCTCGTTAGAAACCTCAGTCAGTCGTAGATGGGATGTCTACCTAGCGTACCCGTAATTTCCAGCATCATGGCATCCTCTAATCTTGATCAAAACAAGAGGCTTCGACAGAGCTAATACTGTATCAATGATTCCAGCCTAGAAGTCCACTGGAGTCGATGAAAATGAAGCCTTCGACTCTATCCATACATACTCTTTCTTAAGGCGCTTTGTTATGTTAGTATGTCTGCCATATCGTTGTTACAGGCTTGTGGCTCGGCACTGCCATTCCAGTCGCCCAGGAATAACGAGGACAAAACGAAATAGGATTCCAGCGAGCCTGGATCCAAGGTGTCTGAAGTAGATTGCAACCCATCATGATGCACTTGTATGATATCAGGGACAGGAAACTCTTTAAACTTTAATTCGCCAGGGCACAATCCTGCCCATTCGCCCGCGGCTCTATCAGCCTTCTAAAAATTAAAAATTCGGATATTTTCTGCTGCGGTAGGATCGAACCGCCCGCTATACGTGAGGATCAAATCGCGGTAGCAGGCTACCTGGAAAGTGTGGCACCAATCTTTAACTATTACAACGCGTCAGGCCTTCTTACGACAAAGTGGTCTTGGTGAGTCATTTTTTTTTTTTTTTTTTTTTTTTCAACTTAAGAAATAAAGAAAGAAGGTCTCTATCCACTGTAATATTAAAACCTTGGTTCACTTCGGGCCCTTCGAGGATGCTTGACATCGACTTCAGGTTTAAGAATGTGACGTAGCTCTAGGATTTCCGAATCCTTTTTCGCTAATAAACTTCGATATCTTGCCTCCATTTGGATTTCGAGGTCAAGAATGACATCCGTAATCTGTCTAGACCGATCCGTCATCTCCAGTTGACTATCTTCTTCGAGAAGCATTGTATCCACCAGAGTATCAACTAAATGGAATCTTCTTTGAGTTCGGTCCAACTCCAGGGCAATCTCCTTTAACTGGAGGTCTTTGACGACCAGCGTTCTTTGTGCCGCAGCAAGGGCGGCGCTGCAGGCTGTCAGCTCTTGCTGGTGACGCTCAGGCGCAGCAACAGCATAGTGCCGTATGTTCCGCTCAGTCTCCAGATCCCGCCAAGCCATGAGAAGCCGTTGGTTGTACGACGCATTCAGACCTTCTAGCTCTTCGATTCGAGCAGCCAAGCGTTGGTTTGTCTGCGAACTGTCGTTTTGCATCCGTTCTCCGCGAGCTACCGTATGACGAACGACTTGCTGCAAGTACGTGATATGCTGTCGGAGAAAAAGCTTGCAAACGCATAGTTAGCAAGTGCAACTATAGTGGTTAGGATATTCACCTCTGATGAATATTTCGCGTCGTTATGCGCCATGATGATCTGATGTTCAGACCTGAAAATCCCGCTTCGAGTCTGTAGGATAAGGGACACTTTCCTCAAGCTGAGCTTTATAATACTGACAAGAAGCGGTTTCTGATGCTAGATATGCACTTGCGGCCACGACTAGTCGATAGGATAGAGTCGCATGCAAGCGCCGGCTGCACATCTCCTCCAATCAGAACCTTAGAACTCAGCCACTATCACTTCCAGAGGGATCTACATTCCTTCGAGAACTCTAATGTCTTGCCCGATAACCCCACAAGGCCAACATTTCGGACCTTCCGATTGGCCTCCCAGAGTACTTACATTTTAGCTCATCACCGTGTCGCCCGGAGCCTCAAAACAAACGACCTACTGCGCCTCACATGACGGTCATGATATGCGGCACAGTTCTAGATGGTAGCTAGTGCTGCGCAATCCTGTCCTCATTACATAGTTGCGGCTATTGCCACCATGGACGATTGGCATAGAGAAGCTGTAGCCCTATCGATGTCGGCCGCAGGGCGGACTCCTTAGGTGGCCCAGAATGGCCAGTCCATGTATGTCACTAGCGTGATCAGCCCTGAAGCTGTTAGCACGAGATTGATCGATACCAGCTGAAACATATCAATTTCCTAGGCCGAATGCCCAAGCTTTCAGCCTAAGTATTTGCCTCGTAGAAAGTCTTAGCAAACGCAGATATACTAGGGTCCGGATACACAACCGGGGCGGTTACACCAGCTACACATCTGGCCCTTTGGAGAAAGTGGTTAAGAGACGTCCGCCTTCGGATTTTTTCTGGGTTGTCTCATCTCAGCCTTCTCCAGCCTAAACAAAAGGTGACCAAACTATCGCTACTGGATCATGGCAGGATATGCTTGGACGGACGAAGAAAGCGCTATAGCGATATACTTCACGTACCTGGGAGTTCACAGCGAGGCTATCTCTCGGTTACTGAGCAGCCAGGGATTCGCTCGTTCACGAAGCGCAGTATCGAGCCGCATTCGAATGATCCAGATCAACAATAACGTTTCCATCCAGAACCTGACTAGGGCAGAAGCCGATAATTTGATTGATCAGGTCGCCCGGGGGTATAATATAATAGGCTTACTGTCACCAACAGACAATGATCAACGAATCGTGAACGAGGTATTTTCCGTTCGACAGGGTGTGTTCCTTGTGTCTGACAAAGTACCAGTTTGGACAGGGCATCGATCTCTGGAAAGAATACGAAGAGTGGTTGGATAGGTTGGCACGAAAACAACAAGCTCGGAACGTGTCCCAATAGACAACGGCATATAACCGGTTTATACCGTGTGGACGGCAATTTCGTGGCGATTTTGGAAGAAAATTGTACGTGGATATATGTATGACACCAGAGAACTATAATTAAGCAACTCTCCTAAGGAGACCACGATTTCCATCCTTGCCAATATTTGGTGACTATGTTACTACTTTTTGTGTATCAACTCGCCAAAAGGACAATGATCTAATAAGGAAGGCCATTGCGCCAGGACATTTATTGCAGACAAAGACGAAACTAATATATTACTGTGTCTGAGGAAAGGAGTATTTGCGACATTCGTCCAGGAAACGGTGATCCGAAATGAAAATAGAGCAATCAGCTGAAATGGTTTACAGAAGCAAAAGAACTGAAAGGAAGATCACAACCATGGTTGAGATGGAAACAACAGCAACGCTTCTAACCCCCGATGCCACAGAGTCAGAACGCCTAATGGACATTGCTGACGCAGAAGCCGTACAACCAACTGAATGAGTAACAGTCACGACGCTGACGGGTTGAACAACGACAGAACTAAACGATTGGCTTGATCCTGACAAAGTAGAAGAGGCAGGAGATGAGGCAGGAGAAGAGGCAGGAGAAGAGGCAGGAGAAGAGGCAGGAGAAGAGGCAGGAGAAGAGGCAGGAGAAGAGGCAGGAGAAGAGGCAGGAGAAGAGGCAGGAGAAGAGGCAGAAGAAGAGGCAGGAGAAGAGGCAGAAGAAGAGGCAGGAGAAGAGGCAGGAGATGAGGCAGGAGAAGAGGCAGAAGAAGAGGCAGGAGAAGAGGCAGGAGAAGAGGCAGAAGAAGAGGCAGGAGATGAGGCAGGGGATGAGGCAGGAGAAGACACGGCGCTGGACTCTGGAAAAGGTGCAAGGGTATTCTCCCTGGCCTGTTTCTTAGCATTTTCCAGGAATGCATCCATTCTATCTCCAGGGTTCAACGCAAAGATCATTCCAGCATGGCAATGAGAAAATGGTTGGTTCTGCTTGCAAAAGAACCACTGTGGGTCAAGGGTGTTCACCGTTATGGTCAAAGTGAGGTCGTCCTCGTCGTCAGGGTTGAATTGACTGAACCCTGTATCAAGCCCATCTGCGGGAATGCATGGGTTTTCCAGGCTGGATTGTGTGAGCGTGTGATTGAGACTGTGGAACTCGAACATGATTCTATCTCCGATATTGGCGTTCAATTGGCGCGGCACAAACACACGGTTCCGACCACCGACAGCGACGTGGTGAATGTTCTGATCATTGTCGCCCCCCACCTCAAAAGTGAACTCCTGGTCCAGGCTTCCAAATGTCAGATCAGCATGAATTAGAGTCCAGTTCACTTACTTCACACTGATTGTATGTCCCTGGAGAGCAGAGATCATGAGAAGGATCGCGTACGCTAACATCATATTGTCTCCAAGATATTTAGTGGGTGAATGTATATCCGTTGAACAACTTCTAGGTCGCTCTTTAAAACCCTGTTCGTGGCCATGATTTTTTGTAATTTGGCAACAGTTTAGTAGCGTGTTGTGTAAGCCCCATTCCGTTGGCCACTTCCGTGTTGCCGCCCTGTTAAACGCAGAATAGAAAGGAGTAGATCGTGGAGCCGCCATGCGAGTTTTACAACCTCATTGGACTACTGTCTAGTTGACCGATAATATGTCATGCATGACCACCACCTCCCCTCCCTTGCCACGGTTTTTCCATGCCACGGTTTTTCCATGCCACGGTTTTTCCATGCCACGGTTTTTCCATGCCACGGTTTTTCCATGCCACGGTTTTTTCATGCCACGGTTTTGATCTCTTGAGACCATGCTTCCATGCATCATTGTCAAGGTATTAAACCTCACAGAACCTGCTACATTTTCCCTATCTTACAACAACTAAGAATATCATCACTTATTGTCTGCTGGCTCAGACTTGTTCGTAACGCTTTATCTATCAACTGATTTTCCAATTTCATCATTACTCGCTGAATTGTTTTATTTTTGCTCCATTTTTATCCCAAAATACCGTTAGCCATGTCTGAATTTTCGGCCACTACCAAGCCGGACGGCTCCCAGGACTTGATGGACGATGACTATTCAAAGACTGTCGGTGATTTGACTCGGCAGCAGGAGCAGGAGATTTTTGACAAAATCATTGCACTGCCACCCGACAGTACCTCCGACTTTGCCACTAGCATGGGGGCTGACATAGTTCCCGATGGGTTCGGGCTCTCCATTTCTGATCTTCTTGCGTTGACACCAGAAGAGAGGTGGAAAGACTACGACTTGGCTGTCCGCACCAAAGCCAAGGGGGTTGCTGAAAGTATGTCACCAGATAAACAAACATGCTTTTACTAATGCGTATACAGAACTGCATCGTGTCGTGCATTTTATGGAAGAAGAAGCAGCAGGAGGAACTCCCCCCAAAGACATCGTTTGGACCCATGAGGCTACAGACTGCCGAAATCAGCTCAGTGACGAACAAAAGTCGGAGATTATCGAGAAAATAAACAACCTACCTTCTGATGGTGTTGCCGATTTTGTCAAAGCACTTGAGACAAGCATCATTCCAGAGGGTTTTGGACTTAGCTTGATGGATATACAAGCAGTAGCCCATCCGGACAAGTGGCTCAAGGCTAGCCCCGAAACCCGCGAGAAGGCACAAACAGCCTTCACCCGTACGTAACCCATGATTCTCTGGGAATTGTTGGCTAACAATGATTTAGGGATCGATCGTGTCATCAGTCAGGCTGAAACAGGCGCCGGTGGGGGTGTTAAGAAGAGAAACTGGGTCTATTATCGCTCTGAGGCTGATGACGTCCCTGACCTATCTGACGAACCCTCGGCCACGGGGGGGTTGAGGGCTTTCCACTTTGCAGAGCATGCAAAGGCGACAGAACACCTAGCGACCCTTTGTAACGGTCTACTAGACCAGAGTGCAGAGACTCAAGAGGCTCTTCAGACAGCACTGAGCGCACTGTCCGCCATTAACCAAAACATCGAACGTTTCAATGTCCAGAACGGATATCCTGCTGAAATTGCACAGATCAATGTGACGGCCTTCCAGGGACATTGGCGATCGCTCTTCGCTCAGTTTCAGGGGAACTTGAGAAGTAAGGAGGCGAAGGTCGCCATGACCAAGTTTTGCCGGGCATCATACTATCCGGTGGGATGGATTTATATGCCTCCTGCCGATGGCCGGCGCTACTTCACATCAGAGAATTGGTGGCTTGCCTTGACTTCCACTTTTGCAAAAGACCTTCAAGAGTGGTATGCCAATTCCCTAGAAGGCAAATCTGCAGACTACGACGCGGTGCTCAAGAAAAAACTGGAGTCTTTCAACGCAGAGCTTTCCCAACTGAGTGATGCCTATGGAGGAAACCCGACAAACAAACAAGCCACATTGGCAGATTCTATCCGTCTTATTGAAGAGCTCAAGAACCTCGCAAAGAACAAGGATCGTTCCGGCTATGACCTGAAGATGAATGAGATTAAGCAGGCACAAGAGAATGGAATTTATCCAATCGAATGGATGCCACCAGCCATACAAGATTCTTACTGGGCTTCGCCACCCCCAAATAAGGTACCTTCAACAACTTCCCACCCTGCGGCCAACCCACCAATCAGTTCTCAGCCGCAGCCACCGTCCAGCACGCAGATGAATGGACATTCAGGAGCGAATTCTGGAGCTACGAGTGCTCCTGCGGCTAGTGGCGGACAACTCAAGGTGATCAGCGTTCGCCCAAGAGTGGTGAAACGCCGCATTGAGCCTGGACTGACGGCCACCGGTGAGCCGATACGCTACATTCAGAAACTCGGCGAGAAAAGAGCGAATTTCGTCGTTGAGGGAGCCGATGGTTCCTATCGACTGGTGAGCAGCGCAACCGCCGGTGGAGTGCCCGCCCTAGAAGGTGCAGTAACGAAAGGTGTACCTTTCACAGTTCAGCGAGAAGCAGAGATCCAAAGATATAAAGAGCGAGTTAGAAATGGCGGCGAATACGGGTGTTTCTTCGTCGCGATTGGGGAGTTGGACCTTACCAAGGAACGACTGCCATTCATCGTTGTGGGGTTCCACCATTCGGACGGTGTTAACGAGATCAACGAGGCCATTTCGAGATCAAACCTGGGAAAGATCCTGTCACCCAAGGCCGCTGATCGAATGATCGTCGAAGGAATAGTTGGACATCCGAATATGACGCTACGAGAGGTGCTAATGTACCAGATCTCACTTGCGGCCCCACTTACCAACTACCATATGGAACCACCAACAGCCCAGCGAGCACCCCAGCAATCTGGATATGCGCACCTCGGCGGCTTCGAGCAACGCCAGTCTCTGCCATGGGGAGAGCCAGAGCCTTTGTGGTTCCAAAAGGCTCGTCCCAAGCCAAAGCGGGCCCCAGTTCAGTCTTTTATGAACCAGCCGGAGTCATTCGAGCCTGCGATGTCACAGGCGCAGTACCAGAGGCCTGCTTCTATGCCGCAGCAAACAATGGGCTTCATGCCACAGCAGCAGTTCAGCGGCTTCTTGGGCCAACAGCCAAACGGCCAATTCCCTTACATGGGAGGTCCTTATGGCTTTATGCAGCCCCAGCCTATTATACAAAAGCCCATCCTCAATCAATTCAGCGGCCCCTCAATTCCAACTATGATGCATCAGAATAGCGATGTTTAGTCAGAATACTAGTTGTGCGTGAGTGCGAAGCGAGGGGGAAAGGGATTGTATTGGTTGGTGGGAAAGGCGGCGGGTTAGAACTAGAAAATGATGCTATGCTGGGCCTTGCAATTCTTGCAGAATCAGGGTTGAACCAGATACTGTACTAAAGATTGCCATAGTCCTTAAATTAAGCAGATCAATCCAATATTTCATTCTGGAACACAGAGTCGTACTACTTTAATTCTTTCAATCCGAGGATTGGTGTTAAGAAATCTATATTGAGAATCCCATTCAAGAATTTAACATACCCCCTTATCATCTTATCAACATTTGCCATAGGAACGTTCCACTCAGAATCAATTGTCGAAGCATACGGACATTCCCTTCCGCCTCACTTAGTCATCGGGGTTTATATTTGTGTCACAACCGAGGGCGTCAAGCTGCAGTCCGGAAGTTGCGGACGACAAGCGGGTTCCGAACTATTTGGTTGCGCCATTGCTAGCCACGAACCGAGGGCGTAGTGGACAGGTGGCTCAACCAATGGAAACATAAATCAGGTTCAAGTAAGGTTCAAGCTAATGTGAAGCATTGCCGGCCGGAGATCTCAGCGGCTACATGGGCAGACTAGACCTAAGTTAGAAGTCGTTCCGTGATCAGGCTGGTTTCGGGATTTGCATGTTACCGCTGGGCTAGGTATATATACATATCATATGTAGTTGGAGATTAGAAGGATCAAGCAGCATACAACAAACTGAATATGCACCAAAAATTACTGGTGTTGGGCGTCAGTGCGCTGTCGAACATTGTGCACCTGGGCAGCTTAACCATTGTAAGATCTTTCCTTTGGAGAAAACGGTACATGCTCACCTTAATTGAAGACCAACGTTATCTGCCAGCCTGATGAGTATCGTGGTGCGCGGAAGTCTGAAATTTTGCGGCCGATCAATTTCCTCGAGCGAAACCATTTCCTCTTTGACCTCGAGCCTGGTTGCTCTCTGGTAGCTGGCTGGAAATCCTCCGCGGTCTATCTCTGCCACACGGTAGGAATGATACACCCGGGCAGTGGAACAGATTGATTTACTCACAATGGTACAGCATCCCAGCTCAATTGAAGTCGATTCTCGAGAAATAGGTAGACTGGCTCATGATGGAAACCATGCCTGCTTGGCGAGAGCCTTCAGGGCTCATGTTGAGACTTACCAGAACATTACTGTTCATTTGGAGAGCTCTGTTTGACCTTACTGCTTCTCTTTGCTCGGAAATGTTCCAAGGGTAGATGTTTTTTGAAAAATTATATACATGGCTTTAGCTCCCACACTTGTGCAATACTTTTGAATTGAGGCAAAATCAAAGCTCGCACCCTTCCTGGTTGAGACGATGGATTGCTCGTTGGACGTTCCCTTGGTTGTAGCAAGTTCAGAAGAGTGGTACAGTTGCTGCGCCACATCCAGATTATGTACCATACTGAGCAATGCAATCCGATAATGTATGGCGCGAAAGAAAATTTCTGGGGTACTTTTCTTTCGATGATGTTTGAACGTCAAATTTCACGTCCAACTTAGCGGGTCGCAGCAAGCATATGATAGGGCCACTCGGGCGGCACCATGAGACAGGCTTTACGAAAATAGCGACCCCTAGTGTGAAAATCGTGGCCCTTCGAAACTTATAAGCCCAAGAATTGTCTTCACACAGATCTAAACTACATGGTCTCAAACCGTCACAATGCAAGAATTGAAGACAGTAGGCCCCTTCGAGGTATTGGAGTGGCCGGAGCTGCCGGGTGCATACGGCCGTGGTAAGTACAGGTCTTCGATACGGTTTGAACATGTGCTGATTTGGATAGCACGTCATTGCACTACCCTCGAAGAGGCAAGTATCAAGTTAGACTGGTTCGACAGTCTGGCGCATGAAGTGAATATTCTCCAAGTTGCCGCAGGGGGCATAGGCATACCGATGTTGCATTGGTTCGAGGCAATTGATGGGAAGGAGGTAATGATCTTGGATATGCTTGGAATATCGCTCGAGGAGTTCTACATCAAGTCCGGTCGCTACTTCGGCCTACAGAACCTTCTTATTTTTGCTGAACAGATGCTGTCTCGTGTGGAATTCATACACTCGAGGAGTATCGTCCATGGAAGTCTAGACCCTTGGTCGTTCAGGCTTGGAAGCCGAAGCTGGCAGTCCCAACAGATTCTTCTGACGGACTTTGACATCCAAATCAGTGAAGATAAGTCAACTCTTGATGACCTTCGCGCTATTGGACACATTCTAGCGTACTTCTATGGACACTGGGATTCATGGGATCAGTACCGCCAAGAGAACGCAAATGGTGTCCCTGAAGATACTGCGCCGTTTATTAGCGCCTTTGTACGAACAGTGTCTGGTTGCAAGTTTATTGACTACCGGGAGCTACGGGCCATTATACGCAGTACCTACAGGGCCCTCAGCACTCACCTTGCCATAGGCCTCGGCCTGGAGGGTGCAAGGGCAATCCAAGATGGATTTGATTGTTGCATCAGCACAATGACAACCGACTCTCTGTTTGACAACTTGAGCTTGAGGCTTGCGGAATCTGGTCAGCATCTTATGTGGCTTGAAGTGGAACCAAACAGACTTCAACATCTCCACCGCTGCCTGGATGATAGTTTGGACATCTTTTCCATCCTGATCAGTCGTGATCGACCCATCGATATGGAGCGGCCCCATCGTCGCGCACATTGTCTCTCAGGCCGCTTATGGAGAGACCTTCGTTGGATCTTTACGTCCTGTCCATCTTCTGAGGCTCAACTCGCATTGAACTGGAAGATATATAGGTTCATTGCTGTTCTATATGAGGCAATTCCCGTATACAGATCCTTTTGGCTTGATTGCCTTTTAGGGCTTGCTCGTCATAGACAGAGTACTGAGTCAGATCACCAAAAGTCTGTATGGACTCGGACACTTTTGTACTGGCAGAACCTGTGTACTCTGCAGCAATCCGAGGGATATCCTCTTGTCTAGAACACAACTGTGGATGGGGACTGGCCAATATGGAGTTTTCATTGATATTTGCAAGCTGATCATCATCTACTTCGATACTTATGCGAATGCCGACTCTATTTGGGCTCTTCTCTTTCTGTACTAGCGCGTGCCTTTATCACACAAGCTCAGTACTTGCATAGAAGTTCAGCATTCATTAGGTTCTTCCTCGGTTCTCGTCGTATGAGAGCAACGGTGGTTAGTTCTGGTGATATATAATTAAGCATCCGCCACACCACAACGATCATAGCAGCCTCTCTAGGTTTGGTTGTTCCTTCGAGATGCTCACCTGTCATTGGCTGTATTGGGCCCTGTGTGATCATATCCTTGCCCCTAAAAGTACAATGTGGAGTGAACAGTCAGAGAAACTCTCGGTTGAATTGTTTGGCGAGACACGGCTGCAGGAAGGAGGTTCGTTGATCGCCTCTGAACCCGCCACTAGCCCCATACCTAGCCATAAGATGTACCAAAATGTTGCCAACTCATCGCTGGAAGACGTCGCGTGCTGATAAATACCACGAGATAACTTTCTGGTTGGGTGTTACGCACGCAGTTCCTCTCAAAGAAAAGCTCATGCGCCCAGTCGCCGGCGTTGCCCAAACCGGTACACGAACCTCGGAGAATGAGCAGGGGGGAGCCAGATAATTATGGACTGTCTTCCTGGTTGGGGCAGCGCATGCAACACTACGGACTAGTTTCAAAATATCACGGCTTGGTGTCCAATTGTGCAATGCAGCTTGGATGGTTGCGGTCACCTGAGTGTCCCCGGGCCTCAGTCCGTCACATTAGACCTGAGGTATATAAAGGGCCTCTTTCCCCCAACTGGTTGTATGCTCTGATATTCTCTTCTCATCTTCCCAAGTCTGCTTATATCGGCCTTTCGCCCCCAAGTGTGGTGTCAAGATCACCATGGCAAGCCCCACCCGCACGATTATTATCACCGATGACGAAAGTCTTGAACCAGGTAGCTCACGACCTCGGAGGGCCGCTCGCCTTGATTACAGTTACCGAGAATTTGATGGTTGAGGCGGTGGATGATGAGACGGATATGACACCATCACGCAAACGTAAAAGAATCGAAACACAGGAGCCGTCTGCTTTGGTACCAGCTCCTCACAAGATATTCTTCGTCCTTGACTAACAGTTGGCCAGGATAACACCTTCGAGGAGCTCCAAAAGTCAATTCGTCATGAAATACAATGGCTGAAAGGTAAAATTTGCGTGCTTCACGATGGACCTCTCCAGGAGAGGAAAAAGCACCAAAAGACGGAAGAGGAACTTTCAAAGCAAAGGGAAAAGCGTAATTTAGAGTGCAAGATCTGCTATATGCAGCCAGATCGCTGGGTGGTAACTCTATGTGGGCACATTGTCTACAGCTCACGCCACAGGGCGCGTCAGGAGGTTATAGATAGCGACGAATTCTGGGTTATACAGGGCAGGTCTTGTAGAGATGCGAGAGCCAGGCAAGATGAGACCAACCGTACGAGTGAGTTCTTTAAACTGAATCCATAGATTTTGGGAATCGGGCACCTGTCCCAATGGCGAGTAACGATTATGACCAAGTGGGGGCGCATCAGAAAGACCATAGAAGTGACGCATGGCAAGGAAAAACACCTGCCGATATGCCGACCAAAAGCCATAGTCATCGTTTGGGTGTGGCCTTTCCTCAACGCAGCTCTCGGAAATCTGGATCGGAAACCGATTATTCTGTGGGCGAACATACTAGCGATACATTGTCTGACGGATCGTTCCACTGATTTTGGAGGCAGGAGTCGACCTAGTAATATTCTATCCATCGAAATGCAATTGTTTTGTTCAAAAAGGCCCTTGAACTTCACCGAGCCGTAGAAACCGGGTCGAGGCGTGGTTGCAGCTGACCTGACCTCTTGAAAGTGGGTCCCGCGAGCCGAAAACGCTTATTAAGCAGGATTTGGTCACGTGACGTTCGCACCACCAAATTTTTTCTTTTCAATTCGCACGACCTCTTACACCACCTTACCTTCGTATTCAACCCACCTTCTTCGACCCCCCCCCTTCTTTCTTTCTTCAATAAAGCACTTTCCAAACACTTATAAAGCCCTCTGATACACTCTTCATTACAAATACTCATTTACCGCTCCGCAACCGCTTCGGAGCCGCCACGATGGCAAATCTGGCGAAAAATGTGAGTAACCGCTTATCAAGCGCTTTCGAAGCAGTTGTTTTAACTTTTCCCCTCAGAAGTGGTACTGCTGGTATCTGCGTATGGTGCCCACTGGGCAGCTCACCCTCCCCCCCTACGAAACGGTAAGCCTTATTTTCGCCTTCTTTCTGTCTGATTCCTACCTCATTCCGTTTTCCATTTGAGCAATCTTTTCGTGGAAAGGATACTTGAAAGGGAGGGAAAGATTGCTTGAAAAGTGCTTTTTAAGCACTTGAGTGAAAGCGGTTTGAAACCTTTCAGAAAGGGAACTGAGAAGTGCTTTATAAGTACTTCGAGGAAACCTTTTGTTTCCAGCCTCTCAAGTATTTGCTAACTGATTTGGAACTGCTTAGGATAGTGCCGGCAACCTGATTATCTACTACGGAGAGCTTTTTTGCCGGAAGGAGGATTGCGCCAAGGGCCAGGTGAAAAAAAAAATAAAATGATTTTAACTGTTTGCTAACTGCTTGTCAACTGCTTAGAGGAAATACACGGCTACCAATAACCTTCGCACCCACCTCAAAGCGCATGAAAACATCAGCCTGGCAGAGGATAACAAGGGCGGTCGGGTCGGACAGAAGGAAATGGATCGGTCCATCAGTACGGATATTCAATATGATTACAACTGATTCTCAAGCACTTGCTAACTGCTCTACAACTGCTTAGAATGGTACAAGGACCTTTTTTCCGGTGAGGAGCCCCAGCTTGAGGAAGGTACTGGCGGCGGCAGTAGCGGCGGCAGATTTGGTTCTGGCAATGCCTCGATTCCCCTGCCAGCTTTGCCCCTGACTAAAAAGGACGGAAAGGTAAGATTATAACCACTCATTAACTGCTTGGCAAGCGATTAATGACTGCTTAGGTTCATATCACGGACATGCGGAAGCTGGTCAGAAATATGGGCAAAAAGATTCCCTGCGGCAGTTGTGGCGACCGTAGAAATTGTTGCAAAGATATCAATCTTTGCGAGCATTTCTTGTTGTTTAATTGCGACAAATTGGCCCCGGCTACCCACAACGATGAGCAGGAAAATGCTGGCGTCAATGCCGAGGAAAACGATGCTTGAAAAAAAAAATACCAGGGATCAAGTGCTTGTTAAGCGGTCTCCAAGCGGTTACAGGAGTTCGGGGGAATTTTCTTTTTTAAAAAAACAGGCGCTTTGGAAGTGTTTTTTAAGTGGTTTGCAACTGGTTACGTGAACTAGGGAGGCGTTTTGATTTGGCCAACGGCCCAGGATTTTAAGCATTTTTTTTTGGGGGGAAAAACATGGCCGTGGTTAGTTAGTTCAAGTGAAGCAGTTGAGAAGTGCCTCTTAAGCACTTGAAAAACTTCCTTACCAAAAAGTAGATTATCACCTCAAGTAGTTTATAAGTGCTTAGATGGAATCATTCCTTTACCGAAGCTCGATATATCATAGAATATATATCTTCTATATTTAGAAGGGTCCGCCACTAAAATGCTTGCAAGGGACCCCTTAATCAGTTATAAAGCGCTTACGGTCAAGGAAATATATTTCAACCTAGCAAAAGCACTTAGAAGCTGCTTAATAAGTATTTATATCATCTTGCAACTGGCGCCGGCGCTCAATAAGATTCAATTCCAACTCTTCATTTCGTAGCTGTTGCAATCGCGTCTCTTCCTCCTGCTTTCGTATATCAGCTTCAAGCTTTTTAAGCTCAAGTTCCTGACGTTTCTGCTCGGCCGAAAGGGTATTGGTTGAAGCGAGACGACGAAGATTGGTGGTTGATCGAACGGATCTAAGTACTTATTAGGCGCTTGCTAAGTACTTGTGCAGGGGGGAAATATACTCGCTGTCTCTACTACGCCTTGATGATTGAGACCGTGACTGAGAGACGGCCTGAGATTGAGGCCTTTCTTCAGGGTCATATAATGAACCTTGAGAGTTCGATCTAGGGCGTTTGCGGGATCCTAAAGAGGGGGTAAGCACTTGCTAAGCGGTTGATAAGTACTTGGGGGAACTCACGGTAAAGGTGTCTCCGATAATGTGTCTCTATACTAGAGGTTCGCGAGCTATGATGAATATTATATTGATCAAAGTGCAAATATTGCTCAATATCATTTTGATCAAGCTTCGCAGAGCTATAGTCTTATTAGTATTATCATAAATACTTGGAAAGTGCTTACTAAGTACTTTCTAGCAGCCTCAGTTAACGGTAAAAACTTTCCTGAGGCATATGACTTTTCATGAGATTGCTCAACCGCATTTGTATGATCGCGAAGGGATTGAAAGAAAACAGGCTTAATTCTTGAACAGGCTTTATTCAAACCTGCTTTAATAATTGGTCGACTTTTGTGTAGAGCCCAATTTC